AACATTCTCCCTTGTATACGTCAACAGAACCCTTCTGGCAAGTACGAGTATTGTCCGCGCCGCTAGGCTGTGTTGCTGAATGAATGAAAGGGCCTCTGCGCTGACGTCCAAAGATCTCCAATAGGCCGGCATTCCAAAGGTTGTCTCGGCGTCAGATGACATCAGATTGAACCCTCCAATGTGTCTTTGTTGTGCCTCGCAGTCTCTTCTAGTCAAGTTCTTCTGTCAGTCACGCAGTTCGCAAACGTTTGTTTCATCTCGTTTCATGCCGCTATGCCTCCGGTTGTCCTGCTCTTCCATCAAAAGATACAGGCTATGTTTCTTTTCATAGTTTTTGCACTTTGTTCAGTTTACCTTCAGCGGAAGTTTTTCTAGTGACATGCTTGAAGCACCTCAATACCTGCACCATCCTCTACTTCCTTCTTCGCAAATAGTCCCTACATGAGGCCCCGCATGTTTGCGAGCTGCGACAAGGCTCCGGGCGCAAAAGGTGACCCAGAACTGAAGAAGCACCTCAGCACGCAAACTGTTTGGTCCCCTTTTCAGAAAATGTTGGCAAAGTCCAAGTTGACGATAGTCGCCTTTGGAAAGAACAAGACATTCACATCCTCTCACCTGACCTGGTCTCACCTTCCAATCAACTTGGAAGTTTGATTGCGGATGTAGGGTGGACCCGCAACTTTGAACATCAGTCTGAGCATTTCAAACATGAAAGTGTCACAACATGTCGCAACTATGACAATCAAACGTCAAACATGATTCAGTGTGGTGGGAGAATTTGGAAGGACTATGGAACCAGTGGACCAAGAAGCAACACTGAAGACTTGAGGAAGTTGTCAAGCTGTGGAAAACTGAAACAAACGCTGAGGGCAAATCTAACGGCACGCAAAATATGAACCTCAGAAGTTGCTCTGAAATAGCATGGCATCCAACAAAAATCAAACTGCCGTTTGCACGTTGCCAACGTCTGCTGTGTTGCTCCTTTCGTTTGCTTAGCATTTCTTCAGACATGGTGCCTTGTGATACTGTAACTCCGCTTGGCTCCTTGAGCAATTCTTACACATTTACTAAACTTTACTGGACCTACAGCCCTGTTTGTGCGCCGTTCCGTTCATCTCTGAGGTCCTTCTCTTGCCGTATGGTCCCCTTCCTCATTTGATTACATTCAACTTCTTACATAATCATTCGGGCGTTCCAACATCTTTTCCCTGTGCATTTTCCTTTCAAGTGTCTTGCATCCTCTCCACATTCACAACGAACAGTTTGCCACTCATGTCTCATAGTACCCTTCCCGTTTCATGGTCTATTGGAACTTCCGATACGTGCATACTGATTTGAGATTCTTTGACTAAGACTGAGCCTTCTGCAGGATGCCTGGATGCACATGTAGTTCATCAGAACCATCGAGGTTCATGGTCACACCGCCGAAGGCAGCAACCAATACTGAATCGTACATGTCAACCTTGGTCATGACATGCCGACCCAAGTAATTAGCATTAAACTACCTAGCATAGTCAGCATCATCAGCATGATGATATTAACAAAGTGCTTTGCAAAGCAACTGCTTTTGCCAGTGACGGAGTGAGAGTAGCGCTTTCCGCTTTCTGTTTTGATAGCGCTACGATGCGCTACCTCTCAGACTCGAACATGGAAAAAGACATCTGCAGGCTCTGAGTCAAGCTCTTCAACCTTGCACCATGGACACATTGCCTATGGAGAAGTGCTGAAAATTCAGAGTTTCAAGACTCGCAACCATGTTTGGGTGAAATTGTAAGCAAACAAGTTGTGTATGTTACAGGCAATACATAATTTGTGCATATTTGTGCCATGGCCATGTCTGTCAACACCTTCACTGAATTCAGGCTCGGACAGTGGTCAACCTGTCAGTCCCCCTTGAGATCTGCTTGTCGTGGATGGTGAACTGGACGTGTCAGAACCAAAAGCATCCAAAAGCCAAGTCAAATAAGTCAATTTTCAGATTTGTTCAGTTCCGTCACGTTCCGTCCTTGTCCCGTAAGTTACTTTTCATGTCGTGATCGCTGATACTAAGCCAGTTACTAAGCAAAATAATTGGCAACACAACTGCATGCTACAAGTACTAACTTTCAATCACAGGAAGTTAGTGCAACTTGCTACTGTACTTTCGCTTAGAGGGCACCGTTTCGGTCCCTGTGTCTACCAAAGAACCCAAGTAACCCAAGTAGATCCAAGTAGTGCTGTCAACAAAATCTGCCGCCCTACCGAAAGGCCACCTTTGGGCTCCATCCATCGTCAGAGTCTGAGTCCTGCGATGACACGAATTGACACATGAATTGACCTGGTTAACTCACAAGGACACTCTGAAGACTCTGAAGTCGCATTTTGGCAACACGGTCCAGGTTCTTGTGATCATGACGTCGAGAAAACAATTTGGTCACTACTACTGTAAGATCAGTAACTGCACCACAGTTTTTGGGAGAACCATCTGCAGCGAAATCTACACTCTGAAAAAGCAGCGACTGTTTCGCACATGGAGCGTCCGTGTGTGTGTGTGTGTTGTGTTTGTGTGTGTGTGTGTTTTGTGTTTTGTGTTTTGTGTTTTGTGTTTTGTGGTGTGTGTGTGTGTGTTTTGTGTTTTGTGTTTTGTGTTTGTGTGTGGTGTGTGGTGTGTTTTGTGTTTTGGAATCTGACAAGAAAACAAAACATATGAAGGCCCTCGTTGTTATCTTTGATAGGAACGTGTTTATCTTTGACATTCAGACAAACAGTTTGACACAGACAATACCTACGGTTTGATATCAGTGCCCACAACAAAACATGACCTTTGTCAGGCTAGTGACTAGTGAATGGGTCCAAATCAACAAAGGAAGTCCCAAAGGGCGTCCTCAATCTCCTTCTCTATGAAAGCAATCCTTGGAAGCAGCGTAAGGCAACTGGAAAAAAAAGGCAAACACCAGGGATCATGATCAACACTTCTCAGGCGTCATGTCACGCGGTTTCATAGATGAAATAGAGTTCGCTCTGTGGTTCCATTTTGTTTATTTCATTTGGTTAAACAATTTGATCCCAAAACGATGTCGTTTCTTCCCGCTTCAAGCTCCAATCTTGCGTACTATACCAGCCAAATCCAGCCAGACCAGTGAACCAGTAAACATCCTCTAGCGCAGCATCGAGTCTGTGTGCAAGATTGTCCAAGTGCAAGTGAACATTCAGTGGGGTGGCATCAAGCATGATCACAAGTGCAACTGAGCCTTATCATAGCAGCCCAGCAAATAGAATATGCCAGAATTAAGCCCATGCAGCCCATGCAGTTTGAATAATACACGCCGCGCCCCCCCTTAGAATATTGATACTTGGAAAATTCCAAAGCTGGATCAATCCCTTCGACATGCATGGAAATCTTGCGCTTTTTCTCCAATATCTTCAGTGTCGAATATTCTGAGTGCAAGGAAAAACTTAAAGATAGATACGGATAGAATATTGTGACATTCAACCGGGCCTCCGAAACCAGGTCTTAGAGCTCAAGGAAGAAAACCAAACTATTCTTAGTGCAAGACTGTTATTCATTGTTATTATATAGCTCCGCCACCCCGCCCCGACCCCAATCGGAAGCCAAACTTGCAATACTATTCAGAGATATTCAGAACTGTGAGTCAGCCGATAGCAACAACAGCAACAACAACAACAACAACAACAACAAGAACAAGAGTGAGCTCGCCCCTGAGCGGATCTGAGGGGGGTGGTACTGGCAGGACCAAAGACAAGCACATAGATTTGACTAGCTTGGACTTCTTTCCTGCATTCTTTGACAGCACGGCTAATTACGCTGTCGAACAGGTGTGTATAGAGGAGCATGATACATAATAATGCATAAACAATGGAGCATACTGGTGCATAGTGGTGTGTGTGTGTAAACGCATCGAATATTGAATCAGTATTGTTTGCTTCTTTCCTGACTTCTACAAACCTCACTGCGTGTGTCTGCAAATGTCCTTGTCTACTTTCCGTGTCGCAAACACAACACAAAGCCTGTTTACTTGCAGACCACATCAGCATCTTGCTCAAGATCTGATAAAGCTTCCTGGTCCCTTTACAAGGAAACTACAGGATACATCAGAATACTACAGGCATATTCTGGCAATTTCTGGCATCTGCCGGCACACCATTCCATGTGCAGAGTCCAAGCATCTCCTGCGCAGTGTGGGTACCCTTGCTCCGCACATGTTGTGCTCGTCGCATCCTCATCAGCCAAAAACTTTGAGAGAAAACACAGGAAAAAAAACATCAGTCATGTTACATAATGTTGAATCAAAGAGCTTGAAAATAAAGTCAAACAACTATTTGTTTGGGTTGATAGTTTACCAGCACCACTGAGCTTGCTTGCTAGCTGCTCAGCGCATTCTCTTGGACACTACAAGTATCACTCAACCGCATACCAACTGTGTTGTCTTCACACCAACCTAAGCTGCGAACCGTGCGGGCAAGAGAGAAGCACAGCGCAAGGCGATGCCAATAAACACACAGAAACGATGTATCTTCAATTCACGGTTATGTGTCATGTTGTTGTTTGCCCGAGAAGTAATCTGCTTGATTCTTGGAAAGCCTTTTTCTGTCGTGTCTATGATGTTCGAATTGAAGCCACATTTTTTTTAGAGAAAAGCTGTTCTACTTTTCCATGATGGTCAGCAGATCAGCTGCTACATCGAAATTCCAGGACGCAGGATGACGCAAGCAGGACAGCTGAGGCTGAAAGTTGGCTGAAAATGCTGCTGACTGTACTGTATAAATTAATACAAATTATACAATTACAGTTGACTACGAAACTGGCTTTGGCGTTGGCAAGGCTAATGCTTTGTGCGTAGTTTTGAATAGTTCCCTATCTACAAAAGCGCTTGAGATTGCAGCCAAGTGCGGCAATGAATGAACATTTGACAACATTGCAGCACATTGCAGCACTAAGTCTTTGCCAATTTTAAAATGCCCGGATTCATCTGGGCTGTGGATCACTGTGCATTCTGTGCCTCCGCTGTGGCGATGGCCTACGAGGTGCACTCAGTGTCCAATGTCCAGAACAATAGTATAACATAGTGACATAGTATAACAAATGCCAAGATTGGTCAAGGACAAATTGGAAACAGGACATGTGATGGTGCGAATGTGGGATAGGTCTGCAAAGTGCGAGGTCGGCAAGTTGAATTTCCTGTTGTTTCATTTCATTCATCTTCACAAGCCAAGGGTAAACCATGGTAAACCTCAATCTGGTGTCATTCCTACAGCCTGAATTCCTCGATGGTCCTTACATGTTCTGCCCATTGAATTCAATTTCAAGGGATCCAACACTGTCAGCGGCCTGCTTTTGAAGAAAGCTCCGCTCCGCTAGCATGAATGGTCGCCCCTCTCGAATTGGTTCCTGGTCTTCAAAGGACAAAGAAAATCAAAGAAAGCTGGTCTTCAAGTGTCTTCAATTCAAGTCCAGACATGTCCAAACATTTCTTGCATTCGTTACTCACAGAAAGATCTGTCGATCAACTCATGGCTCAAGGATGCTCAAGGTTCAAATTGTCCTGCAAATATTCGTACATCGCATGGAGGACGAGCAAGGATCATCAAGGATCGATGTAAGACTTGATCAATCTTCTTTGAAGACTGTTTGAAGACTCTTTGAAGACTCTTTGAAGACTCTTGTGCTTCCTTTAGGTCTCCTTTATGTCTCAAGGCCGCATTGGCTCACAGCTCTCCAGCGTCCTCGCGCTCTTTGGCAAAGTTCGCTTGTACCTTTATGCCATCCACACGGCCTGCCAAGCATGGCATCACTTCACCCAAGAATCCCATGCAACGTTCTATAACGTTCTCTAGAGTGCCGTTAGTCCTTAAAGATCTGAAAGCAAAATCGAGGACTTGCTCATTCTTGCACAAAGCATCACAAAGCAAACAAAGCAAACAACATTGCAGGGCATACTGTGGCTGTTCTTCTCAAAGCCGTTGATAGCTCGGACAGCTTCCTCCACACACTGAAAAAAACCAAATCCCTCGAGTGCATGAGTTGCAAACAGATAAACTGATAAACTGAGTAAATTGCGAGCGCGTTTTCAGACTATTTCAGTTTGCAGAATATTTCAGACTTGCGTGAGACTGATGCATGCTGAAGTCAGGCTTGTCCACATGCTCAGCGACGCCGCACACATATATACACCCACACACACACAATACTTACGCTACGCACTTGATGCCATGCTGGCATTAAACTGAAAGAAACATCTCCAGCATAATCATCATAATCATTTTGAACCTCAGGTCCAATATCATCCAATCATCACGGTAGAAGTGCTAAAATTTAGCAACATCATCACCCAGAATGTAGACAACATTGGCCACCCGTGCCCTTACTGCATTCATGGCATAGCATGGCTCAGCCGGTGATCCCCAAGAGTCTGGTGAAGGTGTAGATCCCGAACTGCAGGAACCCGAGATGAAGCCGAGATGAACCCAAGGCAATTCCCTCGAGAAGCACATGTGCCTCCACTGTATGAAACTGCACAAATGCGAAGCCACGTCGAGAAAAGTGACGGATATCCTACATGCAATGCCACATGCAATTCCACATTCAAAAACAATGTGCCACATCATGCAATTGAAGAACCATCAACCAGAAGGATGCGTTTCAAGCTTCTCACGCTCTTTTCTCGGTGTGTGTGTTTTTTTAAACTTTCCAATTTCCAAGCATCCCACAACATCTCACAGCATCCCACAGCATCCCTGTATACCCCTGTGGTGTCTCTGTCCTTGACTGGTGCATACGTCTGAAAGGCCGCCTTTAGCGTGTCCTGTAAATTAGGAATTGATGGAAAAAAGAGAATGTGGGAGCAAACAAGCATCGCGGGGAGGAGCAGAATTAAAAAACAATCTAGTAAAAAAGTTCAAAAAAAAGCAGGACGCCCTGCAGAAAACACCTGATGACATCCTGATGATACCTATTTCATCTTCATCTCTCCTCCCGTGTGGACGAAACGATGCCCTTGACGATTAAGGTCACCTGCACAACACGTTGCGCTACTCCTCTGATCGCTTCAACGAAGATAACAACAGAAGCCAAAACGTTGAGCCCAAAAAAAACAAGTGAAAAATGTTTTCACAATTGCAAATGCAAAGCGAAAGAGTGAATGCCACACAAGCAGCATCAAGCAGCATCACCGGCACACTAGGCTCATCTCGATCAGTTCTCTCTCGGCTCCTGCTTCTACCTCGGAAACTCAACTAGACTGTTGGTATGTACATATTACATATTTACATATATTTACCGCGTATATTTAACAAATATTATATAATATACATCCGTGTATTTCACCAGGAAATGCTTTGTTTACATTCACAGGAGATCACAGGAGAATGAGCTTCACCAATGCCGTAGGTTTTCCAAAGCGGTGCAGGTAAACCATTTTCGACTATTGGATCACACAGTGCACATCTAAGGTTCAATCTTACTTCCCCTGCCAGCTTCTTGTACCTGCAGCTGTTGCCATCTGGCGCTTGATGTAAATTGTGATAAATTGTGAATCACCTGGACCTATCACATCGAACAGATTCAACCTTGGAAGTTTTGCATGCTTCCAAAGACAGGATTTTAAAATTTAGTATCTCCATACCAGTCCATTTGCAGTGGACACACAAGGATCGCTCAAGCATGACCCCTTATAGGGTAGGGACAAGAAAACAACTCCCTGCCCGAATGCATTGAAACCGATTGAAAACACGCTCGCTTTTGCTTTTTGTGTCACGCGGGCCAAAGAGCCATGCAAGGCTATGCTCACGCTATGCCGCAAGTTTTTGATTGTTTTTTGTGGGGATATCTTTCGCCATTGCTCATTTTGCACCATTTTGCAGTGATGTTGTATGGCTCTTGTGGATTTCCCGTGGTTTTGGCTCTGCACATGGCGTTTCGGGTTTCGGGTTGAAAAAATCAAATCTGTGAATGGTGGAAGAATCAACCTGAGTTTGGCGTGAGTGTTCCTGGTGATCGTCGCATGAAGGTGACATGGAAATGCAATACCAAGACTTATGTCATATGTATAGGCCGCACTGCAAATGGGCACAGGGGCATTCACTGCAAACGGTACATGCATCACAAACTACGCCATCCTTATCTATCTCTAATCTATATATACAATATCTTAAGTATATGAAGTATATGGATACGTTTCTTGGCATTTTTTCATGTTCAGAGTTTCTATGAGCCAACAAAAATGAGAAACACATAGACTAATTTCGTAATAATTCATAATAAATGGAGTATGACTGAGTATGATGAATCAATGAAAAGGCCAAAGAACGATTGCTCGGCCTGACATCCAAGCTGACACCATCCACTTCCAGCGAATTGCCGATGTGCTGGCAGGCAAAGTCAAAGTCGGGTAGAAGATTCTAGACAGCCAAGCAATACGAAGAGCGTAAGTCATCATAAATCCATAAATCATGATAAATCCATTCATTTCAAGTAAAGGATCAGCGAAGCAATTGGCACCTTCTGAAAGACTGACACCATTGGCAAACGGTCTTAAATCACTACGTTCACAGGGCAAGCAAGCATTGACACGATCCCTGAATCTTCACAATGATTTTTCAATCTACTAGGCCTCAAGCTGTTCGAAACTGCTCAAGACATTTCAAGACTATTTGAAGCTGTAGAGCTCTGTAAAGCACAGAGAAGGCAAAGACTTGTGCCTAAAAAAGCTATGCACCTAAGCCTATGCTCCTACCATCTCTTTATACAGTTTCCAAGTGCCTCTTTGAACATCTGCGCAGCTTCCTGCAGCTCACGCAGAAGGCGCAGAAGGCAAAAACTTGGCAAATACCTCGGTTGGTGCAAGGTGTTCCTTGTGCGGGAACTCCACCAAGGCCGTCCCTTCAAAGTGGTGTCCACTGTACCTCAGAACTCCAAGAACTCCAAGAACTCCAAGGTGGGTTCCCATGACATCATGACCATCGACCATCATGGAGATCACTGGGGACATCTTTTGAAAAGTGTATGGCCAGTGTACGGCTTCTCTGCAGATGGCTCGGCCAAGGCAGCTCACTACGTCACTACGTCACAAATATCGTCTGTGTCGCCCTCTTTTCCACGGGCTTCCAAGCTCAAATTTCACAGCATTGGGCATCGAAGAGCCAGCTGCCACGGCCTTTTCCCATGCCACTGCCTAGACACACATTTCTTGAAACGCGCTGCAAGGATTGATCAGAACCACATTGTGACCACATACCCAAAAACACAAAAAATCAAGCTACTAAGTCACAAAGTCACTCAGTGTCATGTTGCACTGCCAGATTGCTTTCCTCTTGCATGGTGCCTCAAGCCTTTCCTCGGTGACAGCAGCAGGAATGCCAGACACCTTGCAGATCGGACTGCGGACTTGTCTTTGAAGAACGGAAATGAAAAATCACGGACATGATATGGCATGATTACAAAATATATCAAAATATTAAATAAAATATGACAAATAGCCGCCAGATGCCGCCAGCAACTGTGGCCATGCAAGCATGCGTGCCGATTTTGAATTTGTCGGTCTGTCCTTACATGTCATTACACCATGCGCGAGCACCTGCAATGTAGCGGTTGGCCGTTCGCGACCCTGCACTGCATTGCCGCTAAAGGATGGAGGTACACACTTGAGAAATTTTAGAATATGAAAATATATGAAATATTATGAAATCTGGTTCAGCTTTACGCACACGCCGTACAACGGGCCCAGTCTGATCCATGAAGCAGCTAAGCTGGATCTCATGACTTGCCATCATCTATGCTGCTGAAAGGGACTGTCTTGGGACATACGCTACCCTGTCGTAGATCCAAACTCCCATGATGTGTTGTGTCTTGTGTTGTGTCGCACTCTGAACATGGGTTGATATGTTTGATCCACGTAGTTCACTGCTGCAACACTCAAAGTGTTAGACTGTTAGACTCTGTGGGGCTCGTAGCCTTCTCCCGCTCACGTGACCGTCTTTCGCGCTCTCGCCTCACAATTTTCTAGATCTCAAGCAGCTCTCAAGATGATCTCAAGTTCTCTGGTTTTGTGCTGCAAATTTCTGCAGAGTCTCCATAACTAAAGTATTACGAATATTTGACAACATATACAGTAAACATATACAAGTATCAAAACAACAAATCCATTGACTGTTTGCAAGACAATTGGATGGCTCGGAAACTCAACACAATCAAGAGAGCTTCTTGTGGAGTCCTCAAGAATGACAGTAACAATTCGCTCAGGATTTAAACATGTTTATATAAAATGTAAGATTTGCACATGATTTGCACATGATTAGCATAGATTCGGCATAGATTCATATAATATACGTATATACTATATAGTTCATATATGTAATATATATATATTATATTATATATAGATCAGCTAGGACGTGCAGCTAACGAGCGCCACAGAGACTGGAGAGGCCTGGAGACATCCAAGGCTCGGTGATCGCACTCTGAAGGGATAGAATTGGTAGAATCCCTTAATAAAAAAAACGAGTTCAATTGACTCAATTGATTTAAGATATAAATTTATATTTAAAAATATATATAAGATATATTACAGTATATATAGATATATAATGATATATATATAAGATTTAATTTCATCTATGCTGTCTATTCTTAAAATGTATTTATTCTTTTTTATTCTTCTTGATTCTTCGTTTCTATTCTTTGTCAGTTTTCATGTGCTTTCCCGTTAACTTGTTTTTGGGTTTGGTACAAGAAGGTGTTTGCCCTTGCGCTACTGCTCTTGCATGTTCAGCTGTGTAGGCGCAAGGCTGGGGTTATCTAACTCCTGGACGTTTTGATACCTTAAAATATCTTAAAATCAAAATCAAAATCAGCTACACAGATTTGACTTGCCGTGCGCAGGTTCCACAGGCTATTGGGTGTGAGGTGAAAAGTGACAAAAAGTGGAGTGTTGCTGTGTTTCTTTTTCTGCTTTGGCTGCATGCTGGTCAAACCCAAAAAATTAAGTAGAAGAATCTAGAAAATGTGGACTATGCACATGTGCCTTCCAGATCTTCCAGATGCTGTCAGTAATGGCCTCAAAAGACCACTAGAGTATCTGGTGCCCTTATATACATTCAATTTGCACAGCAGGATGCTAATAAATGACCAGCAGACAATGACAACCGCGAAATGTATAAAACAAATATACATTCCTACATAAACGACTTGAAAAAGGTTGTGAAGAAACCCAAGAGATCCGCAAGTGATAATTGGCAAAACAGATGAAAGGTGTTTTGAATTTTGAACCCTTGTGCATTGTACTTTCTCGAACATGTGAAACATGGTGGTTCTCAAGTCAGCACTTAGGACGAAAGCAAAAAGGAGAAAAACGAAAAGGCGAAAAGACCATCTGTATCCCGTCTGTGTGGACCTCGCACTTCTTTATATTTGGTGTGGTTCACTCTTTCCGGCTTGGAACGGTTTTGTTGCTTTTGATACAACTTTTGAATGAACTATGCGCAAATAATTAGGTAGCAACAGACTTAGCCCAGAGATCCCCTTCACGCAGCTTGGAGAATCCAGCCCATCCACACCCATATGTATACGTACAGTATAGCATACAATTTAGATTTAGATGCATTGATACAAATAGATACTCAGAATCATAATATACATGTGTAATACATTATGCATATGCGTAACATCACACAACATGGCATGGCATAGCATAGCATAAAACGGCATAGGATTGCATAAAACAAACATGTATGGAAGATATAGAAGTGACATGCCATGACCTGACACGACATCAAACAAATGAAATACCATACCAATCCATTCCAAACCATGCCAATCCGTACCATATCATGTCTGTCAAATTATACTGCACCATGATGCACCATATCCCATTACAATCGCTTACATGGCATTACATTCTGTTACATACCATACGTATCCATAAGTATCCATACGTACCATTACATGCCATCAACATTGCATCACCTACACATATATACACATGTGGCACAATATATGCAAATACATATATACATACATATACACACACATGTATCTTGATATACAGTATATATCAGGTATCTATATCATTCTATATCTATATCATTCTATATCTATCTGAAACAAGCCAGAGTTAACTCCTTTCTAACTCCCGTTTCCAGCCAATCCCATATCTATCTACCTATCTATTTACCTGCCTATCTATCTACCTATCTCTCTAAGCTATCTATCTACTTTGCAATAGATCATTATAGATCAGACTGAAATATAATATACTGCAATAGACTACAGTGTCCCAACTTTGGAAGTGCCATGCCTGGAAGACCTTCACGAACTTCAAAACCCTCACTTTCAACTGAGGTCAAGGCGCATCCTTCCAGTCTCTGTCTCTGATGTCCCTGTCCCGATCTCTGGGATCTCTGGGATCTCTGGGATCTCTGGGATCTCTGTCCTGCCATGGTTTTGGAGGTGATATAAACATTGTATATGTATGGCAGTATATGGCAGTATATGAGTATATGGCGGTCCAGAATCATATAATGTAGGGCCAGTTGTTGTTCAAACAAGTGGGCGAATATGTTTCCACAGTCCGTGGTACAAATACATTAGGGAGAAACATGTTCTTTGCTCAAGTGTAGTCTGGCCAGCCAATATACAGTAACATGATATTGAAAATACTTGAAATGATACAGTATGACCCGCAGGACTCGAAGGAATATTTCCACCATTACAGGAGACCCCTGACACATGGACAGGAGCTACTTCAAAGTTGAAGTGTTTCAGGCATCAACGTTAAAGGGTGGGTGATCTCACAAGAAGCTTCAGACGAAGACAATACAATACAATCTTGAACTGAAGTTTCTTCCTCCTCTTCAACTGACAAGTGGGTTTCTGGTTTTCCTGGTGAACAAACAAGTCACCCTCTCTATCCCTCTCTCTTGTGTTGACAATCATTGGGCATCGCATAAGCCTAAGTCACCCTCCGGCAGGTCAAACTCTGAGTCGATTCAAAGATCAAAACGATATCAAAACGCGGCGGCATCGACCCTGTGATCCCGATCGCGTGAATCTCGTCTTCTTTCTCTCGAAACCTGCACTGAGCAGAGTTGGTCTCAAGTCGGCTTTAACGTGGTATTGCAGCCCGTGGCCTTTGACAAGATTTCGAGAAATGCACTGAGGTTGGTTAAACAAAGTTAAATGATTAAATGACTACATAACAATATAATTAATATGTAATTTGTAAGAACAAACCCGACACACATCAGAATCATCAGAAGGTTTCCATAAAATTCATGATTTCTGCTTCTTTCTTTTTCTTTTTCGCTCTTCAATTTCTTCAATTTCTTCAATTTCTTTCTCCTCACGACCTGCGACACAAAACTCTGAAGGCCTCTCTGCGGCGCCGTCGGCTCAGGGAGCGTCGTGGACTTCGCCGGGCGCTGAGGGACCGCCGACGGCTCCCGGAGCGCCGGCGTCGGCTCCGCTCCTTGCGGCCACAATCGGGGTGACATTCTGGTGACACGTGGTGAAACTCGACATGTTCCTGGTGAAACTCACACAATCCCATACAATCCAAACAGATCCAAACAGATTGCCAAGATTTGCCAAGGTCAGCAGATGTCAGCAGTCCCCCCCTAACATCAGAACACATGTTTCCATTAGATTCCATTAGAATCCATTCATTTCCATTCGCATTGAAATCAAAAATAAAAATAAATAAAATAAAATCGTCATGCGTTGCCATTGTGCTGCTCGCCTCGTGACGCTGTGATCGCTGACTCATCCTGACAGAAATGGTTTGTTTTCTATCAGCATGTTTTCCGTGTTTTGATGTTTTACATTGTTTTACAATGTTTTACATTGTTTTACTACTTGTCTTCTGCAACGAAAATCGACAAATGGCAGAACGAGCTGCCTTCGGATGAAATCTCACGCCTTTGATCTCATTCAAAAACAGTCTGACGTCAACTCTGCAGATACCGCGAAGCCAGAAGACCAAAGCAGAACACCCGTCACTTGTGACCAAAGCAAATCACTCCAGAAGTCGTTTGAATCAGATTGCAAAAACAGTGCATAAAAGGTAGACAAAGGAGAGGCAAGTGGGAGACAAGTGGGAGACAAGTGGGAGACAAGTGGGAGACAAGTGGGAGACAAGTAGCTAACGCGGAGACATGGTGGAACAGGATCCCTGTATATGCTGAACTGAGGAAGGAAGAAGGGCGCAGAGGGAGACACAGGGAGACACGCGGGAGACAAGCGGGAGACAAGCGGGAGACAAGCGGGAGACAAGCGGGAGACAAGCGGGAGACAAGGACGTGACACGGAGATCCGTTTCTTTGCTGGTAATTAACAATATTTATGATATTTTATGATATTTATGGTTAGTTATGTTTGCTTAAAGAAGACGTGAGGTTAGAAACGGTTGATAAATTCATGATAAAACCATATAAAACCGTTCTCTTCTTATGGCGCCTTGAACTCAATGATTGTTCCAAAGCACGGAATCACTTTTCAGATCCTTCAAAGGCCGCACCTCTTCCAGCACCCGGCCACAAACCATGGCCGAACGTCAGCGGAGCCCCGCTTGCAGCATGAAAAGCATGAACGAGGCTGGGCTGTTTTTCAACTCGACAGTGTTCTTTGTGTCCTACGGTGCATTGAAATTGAACCTCTAAGATTTGTATACCATATTATACCTTTCCCATATTGCATAGCCGAGGATAGCATTTTACTGCTTGCGTTGAATAGGGGCTTTATGTTGCTGCATGCCGGTTTGTTGCTGTTTTTTAGAATGGAGGCGTTTGACATCTTTTGACCATGTCCAAAAGCTGCAGCACTCAGTAGTTCCAATGGTGGCAATTGCACCTCACACCTACATTTTACGACGGGTACTTCCGGTTACCCACGACTATACCTGCAGTATATAGGAGTCCAGGTCAAGGTGTCGTTTCAATCCTTCAGATACAAGTAGCCTCAGATCCTTCCGTACCTAGCAACTCTCGAGCTGCTTTTTACATCTTTTGCATTCTTTTACTGCATTGGTTACATGTCCCGGCGGAATCAGCTTTGTTCCTTGATGAGTTCCAGGTGTTCAATAATGCGCAGCGTCAGGAGCGGGATGTCTTTTCTTTTCTTGAAGCAACAACTGTAGAACATAGTCACAGAATCTTGTGGTATACCTTGCAGGGGCCATCGAGTCATTGCGAATGCACTCCCGGCAAATACCTCTTGACTGACTTTCGAGACATGTTTGAATCTCTTTCCATCATCTTGAACATGACGTGTTGCATCCTTAGCCTAGATGAAGCTGAAAACGAATCCTCTGCCTATATTTTGTCTCGCTCCCAAGTTCTTGTACGAAGGAATGTCATCCCATCTTGAACTTGGGAGCGATCTTCATCAACCCCCATCAGGGCCATCAATCAGCAGGGTGAATCATGGTGGTTGCGATGAACCATGGTGAACTATAGCTATAGATAGCTATAGATAGCTATAGTCGAATGTCGTCGAATGTCGTGTATGCATTGCATCGTGTATGCATTGCACTCTCTTGCCTGGCGACCAGCTTCGCTTAGCGTGAGAGCATTTGCGACCAGCGTCTTTCTGCTATATGGATGCTGTCCAGGCAAGCAGTGACCTATTGACTGGACAAGAAATTCCCAGGACAACATGAACATGCTTCAACATGCTTCATCATGCTTCAGACATTTTGCACCAAGACAACAAAGTGGCGCAAGCGGGCACCTCTACATCACGATTTACACCGCGGGGAGCGAGCATCCTTGCATTGCAAAAAAAACGCTACAAAACTGAAGCATTATATATATACGCTCCCTTGACAGTCTTGACAATTGACTGCAAACCACGCGGTGCAGGTATTGCTTCAATAAAAAATGCTGAAAGGCTCCAAAGGCAACATCCTACTGAACCGTTTTTTCCGCCATCCTCTTCAATGTGGAATCCAATCCAGTCTTTGGAAAACTCAGTGAAGGGATTGCACAGCCACCCCTTTTGAGTGACCTGCAAAGAAACCAAAGAACACGCTCAACTGGAGCCATTGAGTTTAAACAGTCATTTGAGTCATTTGATTGTCATCTGTAATCTCCAAGTCAGTGCTCCTCAAGAGTGTCTAAGTCTATGTTTTTTGGTTAATGTGGCTTTCTGCTGACTTTGACAACGACGGGCTGAATAGTGTTTCTCAATATCTACATCATCTTGGTATCAATCCCCCAACACCACTCAACACCACAAGCTTCAGCGGAGAGAAAATCCAGGGAAACACATCACTGCAATGGGCGTGGCGTTGCATGAAAAATGAGGATGCCAAAAGTTCACAAACCGAAGCCTTGTAACATCTTGTAACATCTTGTAACATACATAGACATCCGCATAAACATGCCAATCATACGTTACATCCCAAGAAACTATGCTAATCCTATAATACCAAAACATGATACGGCCAGCATGCTCAAGAGGATCAAAACGCTTCGAATAATAGAAAGGAATAGAACGGGTTTACAATACAAAGCAACCTTCGGGCTCAAAAAGTGCGCGTCCGGGAAAACATCTTCGAATGTCGCTCACTCTTCCCCTTTTCGACGGAAGGTGTATCCATAATGCCAAGGCGGGCAGTCAATAGGGCCTCGAGCAACCTGACACGCAGGAAACCCAGCGAAATAGGAAAGAATGGAAAGAACATGAGAGAACTTCCGGTCTTGGAACACTGAGAAAATCCGAGACACAAAGAGTTTCGACGTATTTTGAAATGAGTTGAAGCTTTGCGTCTTGAGTTAGTTTCACAGCACAAGGTAGCAGCAAAAACACTACAAGAAGATTATTCTTTCGGGTGCCACTGTGATATTATGGTGATATCATGGGGAAATAAGACAGAGTTTGTCTCCGTATTAGAGTATAGAGTTGCATGGTTCTGCTGATTGGGGATCCGTCACAGGGTTGGTAAATGTTCTAATTGAACATCATCCGACTATTGATACGATTGGGGGTATAGTATGGTATAGTCTCAAAAGATATACTTGAAAGTGATGTTCAAAAACATGCTCAAAACAGGACATCTAATACATACATTTATAATCATCTATATATACGTATACATTTATCAAGTTTTGCGTCATGACTCATGACTTAACTTTACCCAGTCGTCGAACGGACTTCGCCTCTAGCAGTCCTGGCACGATTCAGATTCAAGTTCAAAGAATGTTCGCTGTCGTCATAAGAGGGGCAAGTTCTGAAAGCGTCAACAATCTTGATGTGGCTCCAGTAGTTTTGCATGACTGGTGCCAAGCACTTGTGGCATCTTTCGAACATGTTGCATCAAATTTGAAATAGACGGGTGTCAAATGAGATTCAAGTCTACTGCTGGAATAATTACACGGACCCTGTACACAGTAATTATAGTAGGTGTGGTTAATACTGGGCGCTCTCAGGAAGGACGCTCACTTTGAGCATGGGTCACTATGAGGGCACTACAGTCGAGGGCTGAAGTCAGAGCAATTTTCTTGAATGTGGACAAACCGCTTGCGGAAAAGTAAAAATCAACGCGATAGTAAAAATTGAACTTTTTCCAGGCGCACGGCCCTAAAACAATGAAATCGTTCAATTACTAAAAGTGATGCGAAACTTGAACTTTTTCCAGGCGCACGGCCTCCCGATACGACTTTCAGAAACTGATACGACTTAAACCGGGCACTTGTATGGTCATCCAAGAACCCAACGGAAATACATGGATTTGACCCACAAAAGCCTCTAAAACGATGCAACAAATCACTGCAAATCTCATAGGCACAGCCACAATCGCTACGACCCCCTGAAAAGCTTCGCCCAATGGTATGGACTCAAAAGCAAAGAATCGCTACGACTTTGACCCTTGACTGTATGAATTCACTATGAAGTCAAACTTTGGCTTTGCAAACGATGTTTCTAAACGATGTTTCTAAACGAGTGTTTGTTTTAATTTGTTTTGTCTACGCGAAGTGTTTGGTCCGTGTCCTGTCTGCACGGCCCATTCTTCCAGCTGCTCAGGACCTCCAGCTCAAGTCCGACAGCAATCGAAACAAAAACGCCTTGCGAAAAGCCTTGAAAAATCTAAGAAGAAAAAATATGAAAAAATGTCATAGAAATGTTCGGAGAATGTCGATACGTCAAGATGTCAAGATGACATGTCAAGAAATGTCCTAAGAACGTCTAAGAACAGTACGTGGACGGATCTCCATGGGCGGACCCCTTGGAGTTGAAGAATCATACCTGGCTGACTATATATATATATATATTTATAGAGATCATATAGCTATACAAAGTGGCTACTTGAATTCCGCTACTCATCATATTTTTATGCAAGTGACAAATGATGACAGGACATGACAGGACATGACAGGACTTCTGTTTCAGGATCTTTCCAAATTCACTGTCAAAGGATCGCCAGGCTGGCCTCCAATGGGTTGCGTAAATTAGACCGCCTGGTTTCAGCAAATCTGCTGCCTGTTGCAGCATCTGAACAGGTGCCTGGGAGAATCTGAGAGGCGTCCGAGAATTTTTCAGGAAGAGAGCCACAATGAACAAATATGAACAAGGAACTGACACAACAGATACACAATGCAGACATATGCAGACAATGCATGACAATGCATCAAAATACACAAAGAAATCACAAAGATATGACAAGACTTCTCGACCAAACCCTGCCTCGCAATGAAGGATGTTCATCAATAGGACAGCATCAACAGAAGTGTCCAAGCCATAGCCAGTGGCCACGACATCACGCACCTTCCCGCATGGCCACTGCGATGCAACAAATATCAGATCACTGTGGAGAGCAAGGCACAAGAGATGCACATCATCGACATCAAGGAAAGTAATCGTTGGAAGAAACAAAAGAACCAGTAGTGTCGAATTCTATGCCTCCAGTTTTACATTCTCTAGGTGCGGCTTTTGAGAAAGCAGTCCTTAGTGCATTGCACAACAGCAGGGAGAAAAATGGTGGACGCTCTACACTGCATGCTCTACACAGCATTTCTTTCCTGCGAAACAATAGTTTCTGCTCGCATAGAGAAAAACTAGACTGGTGTATGAATTGATTGAGAGGTCAGAAAGTGCAATGCAAGATTAGTTCTGATGAGCGGCTTTGCTGTGTGTTTCCGACCATCTCGTGATCGATATCAAAGCTGTAGAGCTGATGAACGCGCTCGGCAACCTGTGGGTCTGAAGTTGGTTCCAGTGGACCGCTTCCAACTCTGTAGCATGAAGAGGTGGCATTGCATTCCGTTTCCATCATTTTCCATCTAGGCCGGTCTCCGAACGGTGAATTGGTGAATTTACAACCCGAGACATCCGAGACACTGGTATGGTGAAAGTGCCATACCCGCAGCCAAACTCCACAATAGTCTCATGTTGGTGTTGGCCAACAAATCCCAGCAAATCCAGCCTTAGGGAGGCACACGCATCGAAAGCTTCAGAAACATGTAAAAACTAAAATTAAAACAATCCAAATAATCCAATTAAACAGACCAACATCTGAATAGATCTGAACAGGTTCAAACATGATGCAAACTCAAACAAGCAAACAAACCTGGCACATCATGCTACCATGAATGAGAAAGCCCAAAAGCCTGGACATAAAGATCACTCGCATTCTTCGAAAATAACAAGATGCTGGTCCTGTATTATTGGGATTTATCAGGATGTTGCTAGAGTCAAGTCAGTCAACACTGGATTAACATGTAATTAGTCATGTAGACAAGAGTTGCAGTATCAAGAGTTGTGCAAAGAGAATCTGTACCAAACGCAGTTCAAGGGTGGTCAAACTGGGTCAAACTGGTCAAACTGGTTGCCAGATGTTGCCGGGGTACGTCGATTCTGCACTGACAAGCTGCTCCCACCAGTCCACCTGGCATCTTGGGGCATGTATGGCATGTGCTCAGGCCATCCAAGGCCGTCCAAGGCCAACAATCTACGTCCGGAGTCCACCGAATTATGGGAGGTTAGAATGTAGCCAACTTGGCCAACTTGGCCAACTGTTTGGGATCCGATAAATGTCATTCAACTGAGAGTGAATGAATATGAAACGTTTGAAATAGCGCATATTATAATATATGATATAATCATATATATATATATACGTGATTGGGTAAATCACGAACGACATAGAAAGACCCTGACTCTGTCCGGGCTGTTCGGGATGTTCAGGATCCGTAAAGTGGCCAGCGTATCAAGATGTCAAAGGCAACCAATATACACAGAGCAGGACTCCTTCGCACAGGCAAGGTACCACTGGCATACCACTCTCGCGCACACGCGCCGTTGCTACAGCGGTGGCCTAGGGACAAAACAGCGTGGACTACATCGGCCATCTTAAGAGAAACAGGGTGAAAGATAACAAAATCAATTCTGCTGAACATTGTGAACATTGCTGAACTCCTCAATTCGAATGTCCAGAAAATCATGACAAGTCTTGCCTTTGCCCGCAGTGATCTGCAGGAAACAGCTGCCTTGAAACCAGCATCTGGCATATATCTCAAAATTTCTGACTTCAACATCTTCAACATTTCCGCCATTTCAAGAAAACTCCGAGCATGGAGAAATTTTGAAGTTGAAATTGCAAAATTCGCTCTTTCCAAAGCCCCAATGGCCCCAGTAAAACTTGACTTTGCGAAGAAGGCAATCACAGAATGGCACGCAATTCTTAAATGTTGTGAAGTTGTGCAATTTTGTGCATCGTTTTTCGAAGTACAAGTCATTGGTACGTTCACTCTGTATGGGTGATTTCACATGAGTTCACCTTTGCGCCCACTTTGAAGCAGCTGAGGAATGAGTTGCTGAAAATGTTTGAGCTTGGCTGCAAGAGCCACTGGGCCAAGTCGGACACTAAAACTCCGCATGGAAGAACCTGCCGCACACAAGTTGAGAAGTTGATGTAATCAGTCTCAGTCTGAGCTCTGCAAGTGCATAAGTCACTAATTCTTGGAAATCCTTTTGGACTCCGAGCGTTAAACAACATCAAAGGTACACAAAGACATAGACTGAAGCTGTACACTCCCCCAGGCCACTGATGGCGCTAGGAGGTTCAATTTGCGTCTACGCTCTGTCCTGTGCACTAGCGCTATGCAAAGACTGCGAGCCTTGTCCAGAGATTAGCCTTCCAGATCAGGAAGCTTCTAAGTGGTGATCGAAAGATGACTCGACATAAAGTGCAAAATTCGCAAAATTCATCAAATTTCTATGTCTATCCTGTATACTAAGATTGCATAGCACAACGATGCAGAGTGCGTTCGCAATTTCATCGAAGGTTTCCTCAGTGTGTCCGCCTTGCCAGGTGCGGAAGCTTCTTGGGCTTGAGCTGAGTCCTGTCAGTGGAAATCAATGGAAGGGGTTGACAACGTTTGACGTATAAAGTCCGTTGAAGTCTGGGATGTCCCGGGATGTTCCAGGATGTTCCGGGTATCTTGACTCATCTTGACTCCATACATTGATCATTGATGGATTTGAGCCTGCCATGCACTGCCATGCTCGCGGCAAAGGAGCTAATTCCATGCCGAATTCAAATTCCTTCCGGATGCCAAACTGTGCGCTGCTGGCATGGACTAATCCCTGATGTATATGTACTCGTCACATACACGCGTTATATTTTAGTTCATTGAGACTTGCCATGGTAGTCCAAGCAACCATGGCGCAGGGCGCCGAAAGGCAAAGGAAGAAGCAGCAGAAGCGGCCAGCATAGCAACGGACAGATTCGGAAGCTTCGAAAATTGACAAGATTTCGCGAGTGCAATATATTGTAATACTCTGTCAATTCTTTGTAAATGCCTCAACGCGTTATTTTTCGGGCTGGCTCTTGTAGCTTTTGCAGCTTTCGCGTGCTGCCATGTGACACTATGGGGTGCGATGTCATGTGATGTCATGCGCTCCCTTCTGCTGCATTTTCCTTCTGCTTCCATGTTAGTTCCAATCAGTTTCATGAAGCCAATATGACCTCTGGCACAGCATTCTACTTCATGACAGTGTCTTCATTGATCGCATGACATCGGAGCCTCTCTTCAGCATGACCCAATGACTCAAGCCAGCTTGGCTGCAGAAGGCTGGACGTGGAGTTGTACACTTCCAATACATACGAGATCGTGCGACTGTCCACAGACATGCAGTAGATTGCAGTAGTGCAATTGTCTGATGCTGAGGTCCCTTGCTGCTTGGCAGCACCCAAGAGTGAAAGGGCCTGGGGTGCTCACAAAAGGACTGGCCTCTTGACTACTCTTAACTTGTCAATTTCACGAGTCAGCATCTCAGCATCTCATATGAACTCATCGTGTGTTTTGCAGACCGCATTAAGATCACATATAAGACTTCTTGAGCGGCCTCCTGCAGCTCTGCTTTGAGTTGCTGCGCGGGCATGGCAAACGATCCAGTCTCCCTGTAGTCCCTGGAACCTCACAGGTGGGAAAGGCTGCTTTGTACCCACAACACAAAAGTTTTGAACGCCAAAATCTGCCGGATTATTTCACATGTACATAGGTAATGTAGTGTTTGGCAATATCATGTATTTATTTATTTATCTATTTATTTATATCTTTAGTTTTACTTTTATTTCTATTTTTATGTTCATATTCATATTTACAGATATTTACAGTATATTCATATTTACAATATATAATTTTATATATTCAGAACCATAGTGTGGGCAAAGCAACGGAATGTAGTCAAGCGTAGTGCAGGGCAAGACAATACGCAGAATGTCGCAATATGCTGCAGAGTGTAGTACAGTGCAACACAGGCATGCAGGTATGTGACAAGTCACATGTGCATGATGTGGGTGCAAAAAGTGACTGGATTGTTCGTTGTCTCTGTAGGCAACCTATCTGGAGCACTTTATGTTTGCATGGTTGTACCTCGCCCATCTTGAAGTATCTGAGGTACCAATGCCTCTACATATGGATCAACGTACGAATTCATGGGTCTATGGATTCATGCGTTCAGATGTGATTTTTTTTTTTGTGTGTGTGTGTGCGTAAGTGTGGGTGCACATTTATCTTGCATGTCAATGTGAGGCATACCGGGCAAACTCCATTCAATGTAATTGATCGGATGCAAATGTAGTGGTATGGGTGCAATTCGACGCATGCGATGATACGGGATGTGATGCAATGTTCTGTGTGGATGTTCATGGATATACATATATACATATATATATATATTATAATAACAATAATAATAATCATAATAATAATAGTAATAATAATAAGAATGATAATCATGAACAATAATACCAGGTAGTGCCCGGCACGCGCCGGGGCGGAAGTTTCGAAAATAGAACCGGCTATAGGAACCAGTTTGCCTATAGGATTTTTTGGTGAGTTGGAAAGAAGCGAATTGAAATGAAATGAAATGCATGAAATGAATGACTTGAAACGAATGAATTGACATGAAGGAATTCAAACGAAGGAATTCAAATTGAATGAGAATGAAAATGAAAATGAAATGAAATTTAAAATAAAGATGAAATTGAAATGAAATGAAATGAAAAGAAAATGAAATGAAAATGAAATTGAAAATGAGAATGAAATGAACATGAAAATGAAATGAAATGACATGACATGAAATGAAATAAAATGCATGCATGCATGAACGAATGAAAGAATGATTGAATGACTGACTTGAAATCAATGACATGAAATGAATGCGTTGGCATGAAGGACTTGATATGAATGACTTGAAATGAATGATTTGAAACGAATGAATTGAAATGAATGAATTGAAACGAACAACTTGACATGAATGAATGAATGAATGAATGAATGATTGAATGATTGAATGATTGAATGATTGAATGATTGAATGATTAAATGATTAAATGAAATGAAATGAAATGAAATGAAAATGAGCTGAAACGAAATGAAGTGAAATGAATGAACTGAAACGAAGGAATTGCAATGAATGACTTGAAATGAATGAGTTGAAATGAATGAATTGAAATGAGTGAGTTGAAATCAATGAATTGAAATGAACGAATTGAAAATGGAAATGAAGGAACTGAAACGAAGGAATTGCAATGAATGACTTGAAATGAATGAGTTGAAATGAATGAATTGAAATGAGTGAGTTGAAATCAATGAATTGAAATGAATGAATTGAAAATGGAAATGAAGGAACTGAAACGAATGAATTTAAATGAATGACTTGCCAAAAGTGGTCCGCCGCCGTCTGTTTTTGTTTTTTATGTGAAATCAAGCTCTCGCTACGGTCTCGTGCGCCTTTTGCCGACCTCATGATCCAAAAGTGATCCGAGCCCGACAGTTTTTGCGATTTTTATGTGAACTCTAACTCTCGCTACAGTATCGTGCACTTTTTGTCGACCTCATCTTCCAAAAGTGCTCCGAGCCCGACACAGTCTCGTGCACCTTTTGCCGACCTCATCGTCCGAAAATGCTCCGAGCCCGACAGTTTTTTACAATATTTATGTGAAATCGAACTCTCGCTACAGTCCTGTGCACTTTTTGTCGGAAACTTTCCCCAATCGACCCGACCAAACGCGGAAACAGAGACCCTCCTTCGGCGACCACGGAAGCCACTTTACCCGAAAAAACACAGGATTTCGTGCCCGAGAGTGTTTTCAAGCCTGAATTCACGCGTTCCCGATCTCTTACACTTCCCAACTACTTGATGATGATGATGATATGGTTGCCATGATGATGCGGTTCACATGATGATTGAGATGATGATGTGGTTGCCATGACGGTGAGAAAGCTAGCCTTGACAATCGCCCGTAACTCGGAAGTTTCCTAACTAAACTTCCTTTGAACATGTAGGTATGTATGCATGCATGCATGCATGCATGTATGTATGTGTCTATGTGTTTATGTGTGTATGTATGTGTGTATGTATGTATGTATGTATGTATGTATGTATGTATGTATGTATGTATGTATGTATGTATGTATGTATGTATGTATGTATGTGTGTGTCTGTGTCTGTGTCTGTGTCTGTGTCTGTGTCTGTGTCTGTGTCTGTGTCTGTGTCTGTAGGTCTGTAGGTATGTAGGTATGTAGGTATGTAGGTATGTAGGTATGTAGGTATGTAGGTATGTAGGTATGTAGGTATGTAGGTATGCATGCATGGATGGATGGATGGATGTATATGATATATGGACAAGTGCACAAACTACATACAAATATATATAATTATATATATATATATACACTTAATATACACATACACACGGACATGAAATGACTACACAAAAGAGCCCTGTTGTATCTTTTGGTTCACTAATTAGGGCCAGTCGAAGCTCCTCTGCGCAAATTCATCAAAATATCGCCTCCATCCTGTCGCGTGAGCTCCCCAGCTATTGCAGACCTCAACTGGTGGAATGCTTGGCTCTTGCTACGACAAAAACACTCACAACTTCTCACAACAAGAAAAACAATCAAGAAAAATGCAAATAAACATAGAGAAACAAATCTTTCAGCGACAATATGCAGCGCAATCTCAATGAACATCTCTTTCAATATCCTCTTAGAATGTAGCAGCACGTTCGCATCAAGGACTGCACGGCAATACCCCGCCTAAACAGCGATGCTGAAATGCTGAATTTGACTCCGTCGACACAGCACCCCATTCCCAGCGCCTTTGCTGCTGCCAAAGTAAGCTGCGCGCCACCGTGACGAGTGTCTTGGGCAAACCTGTGCTTTTTGTACAAACACGAGCCGGGACACATCCATGAAGTTTGAAATCCTACGCCCGAACGCAGTATGCCAAAACGACAGTGCCACTGGAGTATCGAAAAAATTGTGTGTGTATCTATATACATATCATATACATATACATACATATATGTATATATGGCCCCGCCCGGCGTCCGGCAACCCCCCCATGCTATCCCCCCAGCAACCCCCCACGGGGGTGGCTAGCCATCTACCACCATCCGTCAAAATCTCATATGCTCATGCTATACTTAAATGCTGGCCTCGTGCCACCTATGCACTACATGACAGGATACCTCCATGCAGCGTTCACTACTGCCTATTATAATATTGCCATAGAATCTATTTACAGCGTATTACTGCCAATAAAGTACCTATATAGTAGCCATATACTAGCTACTATCAAGATCTCATGCGCTATACATACGTGCTAGCCACATACTACCTAAACACTATCTACATGATACCTCTATAACACCCCATCCATCCCACAGGGGGGGCGGGGGTAAAGTAGACCCTACATCAATCATTTATATGGTAGCAAAATGTCAACTATATCCGACAGCGTATATGCATGACCATGAGGGGGGGGTGGTGGGGGGTTGCAGGGCCGAGCCACATATATATATATATAATTATATATAATAATAATATATAATAATAATAATAAATAAATAAATAATAATAATAATAAATAATAATAATAATAATACTAGTATACAATAATATACGTACATACACATATGAGTACATTGTATATATATATATATTTATATATAAATATATATGTATATATTTATATTTATATAGATATATATTATATATATGTATACATACACAGTATATCACAGTCTATTCAATGACAGTGTATTCATGATGCAGTATATTGGGGAAGACTGGCATCTTCCAATTCCCACAATCTCCAGAGGAAAAAATACGCAGATCGCAGCTCCACGAGGCAGGCCTCTCCTCCAGCTCACGCAAATGGACCTAGCAACAAACATGGGTGACATCTTGTCTTCAAAGTCTTCAAAATCTTCAAATTGGTTGACACGGTTTGGAGATGTTTCAAGTCATTAGTCCAATTTTGACTCATACTTCATTGAGGATTCCATACCCTTACACTACAAAGTATCACAGTAAGAAAAAAACTGAACAATTCTGCAAGTGTCCCCAAGAAATCAGAATCCAAATTAAGGCGATCCACATTGCCTATCAAGCTCTTTATCAATTCACTGTATAATTCATCCATCCACCTACCTACCTGACTGCTACCTGCCTTTGTCAATTTGTACCTACCTGTTTATATATCCTTCTGTCCATCCATCCATTTGCCCTATAGACCTACCTGCCCTCCCTACCCATCCACGCATCTACCTGTATACCTATCATTACCTATCTATCTGCCTGCCTACCTCCTAGTCTGTGTATATGTCCATCATTGTCTGTCTAAGTACATGTCATATAGCCTACCTACTCATCTAATTATCTTGCAGTATATTGTATACTGTCTTCATGTCCATTTGAATCTGTCATAATCTGTCTATATAGCGAATCTAGAATCCAGAGTAAAATATAGTGAAATTAAAAAAAAAAACGGTGGGCAGAAGCTGAGGGTGCCGCGACGGAAATTCCACGCCTTAGCAGCATTGAACGGCGTCTGATGTTGCCATGGAAGGGCAGTCAGATTTGGCGATGGAGCTTGGCATTTCGGCTGAAGCTTTGGTGAAACCAAGATTCAACTCATGCAAATCTCCATTATTATTGTTTTGGGTTGGTTGGCAAAGCAACGACCACGGCGCGATTGTAGCACTGGACACACCTGTAGGATACTGTGCCATCCTGTACCCAACGTTCAGCCAGGACACTGTCCCAAACAAGCCTTTCGACTGAACTGGTACATTGCCTGTTCCAAGTTCGCCAAGATTCAAGCCATTCTGTTTGATCAGTTGCAGCAAACAAACAGATTGTCAAAATATCATGATGATATCATGATGATATCATGATCACAAAATATCTGCCGCAAAGAATCTGCCTACGTTCTTTGGCAAAAAATCTGTCTCTTGTGACCTGGGATGATTTGGGTGTCACCACAACTGGAGACTGGAGAGCCTCCTCAGCCACAACAAAAAGAGTTCGACCTGGGCATCGCTTCGGAGTTTTTGCGACTTTGTGTCACATTTGCGTTTTTTCTGAGAATTGTTTCTAGAATATGAACTATGAGCTCCCGTCAAAATCCTTTACATCTGAGTAGTCGCTTGTTATGGTTATCGCTTTTGGGGGGCCTATCGCTTTCCAGGGTTTTGTGGAAATCAGCATATTCGAGATCCAACATGAAGCCAAAATCCATTCCTAAACAGGCTCGGAAATGGATCGAGCAGTTGTTTTGTTGGTTTCAAGTGCTTCGGCAACACTTCATGTTCCTTTCGTGTTGCATTTATTTGCATGCATGTTCCTTTCATTTGCATGCATCTTCCTTTAATTGTGCATTCATTTCCTTTCATATTCCTTTCATGTTCATTCCAATGTTCATTCATGTCCTCTCATCTTCCTTTCATTTGCACACATGTTCCTTTCATTTTTCATTAATGTCCTTTAATTTCCTTTCTAAAGTTGTGGAAATGGCTCTATGGCTTGGCCAGGGAACCCGAGTGCAGCAAATGGTTATCGCAAAGTTATCGCCAAGGTTATCCCTAAATAACCCCTCCAACATATGACATTGTTCGAAGGAAATTTGCCACAAAACGACAGAGAGAGAGAGAGAGAGAGAAAAAAAAAAGAAAGAGAGCGAGCGAGTTGGATGCCAAATGCTATGGTAACTGCAGGAAACAGGCCACCACAGGTTGAATTTCCCTCATTGGTTTTGCCCGGCCCGTTCTGTGAATGTGCACAACAGTATTGGTTTACGCAAAGTTTAATGGACTGTCGTGTATGGTCCCAGGTTATCGCTTTTGGGGGGGCCTATCGCTTTACAGTGTTTCGTGCACATCTCTGACAAAAAACTCCTGCAAGACTAAAGTAGTCTTCAACCATTTTGACCGTGGCTCATATTATGAACATGATACCAAGATATACCAAGTGTAACAATATGCATGTAGTTGAAACATGTTGAAACGAGCAAACTTGCTCGAACAAGCACACTATGAACAGATATGAACAGTATGCATACAGTATGCATTCTGTCATTCTGTCATTCTGTTGGAATTTCCGGAATGGGACTCAAACCTGGCACCTCAATATTGGAATCCCACAGGAACCTCAGCACTGCTCAGAATCATTCTTGAAGCATGGTTGTGAAAAATTGCAAAAGCTCGCAGAAAGAGCCTCTCAGAGAGCAATCTTCAAACATGGAGCTTTCGCAGTTGTGTTGTTCCAAGATAAGTTTTTTAGGATCTTTTCTGGTCATGTTGGTAAAATTTTCCTTCGAACTATCAGGTTTTATATGTTTTACAATTCAATCAATGTCTTGTTTTAAGGTTGGATTTCAAAGGCTGCCCGGCGCGAAGTCAAGTAGGTGCACCATGCGAAAAGAAATCCTCGGAGATGGCATGCATGCATTACTGTAATATGTATATTTATTTATCTAACTATATATTTATTCATTTATTCATTTATTTTCATGTTCGTTATTATTTTGTTGTGTATATACTATATAATACTATATATACGTATGATTACATGAAATTATATATGCTTAATAGATGGATGTATAAATCACACACCATATTCAAACATAACAATGTCAGGTGGCTCGTAGCTCACAGAAACTGACAACGAACAGTTGATCTCGTTGATCGGACTCATTCGGACTTCTGATCTCAGATTCTTCCTACAGCTGAGTTCTTGGCCCCAATTCGCTCGCAACTTGTTCGCTGTGGGCAGGGAGTTTCTTCAGCTGACAGGGAGGCTTGAGGCACTTGCTGTCTTCGTTTCATGATCGCAGGATGCCATGAAAAAGGAGTCAACACAAGAAGATGCGCAACAAAATCCAAGGTATATGCAGGATTCCACCAAAGCCGCCCTGCAGTTTGGGACACGCAAACAACTCAGAGGAAGATGACTTAGAACGTGCTGGGCGAATCTACCTGTAACAAATATTTTAAATCGACAAAGTCCATGCAGCCAAGACGTTGAAGACAGAGAGCTCATCGTGCTGAGCTCACCTACAGTTTTCTTGTCACTATATGTCACTATGAAACCCGCTGAGTTTTGCCTCTGTTGGAGGAGGGGCATCCAGAATCACGTCCACGACACCCCACCTGATGCACTGGCAGTTAGGTCCGCAGATTGTTAAAATATGTTAAAATCACTTAACAAAATTGCTTCCTTGTGCAGATGATCAACCATTAGATCGTCGATTAGCATCGAAATTAACATCCTCTCTCCCGCTTGTTGTAACCATTCTTCGTCTCTCTCTTCTTGCCTCGTGCAGCGTTGTAGCGGAGAGTTTTCATCTGTTTTGAGCTGCTCAATCTTTTGCCTCTCACCTGCAGCATGAAAGCTTAGAGAAAGAAATCCACTTCAAGAACAGGAGGCGTGAAACTATTGATTACTATTGTTTCTTGATTTTTCTTGTACTTGCATGATAAGGATTGGAAGACCAAGAGGTGCCAAATGCTCGGCCGCACTGCAGAAGACCATGCCTGGAGTGTTTGCCCTGGCAAGAAGCTCGTCCATGACCAGATTGAGCACGACAAAGACAATCCGATCCCTATCCTGGACGGCTAGACCAGTCATGCCGTCTAAGAACCTTAAGCAATACATAATATATCATAATATACAGATTACAGATGATTACAGTATATATTGGCTCATAAATGCCCCAGCTCCAAGTTGCAGATTCTACATGATTCTACCATGTGACAAAAATTGCCCTGAAAACACGTTGAATGGTGAGACCTTTGCATTTGCAATTGCAGCAAGATCGGAGCAGCAGAATTTCTAGAGCACGTTCTTGAATCATGGACTGTGAAGGGCTGAAAGTTTCCAAAAGCATTTCCATCGCAGCTGCCTGCACAATCACATCACTATCCGGAGGAACGCAACACCTGCAGGTTAAGAGCAACTTTAAGAACAACTTGTCAATCTGCAGGTTGAGGGCAAGCCTTTCTCTGTCCATTTCAGATTCTGCGAGTCAAAGGAGTCTCCACAATGCGATCACGCAATGTGTCAGTTGATTTCGCACCGCATTTTTTCCCACCGCATGTGAGAGTTGGGTAGCTGAGTGCCAAGTGAGCCAGAAGCAGAGATAGCTATCAAACCTTTCACATGCTTCATCCGTGTACCATGTATCTGCCAAAACAAGAAAAGCATTCACCTGCTTGATCACTTGAAGCCTCACTCCACTTGCAATGAGGTAATATAAGACACAAGGAAAAAGGCTCCTGTCCATCTTACAGATTCATTCGAGGGGTAAGGGAATCCACTTCTCAAAAGGATTGCTTAAACGAAATGCCAAAGTTCCGTATTTGTTTTGCTAAGACATGGATCGGAAGCTTAATCAGGCTCAACGTATGTTACGCATACAATATCATACAATGGCATACAAGCAGTTTAGATTAAACCTTAGAATCACAGTGCAAAAAAGGAAGTGTCAAGGATTATTGACAGGCAGGCACGCAAAACACGGTGTCAGTGAGCGTAGTAAGTTTGGATAGATTGTTTCTGGTTTGATCTTTATGCTGCAAAATTACCCTGGTTGATTTGCAAGCTGCTGCTCCTCACTTGGTGCACATGGCACATCTTCGAAAGGTGGGCTGCCATGAATGACTCCTAAGGACCAAGGATTCAATGTTCCACACTATGAGTGGACAGAAGACACGCTCAGCGATTGTGTGTGCATCCTTTAAAGCTGGATAGATGCCAATAAGATCTACGTAGTTGTACAAACCACCAATACATGGAGCATTCCAGACATGATGATAGAATTGCAGCTAGGTATGTCAATCTTGTAACCTTTGGAATCCTCAGTCCGTTCCCTTCCTGGTGTCCTTTTGGACTGTACAAGGATTAGTCTGGCTCTGAAGGAGTCTGGAATGGGAACGTCCACCAGACTGCCGTAGCATGAATACCTCCTCCAAAAATCCAAAAACATCTCGATTATATTCAATTATTATCATGGATGATTCGTCAGGTACATGCCCCTACACACCACCAGAATGGTGGGTCATAAATGGTCACAATATGATTGGCAAGTTGTGGCATCAACTGTGCACTCGGAGGTCAAAATGTCAGTGACTAGTGGTTCATGCAGTTGCTACTGCAAGGGAGGTGAAAAATGTAAAATCACCGTGCCCTTACAGTGCTAATTGGGGCGCTTTGAAGTCACCTAAAACAAACGAACTGACCTTGGAAGCTGCAGGACAGACAAAACGGCCAGCGCAATTTGCACTTCGCGGCTGCTCTTTGCAGGGAGCTGTCCGACTGTCTTACGATTACAGCCTGTTTAAGGCTCAGACAGATTTGATGGGTTCTATCTCGCCAAGTCAAGGTATAACTTTGGCAGATTCAAGTGAACCCTGCTGAAATCTGGGAGTCTGTTGGAATCTTCGTCCTGACTAAGGAGCATTTCCCTCAAGCTCCAGCGCTCTGAATCTTCACATTCAGATCGGCCTTGCATCAGTCCTGCCACTGAAACCGTTGATCTACAGGCCTCTGTTTATGTACCCGCGCGACGACACTCTAGATCACTCTAGACTCTGAAAGGAACCGCAACCCATGAATGAGGCACAAGGAAAACATAGAGAAAACTGAGAAAGAAACTGAGGAAGTTGTAATGTTCAGTCTGATTTAGTCTCCTCAACTTCCAATCAGACCGAGGACGAAGAATCTGAGCAAAGTCAAGCGAGACGAGAGATGAAAACACAAACAATCCCAAACAATCCCAAACAATCCCAAGTAATCATAAACGCATAACCTTGGCATAAACAGAGCTGGATGACTCAACGACTTTCAAGGCAAATGTCAAAGCATTAAAATTCTTTCAACCTGGCCCTTGGGAGGTAGCAGGCACTCTCCGGCTGGCCTTGAATCTCAACATGTTCTGATTCTTCATCTCTTCCAATATGCCACGCCTTGTATTCACAAGATTTCACAAGCTCACAGCATCATCCAAGTCACATCAGGTCACATCAGGTCACATCAGGTGACTTTTGAGATCATCAGGTCACTGATCTCTTTTGCCCTTTGATCATCTTTGATCATCTTTGATCCCTCAGGATCCCCTCGCATCTCGGCACTCTGCATGGGGATCACATGGGGTCGCCTTGATGGTCCACTGAGGAAAAGGCACATCTGTCACCTCGTTCACTGCAAGGATCTGGTCACCTGCACTTCAGAGATCTTGAGAGCACTTCGACTTCGGTAGTCACATGAGCATTTTGCCAAATTAAGCATAGCCAGGCATAACAACATCATGGCAGTGAGACTGCAGCTTCAACACAACTGTTCATACTCAAATGAACACACCTTGGCGCACTGCGCGATTCCTGCCATGATCATGAAGTGAAAGAATTTGACAAGAAAAACAATGCGCATAAATCATAATGTGCATACGTATAATTCATTTGCAGTATATAATGTATATATTCTTGTGGCATGACATGAGGACAATGCCTTTTGTAGATTTCATATATATATAGTACGTATAAGCCTAAGCACATGACCTACGATGACCTACGATGACCTACGATGACCTACGATGACCTACGATGACCTACGATGACCTACGATGACCTACGATGACCTACGATGACCTACGATGACCTACGATGACCTACGCATATATAATATATAGTATTGTAGAGTGTACATGAGGTAGAACATGCATGGCATGCAATTCTTGTTCAGGCCCGTCCCCTAGGTAGAAGACCTGTACAGTATATACTGCCAACTGAAGACCTTTAATGCTCTTGAAACCGCCTCACAGAATTGATCTGAACCGGTCTGGACATCTCGATTCTCCTCGTTAAATTTAATCATAAAGATTCATAAAACTGTTCAAAACATTTCACAACTGTTAGAGAAAGCGGGTTTGGAGTTTCGTCAGCCAACAAAGGCGGTGCGGCTCATAGTCCCCCAGGCACAGCTTGTTCCACGAGGGGATGACGCCGTCCATGTAAACTTTTTGCACCTCCGAACAACTTGCTGAAGCCATCGCCCACAATGCCCACAATGCCCACAATGCCCACAATGCCCACAATGCCCACAATGCCCACAATGCCCACAATGCCCACAATGCCCACAATGCCCACAATGCCCACGCCCAGAGCAAGAAACAGAAGAAAATTGGAACGAAACAGCGAGGAAACGCATGGATTGGAACTGCATCAAGCAATCAGCGGGGGCTCAACACATGGCTGCTGCCATCAGGAACACTGTCACCAGGACGACAACCACCACCGCCACTAATGAAGAAGAACCACTATCAGTCAACATGAACCAGAACCAGTCACAGCCAACCGTACTCACAAAATCTCACAAACAGCCACTATGCAGAGGCACAACAGCAATAGCAAAAATTGCGACAGTCATGGAACCACACAACCAGAACAATGATGCGACACACTCAACATGCGGCCACACACACTCCCTGGTCCCTGCACCTTGAGTGGTGGCTGGCCATGATGGTGGGAGACCTTGCATGTCATGGCAGAAGATTAAAAGATCTTAAAAGTCACAAGCTGTCCTGGAGGCAAACGCTGCCACATTGACCAGAAAGTCTCAGAAGGTGTCGGATAGTAACACCCTTCAGCATGTTTGAAGAACAGCAGAAACTCCAAGAGATGCGTTGATACAAGCAGCAAAAAATGCGTTTCAAAAAAAACATAAAAAGGGTCACACAAGGCTACCACAACCCTCCGCTGGCACCTGCATCCCCAACTCTGTGGCTGGAGTGGCCTGTGACTCAACTTACAGCATCAGCAGAAAGTGGTTTTCTAACAGCAAACACGTTCGAAGACCGCGCCTTTCGTACTGTGAATTGCAAAATCCAATTACCAGCTTCTGTTTCAGTGAACTTGTTGTCCTTCAAGTTGGGAGCTTCCTGGCCAAAAAGTCCAGCTGCACGCTCTTTCAGAAAATCCAGCGCAACAAATCCCAAATGGTGAAAAGGGGCTCATGCATGCTTATGCAAATTCATTGCTCAGCCCAATCTCGAAGTTTTTTGCTCTACAGGACTTCAGACATGGTAGCTACAACAAACCTCCTGTTGTGGATTGTCACATTGTGACATTGCAACAACCAATTCAGGCCTGCGCCATCTGCATAGTCTGCGAGGCCGTCATCATTGACACATCTGACTGCCCCGTGGTGCCTTCAAAAAATCTGCAGCTCACAGCGCAGGCGAGTACTGCCCACAAGACACGTGCCACCCAAAATGCAACCAAATCAGTTCCGAACTACAACAGTACCAAAAGCAGCTAAACGATGTAGTGTTTCAGTTGAAGATATCACTCCATGTTCAATGGGAGCACTTCAAGGTTGCGGTGCCAAACAAAGACACACATCAAACTGTACAAGCCGTGAGGGAACCGAACTGAAGAGAAACCTTCTGTTCGTGTGTGATACAGTGCGGCATTGACATCTCTTCGAAGATGATCAATGAATGCCAGAGAGACTCTGCAAGGGACAAACCTATTGGACCTATGGCACCTATGGGTTGTTGGACTATCTCAATATCTTCCTACCTGGTAGCTACCTGGTAGCTACCTGACTTCCAATATCTTCCAATATCTTCCAATATCTTCCAATATCTTCCAATATCTTCCAATTACTGTACTTTGCATATCTTTGCATTACTTTGCTGGTCCAGCGGCCCAGCGGTTGCTTCTCGTTCATCTCGTGGTACGTCTTCATAGCATCAACCTGTCAAATTTTGTTGGTCACTCGAATATCACTCTGCACAGGGCAACGAATTGTGATTAAGTTGCCTGCTGGCCAATAGTGATTAGGCACTATCAAGAACAGCCAGAATCCAGAAACTCAAGCCAGCTATAATTGATCAAAAGAAAATGAGTGCCAGCGTGTACCAACCTTCTTTGTCTAACAAACATGTCCGCCTGAAGCTTCTGCAAGATATTCTGGTAGTACGCAATGCCATTTGTCATCTGAGCGAACGAGAATGAGCAGGACACCACAGCACAAGCTGGTTGCTTTCGACATCTTCAAGGTTTCAACTGTTCAAGTCGTTATCGCCATTCAGGGTCATTTCTTTAAATAACATGTGAATACCATGTGAAGCCTCTTCTTGGGACTTTGGTTGAGCATCTTTCTTCGTAAAAGAATAGGACCGCAAACTTGTGAAACTTCAGCCTCAGCTGAGACTCTCACCATTAGAAGCCTCTGCTCTGGGTCTGGCTCCGGCACCAAGTCAGTCAATGGCAATCTGGCTCCCTTTCCTGCCTTTCCCTTTCCCTTTTCTCCCTTTCCCTTTCCGAAATATCCCTTTCCATGTCCTCCCTTTCCTCCCTTTGCTCCCTTTGCTCCCTTTCCTCTGACCATCGCAGCGCTGCCATCACAGCTGGCAAGCTGTCTTTCAGGGTATCTTTCATCCCAGTTGGAGCGTTTGCCCCATTTGTCCCATTTGTCTGCCCAACGCTGGTCATAGTAACCATCGTTGCGGAAGTTGCTCTCGTAGCTGGCACCTGCCCAAGTTGCGTCAGGTTCTTTGGAATGCGATAAAATTGGAGCGGACTGGTTTGACTAGACAGCACCGCTCGGTATCTTTGCTAAATGACAAGGCTAGCAAGGAATTGGCTGTGGAACTAGACTAAGAATATCAGAATATGGCCATTTTTTAGCATCTCGCAGTGACCAAGTGATACCACGTGGACCAGGACGCTGGAAACAGTGCACCCAACAGACCACCTGTAACCTCCTGCCTTCACCCGCTGCTGACGCAATGGCGTCCTTGAACGAGCTGTGGACTTATTGTGGACTTACTTGAAGCATCTTGAAGCCATTTGGAGCCCCTGTATTCACCCCAAACGATGCCAGGGCTTTATTTTACGTGGGCGCTTTCTCCATGAACTGCCTGCTGAAATCGACTGAATCGATGTTTGATCCGCCTCTCCCGTAGATGACTTGTTGTCATTGCCAGTTTCATCTTTCTCTTGCTGGATGTGCCTGCTTCGAGATCAGAATTCGGCACTTCTGCAAGTTCTTTCTGTTTGTAATCAAACATAATCAAACACTAAGGCCATCCAAGGCCATCTAAGGCCACAAAGGAGTCAAATGTCGGGCCACGTCGAAATGCAAAGACCTTCAGTTTCCAGCTTCAAAACTGGCACCTGAAGAGTTCCATCCTTTCTAGGCCCATCTTGCCTTCACGAAAATCGACTGGCATCAAATTGTCTACCAATGTCTACCATTCATTACCATTCCACACTGCATCACATTGCCAAATTGCCAATTTTGCAATGACCAGGCACAACTGGCAAAGAAAGCAAGACCTAAAACGACTTGACCATACAGCAAATGGGTGGATTGCAAACCAATGCATGATGTACTAACGGTGGAGGACACTAAACCGTAAAAACAAATAATGGAACATGTCATCGCAACTAACATGAAACCTCTTCGAGGGAAAAATAGTTTGTTTGTTTGCATGTCTGTACATCAACCGACGATTCCGGAAAGCCAATATAGAAACACTAGGCAAGCGGTGTTGCGTGCGGGAAAATAGTCTGGTTATGTTTTCGCACCCAGTCGGAATCACAAGTGGGAATCAAGAGCAGTGCAGGAAAAGAGAAGAGATGGAAAGAATCTGATAAGGACAATGCTACACAATGCTACACAAACATACACAAACGGTTTTGTAGGTACACAGGATAAGCAAAAGCTATCACTGGAGGCTTTGGGGCTACAAATGACTACAAACGCTGAGCACTTACTTCGTTGGATCATGCTTGCAGTGCTGGCAGAGTGTCCGCAGAGTGTCCGCACTTTGGCCTTCATGACTTTCATTCCTTTTGCCTTTCGGTTCTCCTTCACGCTGACATTCAAATTCCTTTTGTTCCTTTTGGCCTGATCTTTGGCTGGGAAAAGCAGCTCAAGACTGTGGGCGAGTCCAAGCGTCAAGCCATAGATGCAATAAATAAACAGCAGAATACAGCTCAGCAAATAAGTAATCTTTGGCAAAGTAATGCAAAGTACATAACATCTCTGAGTCAGGAGACATGTTTGAGTGGGAGCGCGACTCATAGGCAGCTTTGCTGGAGTTTGCCTAGGCTATGGTTAAAGAGTTGAACTGGCATTGATTCATATTTCATATATTTCTGATTTCCCAAGATAAGAATAGAAGAAATGAGTGACAAAATAAAAATCCACATACAATCGATGCCAAGGCCGCCAAAAGGTTCGCAAACCGGAAGCTGTTGCTCTTGTGCCAAACACATGTCGTCATTGTGTATATTTTTTCAGATTTGTCCCATGCCTATGAGCGAGAACGCTCCCTTCGTTCGCTCTTGGCAAGCGGCATATTGCTGACATGTCCAAGACCGGGTGCTGGCCTGCCAAGATGGACCGGAGATCGTGAATTGGCGACAAACATTCTGTGTCAGCTATCGTCTTCTCCATATCTTCAGTCCGTTTCAGTTTCAACCCTTTCTTTGTCGTTTCAAGTCCGTTCGAATCCATTCAACATGTCCGTGTTGTCATTGTTGTCTGTCAAAGAGCTGAATTGGTTGCCTCACTGGTGTTTGCGGAAAGCTCGTGGGAGAAGGGAACGGCCAAGGTGAGGAATCCAGGTGGCCATCCTGCACACTATACCTCGGTTCAAGGCTGCGGCTGTTGATTTCAGGGTTTTTCAGGTTCTGTTTATCTGAATAATATCTGAATATGCTATGATATGCTATGTATATCTACGCATGCTATGCTAAGTCCACCTACAGTACGTAATTTTATAGTGGATATGATGTTATCTTCGAGCGCAACATGTTCAAGTTCAGCAATTTTTCTTCCCGCAACCGCCTTGCAAAATGAATCGTGTTGGGAATCGTTTGTCAGCACTCTTCAAGCAAAATCAACCAAGTTTCAAATCCGCAGATGGCTTTCCAGGGGGCGTCTGCAGCAATAATGTGTCGAGTCTGATTGGGTTGCCTCGCACGGCTGACAAGGCTAAACCGAAAACATGACCCAAACGGATACCTAAACATAATCCAACATATTCCAACATCATCAATATCGTGAGGATCGTGAGGTCTTTGATTGGGTATGATTCAGTGCTGCTGTGAATGCTGAGTGATGTCAACGGTCACCCATTGCTTCTTGGGGCTGCTGTAGTACTGATTAGGGTACGGTCTCTAGATAGATTTGAATCTGTCGTGTTTTTTTCTCGTGTGCGGGGGTTGAGGCCGATTGTGCCTTCACAATATGAATATGGAAGAAATATGGCCTCGGTCTCTCCTTGTAATTGTGTGCGCGTGTCTCACTTTTGGGCTATAGATGCTACAGCTATAGCTAAATGACGTTAAACGGTGTAAACCCACGTATCTGTATGTGCTTGTATGTGTATATTAAGTGCTGAGCACGCTTTCGCTTGGCACGCTTCGCAGCAAAAGAAACTCTTCTCGTCACTAAGCACACTGCGACCTGGAGGAGAAGGCGATTCACACCTTAGAAAGCACAACTGCCATGTCTTGCGTTTCCCTGTGATGTTACGAAAGCTGTGACGTGGATCCGACCGATTAAGTTTCTGTAATCTGTGGAAATAATTCTACTTCAAGATGCTGACCCATTCAAGAATGACAGAAGATGTGCTGCATGTGATGCATATGCATTGAAGCAGATATTCACAATAATCTGAACCAGCGAATCTAATATGCATAAAATGATAATAATCATCATCAATAATCAACAATATGATAAACATACGTATATTATGTGTATATATATTACAATATTATAAATATATATATAATATATATATATATGATATTATATATAATATATATATATATATTATATATTATATATATTATATATTATATATATATTATATATATTATATATATTATATATTATATATATTATATATTATATATATTATATATATTATATATATTAAATATATTAAATATATTATATATATTATATATATTATATATTATATATATTATATATATTATATATATTATATATATTATATATGTTATATATATTATATATATTATATATATTATATATATTATATATGTTATATATATTATATATATTATATATTATATATATAACATATAATATATATATATATATATATATATATTATATATATATATTATATATTATATATATTATATATTATATATATTATATATTATATATTATATATTATATATTATATATATTATATACCAGTATAATATATAAAGTATATTATATATTATATTATATTATATATTATATTATATATATATTATATTGTATATATAATATATTATATTATATATATATTATATATATATTATATATTATATATATTACATATATTATATATATTATATATATTATATATATTATATATTATATATTATAATATATATATATTATATATTATATATTATATATTATATATTATATATTATATATTATATATTATATATAATATATAATATATATAATATATATAATATATATAATATATATAATATATATAATATATATAATATATATAATATCTATAATATATAATATATAATAGATATTATATATATATTAGATATTATATATATATTAGATATATTATATATCTTATACATATATTATATTATATTATATTATATAACATATATATATATTATTATATATATTATATTATATATCTTATACATATTATATTATATTATATTATATTATATATATATTATTCATATATATATATATATATACACATAAAAAAGACAAGGGGCGCTTCACAGTGCAATCCAGGAGGAGTCGAATCCCAATACAGCTCCTTGGCACAAGGAGAACGCACAACATGCAGTGCTTTAAAATTCAAACCACGTCTTTGTGATTGCAAACCAAGAGACTGTCGCCCGTGGTGTTGACGGTGGCACATCTTAGCAAGGCCAAAAAACAAAACTCTCCCGCTTTCCACAGCCCATGGCAGTTTCCGACAGTCATGTACCGTTGCACCGCATTACAAGAATCCTCTTCCTTTCAGTCTTCCTTCCAATTCTGAAATCGCAAAGATGAGTGCCCGCACTCTCTCGTTCCTCCATTCCAGGGTGCCTTGAAAGGTCACCAGACCTTGCAGAACTTCGCGCACTCGTTGTTGAGACTCCAACCCTGTGAACGAAAGAGTGGAGTAGACAAAAGAAGCGAGCTTAGGGATGCTGACATGGTGGAACAAAAGGTGGCAACTCCTTTGCAGAAGTGTCCAAAACCTGTTCTCCGCTCCTATGTTGCAAGCCAGGTGGCGTTGTCATCGCTGGCCGGAGGGGCCTTAAGCCACAGCATATTCTTTGACATTTCATGTTGATAGACATCATATATATTCAAATATGTATATATAATGTTAATAATAAACTTCTAGAAACAGTCTAGAATCATCGTGATCACTCATCATAAACCTTCTACCAAAGGCTGCAGCCGCACTGAAAGCAACTTGGTCCCTTAACGCGGTAGCGTTTGAACTTTGAGAGACTTTCATGTTTCACAATGCGCAAATGTTACAAATGTCCTCCTGCAGCAACGCCAATCCGACGTTCTACTGATCGTTGCTGCCCAAGTGAAAATCCCGTGCGGCATTCAGCGAGAGTCTCCGAGCCAAACACGGCAGAAAGTATGGCGATTCCAAGAAGCAATCAGATGGAATTCTTTGAGAAACAAAGATGGGATTAATCAGGATTCCATGAGGCACAAGAGCCAATCCAAAACCTTATGCAAAATCTGAGCCTGATTCCTTGATGCCTCTTTGTTAAAGCTTTCGTTGAGATTTGTTCACTCTAAGCAAAACATATATACATTATTATGCATTGCAGCATGAATAATATAAGTCGATCAATATCAATCAATACCGTGCTGCAGTACACAATGGCAATCACCAGGAGGCTCACATGAGTCGCTGCTCGCAGAGATTCAGAAGGCCCCGGAAGCTGAAGAGTTCATCCTGTTGCTCAACACACACAGAAGGGCCAGTAGAACACAATGACAGCGCAGCCAAATGGCAACGAAAAGTTTCTATGTAATTTTGTATAGTTTTCTCTATTGCGTTTCTGTATGTTTCTGTAAAAGGTGAAACAAGATCAGACATTATGGAAACACATTTTTTCCGGTATAGACCGTAGAGATGCGTATGCGAATGCAAGGATGAAACGCAGAAATCGATGCAGAACGCAAATGCGCAAAGACCTACATATAGTTGATTTGATGGTTCGACGTTTCCAGAATTTCGGATGACCTTGTCAGGATGCTTCTGCTTTAGTTTTACATGTGGCATTGGCTTTACATGGCTTTACATTGATAGTTATAGCAGCATATACAGTAGCAGCTGTGAGTCTGCAGCCTTCCGGTCGATGAAGTGCTGAACGGCACTCCAATCCTTGGTAAAATGACTTTTACTGCCAGAAATTCACACTGCTTCGATCTGCTTCGCAGATCTTTGCAAAAAATGGTGTCTCCTGGGCATTTGTGGATCTGTGCGTGATGCCTTAAGGATGTCCTGGGAGTAAGCTAGCTGTGCTTGCCCTGCACAATGTTTCACACGACATCAGATGAGAAACAACAAGTGACATAGCAAATATATGCAATACAGTATGCAGTTAATGCATGTCAATGCCCAGTATTTAGCAATCTTGAGCATTGTCCACTGCCTTCACAATACTTACAACATGCTAATCTCTCAATGATTCCAAGATTTCTCTTCAATCGTTGGCACAGATCTGTGGCAACAAAAACATGAGTCATATGATGTCACATCACGGATGCCTCCTCTGTTCTTTTCCTCGACATGTAGAACGTGCTGCAGCTGCCGTGGCTTTCAGATTACAAGATATTACAAGATATTACAAGCATCTTCCTTTTTTGTAAAATCACGGTGCCCAAAATAAGTCTTGAGGTCAGACCAACAGACTCTGCCATTCTCCTCTGGACTCGTAGCATCATGCTGACAAGTTATGACAAGTTTCCATGAAAACATAAAGAGGGATGTCTTCAGGATTCGCTTCCTGGCAAGATCTGGCAAAACAACAAAACAGAACAAATGTGTTGCAACAGCAAATAGATGCAAATAGCAACTCTTTGCATAGCGTGATTTTGGTTATCAAGGAATTATGCCTGCTGCAGCAAAGATGAAGAGTAGAGGTAAAGTTATGGTGATACAGAGACTGTCTGGTTGTGTTTTGTTTTGCATATCTTTCATCACAGGTTATTGTGAAGCTCGTTCACAGCTTTGCTTTCGCTTCTACTCACTTTTTCGATTTCGCGCTACAAGTAGAACAAGCTTCATTCATCCCGCTTTGCTCACCTTGGATATCCTTGGATCCTCTAAAGTTTGACCTCTCATTCTTGATGCAGGTCCTCGATCTATGATTTATGCTAAGAAAGAGAGGTGATGATGCGTGACAATCACATCTACAGTAGCAGTCTTCTTCACATCTTACGGAGCTCGTGTGAAATTGCTCGCCTTTATCTTTGGCATATCATATGAGTATCATTATATACTATCGTATGAGGCATTGCATTATGCTTCTGTTTCGGAATGTTTCGGACGATTCCTTGTCACTTTGGGCTCATTTGGGCTCCAGAGTTCAGATTTGAGGCTCCAAATGCGCAAAGAGTGGCCAAAGAGTGGCCAAAGAGTGGCCAAAGAGTGGCCAAAGAGTGGCCTCTGGGGCGTAGAAGCCAGAAGCCATGAGCCAAAGCCGGGACAGCTAAAGAGAGACGATGACGCCTATGACGCCAGTCATCTCAGCCCAACGCCTTGGAAGGGCATCGATCTTTATCCTTTGCATATTGCATCTGGGGCCATTCAATTGGCCACGGAACAATTACCAATTTGAGTGCTCATTTGGCTCTCCACCAAGCTCACTATTTACAGAACTGTCAGCTGATTCAATTCAGAAGCAGCGCTCAGGGAGACTCCTTGAGTCTTGCCTGTCCAGTGTCGAACTCTAATGACATAACGTGACATGCATTCTGATGCTGCACACTGACTGACACATCTGACACTGCTTTCCAACAATGAGCTTGAGCAATTCAGACTGCAACGCCTCAGTGCATCTTCTAGTTGTCCTACAAGGCGGTCTTGGACAGTGGGACTGACAAGGGAGGAAAGGGTAATGTGTTTTTCGTGCATTTTTTGTTGGCAGTTGAAGAGGTGGCAGTTGAAGGATGTTGAACTTCCCAGGTAAATGGAGTGACTCGGGTCCCTTCAAATTCTGTTCTGCAGTGATGTTAATTTCCAAATCTGCTGGATCTCTCCTGAGGCGGCTTCACCTGAGGCGGCTTCACCCAGCTCGAGCACTGATCGGGCCGGATAGAGCCCATAGCTCGTGTCCAGGTCCCCTTTGGACACTTCACGCATTCCGTGAGGCCAAAAGCATTCCCGTAGCTACCTGAGGTTTTCAAAGTTTCCAAAACACTGTAAGCAGAGGAAAACAGCAAGAGAAATCAAGCAAGAGGATCGCATAGCCGCATATGTCAAATAATGTCCTGTGTAATGTCCCACAGTAGAAATGCAGAAGAGAAAGGACAGAAGGATAGTCTACAATGTCTACAAAATAGGACGCAAACAGGAAAGGCAAAACAGAGAGAGAGAGAGAGGGAACCAGACCAGCCAAGAAGAGACGGGCACAAATAATTGAACTGATACAGATCAGTTGAGATACTGAAACCAGAAAAAAAAATGCCACAACTAGGACACATAAGTTTGAAGAGATGAGATGACAGAGATGTGTTGATAGGGCCAATTTGTTAGGGATAAGCTGACCGTGATAGAGAATTTGAGAGAAAGAGATAAGTTGATCGACCAAATAAGTTGATACGATAAAGACATAAGTTGAAAGAGGCGGCTGGGGGTGGCAGAAGGAGAACAAGAAGCAGAAAAGGATGGCCGGATGCGAGCAAAAAACGAGAACCCACACAATAAAGGGAGAAAAAAAGAAAGCTAAAAACAAGTTCAACTTTGAAGCTAAAGGACGGCAAGATTGGGACAATCCTGCGGACGAAAGAAAGAGTTGGTTGCAAACAGCCTTCCTTGGAAGCAGGACTCTTGAAATCTCTTGAATACAAGGGGATCATGAACAAAGTTGTAGTTGTTTATCTGGATGAAGAGGGAAGCATTTGACTCATTTGACTCATTTGACTTGCCCAGGTTCCGAAGGGGCATTGCTTGCACACCTCCACACCTGCAGTTTTGCTGTAATTCCCTACCTGGGCATTGCGGCAAGAGGTCAGGAGGTTTCAATTTGACGAACATCACAAGCAGCATATGCCCCCCCAAGTCAAAGCTCCAAACAAATTAAGTTCGATACAGCACAAGGGATACAAAGAGTTCGATTGCTTGCCCCATCAATAGGCTGGTAGGTTCCAAGTTGACAAGCTGTGCACGTAGACTCGTTTGTGGCCGCCATTTCCTCGCTGTACTTCCCAGGAGCGCACTTGTTGCAAGCCAACAAAGAGGAAGCTCCCTTAGTAGAGCTCCATGTTCCACGAGAACAGTCTGCACAAGTCAGTGGTGTTGTGGCACCTCTTGCAGGACTCCATTTCCCAGCCGGGCAAGGCTCACAGACCTTCGCTGTTTCTGCCCCGCTCTTAGCACTCCAAGTGCCTTTGGCACACATTTCACACGCTGCCGGATCTGATGAGCCAATTTGCTCGTTGAAGCGACCTATGGGGCAGGACACGCAAACTGCCTCAGGGAGTCAGGGAGTGTTAAGTGTCGACAGACCGTGCTACATCATGTTCAGGGGGGAAAAATGGATGCGCATGCGTACTCGATAGTGTGGGCATATGAAAGTAAGGCAGGTGCCGCCAGTGCGGTCTGTATCAAATACCTTTTCAGAATCTTCCAGAACTCTGCCATATCATATCAACCTTTTAAGCAAGATTTGAGCAAGTCCTATACGTGTAAGAAGTTCAAAGGTTTAAGCTGCATGTGAAACTGTGTGAAATGAAAAGATTTAAAAGCACTCCATGCCTCGCTCACAGCTGCAATTTGTGGGCTCCATTTGCCAGCAGCACATTTGACACAAACGCTTGCCTTTGTGGCACCCGCCACATCACTCCACGTCCCACCAGGGCAGCTGTCGCACTTCCGTAGAGAGTTGAGCCCTGTGCGATTGCTAAAGCGACCACTTGGGCACTCCATGCAAGCATTTCGAGACAATGCACCTTCCTGCGCACACCACAATGTACCGAGATCATCCGACATGCAGTACGTATCAATGAAAAAGCGGAGGGAGGGAGGGAGGGAGGGAGAGAGAGAGAGAGAGAGAATTCTAGAGTAGTTGAAGCATGCTAAAGCAAACTGTTCAAGTTGATGCAAACTATGCTGTATTCTGAACATTTCTGAACTTGCATCCGGCGAAACCTCCAGGTCTTCGTTCTCTGACCGATCCGGTCCTGGCTACTCCAAGTGCCTACAGGGCAAGGCTCGCAGTCCGTCTTGGCGGCAGAACCACGCCGGTCATTCCAAAATCCAGCTGCACACCTTGTGCAGGCAGCTGATCCTGACGACCAGACGACCAAATCTGACCAGATCTGAGGCTTCGAAGGGTTGTCCGTGGATGTCCGTGGATGTCCTTACCGAGCTGAGGAAAAGTTCCTCGAGTAATGCCACTTGCAAGTTGCATGCCTTAGCAATGCCTTGGGCCGTGGCAACCTTTCAGGGCTATTTTTGATTTCTTCAAGACGCGGTGGTCTTACCATGTCCTACTTGCTGACCGACTTTGCTTTAAACTGACTATCAACTACAAACCGTCTATAAACATCTACAAACATCAAACATCTATAAACTATATATATATATGATTATATATGTAATTGTATGTATATGTATCCGATGAATTCTAGTCTCAGGCAATCAAATTGGCTCACAGTAGTGAGCAGGCCTGTAAGCGGCAGTTGCACACCGTTACATGTCTCAGCATGTATAAGCATCATATAAGCATCATTGAAGCATCTTCAGTGCCTATACAAATCTATACAACTTAATACAGTTTCCATATGTTTCCACACTGCATTCCATTGCATTCCATTGCATTCCATTGCATTCCATTGCATTCCACTTGGGACGGTCTGAGAGTCACAACACGTCACAAGACGTCGCCTCGCCTTCCTCGCTGTAGGTGCCCTCCGGACATGGTCGACATGGAGCACCTCCCACCGAGCGGCCCAGGCCAGCAGGACAACCTGACGCAACGAAGCGACGGAGTGAACAACGGAGTGAACAACGGAGCGACCAACTAGAATGAATATACATGAAAATACTAGATACATATAGAATGCAGTAGGCAAACGTGATCCCGAACATATTCATCTCATGACAGGTCATGAAGATGGCAGCTTCAAAGTACCGCGGTGCTCCAGGCGAGCTGGTGTGGTGTGAAACTGTTCAAAACATTTGTCTATTCCAAATTTGTCAGTCTTAACTTTCTTCACTTTCTTCACTGTCTTCACTTTCTTCTCTTCATTGCCTCCTTCGTAAGTTGCAAGACTCCGCTTCTGAAGCAATCTCAACGCACAACCTGATGCTGGGAGCAAATTATCTCATGAATTTAGAGAGAATCAAGACAAACCAACCCGGGTCCTGGGCCAATGCCGATAATCATGTGCATGAAGCTAAAGATTGGCTTCTCCACAATATATATATATAATATATATATAAGATTCTCTCAGTTTCTCTTTCGTCCAGTCTTGACTGATGACTTGACACAAGTCATTGCCACACCTTCATCTTCGGTGCATTGCTCGTCAGCAGTGAGGCTTGCATCAAGACTCTCTCCAACCACTTGCAAAAGCACATGATCCACCAAAGCCAGAATTGCCAAAAGCACCTTTCGGCAGACCAACTCTGAAAAGAATGTTAGTGCTGATTTACCGATGAATCAAAAGTGTAACGTACAAACAGTTTCTACAAACTCCAGGATGGTAAATAAAGTGCTCAATGAAACTAAATCAAAAAATGGTCTTCTCACTGCAGCAAAATCATGGCCTTGCGGGCCATGACTGCAGCAGCACACCTTAAAGGAAAACCCGCGCTCAGCAGCAGTGCGATGGCCAAACCCAAAACTCCCAAATGATATGAATAAGGGAATGCGCCTTGTACTTTTGTACTCAGGGGTCAAAACAATGCTGTCTTGAAAACATCAGTTGCTTGCGAATCTGATTTAGAAATAAGGCGAATGCGTGATTCTTGAGCCAGAGAAGCACCCGTCCAAAGCTCCCAGGGACTGCATGTAGCATAACAACATGTGAAAAAATTGGCAAACGAAGCAAATACAGACGCTCCGCAAACATGACGGTCTGTGAACGTATACTTGTCTGTGACCACTTGGGCATACATATTAATATATATATACATATATATATATATGTACACAATTATATGTATTACATACACATGTGTATCTAAAATCTAAAATACGACAAACCGCATTTCTTACATATACATAACATAACATTACCTTACCTTACATTACATTATATGCGTTGTATGCGTTACATTACATACATTACATTGCATTGCATTGCATTACATTGCGTTACATTACATTACATTAAATTACGTTACATTACATTAAATACGTACATACGTACGTACATACATATATATATATATATAATTATATATAGCTATATATATATTACAGCATACAGGCATACAGTATAATAACATAAATATTATATATATACACATATTCTACATGTTCCCGTGCATATTTATACATACATACATTACATAATAATACATACATAATAAGTTTAATTGTAAATAATTGTAATAAGTTTTAAGTGGACTCCGGAATGCGAGCCTATAGGGGTGGATGGCAAGGGCCCAGCCTCTTCTTGAAGCGGTCCCTGGGCAAGCCAGGTCTCGACAGACTCAAAAGGATTTTTGCTCAAAAAAGACAACTCTCAACGCATCGAGCAGCATCGAGCAATAGTAAGTACTTCGTGCTGTCTCAGTGATTTTCAATGATTCTCATACAAGTAGTGCTCGAGTTCGTCCAGGGGTTCGATGCGAAGAATTCTGAGGCTTGTGGCTGCTGCATCCATTGTGGCCTTGTGAGCAAAGCTCGCCTAGACGCCAACAATCTTCCCCAAAGATCACATGGAAAATGCACAGGCACGGGAAAAAAAGCAAATAAAAATCGGAAAATGAAAAGATCATGTCCCCACCAGTCAGGCGAGGGTCTCTATATTTTGCGTCAGCTCCTCCTGCCTTCTCCTCTTCCTCCTCCTTCCTCCACACCTCCCCCATAGCAAGCTCGCGGTCTCTCTGTGTCATCCCGGGCCCTGTCAGGTAGCAAGCTGCAGCGCGCAGAGTCTCTGTGCGTCTCTCCGGACGCAGTGCCTTCACCAATCTCAGACAGCTGGTGTCGCACCGGGTCCCACATGCTGTCTGGATAGCAACCTGTCAGAACAACCATCAGGAAATATATATATATATACATATATATATGTATATATATATATGTATATATCCCTCCAGGGCGGACGTTCGCTCAAAGTTTCATTGGGGGGTTAGTCATGTTGTGGTTTGTTTAGGATTTATGGCTTGTTTAGGAGTTATTAGTTATTATGATTGTTTTAGGGTTTACTTAGGGTAGTTTTAGATTTTCTTCAGGGTTTGTTTAAGTTTATTTGGGGTTTGGTTAGTTATCTTTCTCGCAATTTAGGCTTGTTTTAGAGTTCATTCAAGGGTGTTAGGGTCTATTTAGGGTTATTTCTGGATATTTATGGTTGATTTAGGGTTTGTTGAGGGTTTATTTAGGGTTAGGTTATTTTGGTGTTCTTTCAAAGTCTTCCGGTTTGTTGAGGTTTTAGTTGACGGCTTGAAACACTGCAAATTCCGGAGGATATCTTTAAGACATGCTCCAAAGAATGATTTTTGGCACCGTCTTAGGTACGCGCAAAAATGCCATAAGACGCAGGTATTATCAAGTTTTGTATGCACCGAAACAACGCAGCAGATTGCAGTCACAGTCCCGCATGGAATTCCGTGGATTTCAGGCAAACGTCAGCCCCTAGCGATACAGATAAATATGTATGTATGTAAATATATATATATATTATATATATATATATATCAGAGAAACTGTCAGAGTATATGTCAGAAAATTTGTCAGGAGATAGGTCAGGATATATCTCAGTATGTCAGGATGAATGTCACGGTGAATGCGTAATAGAACTTGTCAGAGATTAGATAGATTAGTCAGAAGACATGTCAGTATATCTCAGAAAATGAGAAAAGTGTCAGAATACGTATTAGCACAAAAAAGTCGGAGGATAGGTCAGAAAAATGGTGAGGATGGCAGGGAAAATAGGGAAAGTGTCCGAATATACATTGAATGATAATTTAAATTTCAAATTTGAATATACCGTAATTTCATGTAATTTCTGACTTGGCCCTTTGATCACCGCTTTGAAATCGCCTTGGAGATCTCCTCCAGGCTTGGCGCGTCACCCTGAACCGTTGAGCATGTTGAGCATGTTGAGCATGTTGAGCACAACTCAACCGACTGAACCGTTGATGGGAGAAAAATGATCATGTGCGTCTTGGTACGCAAAGTACGCGACCTCTGTGACTCCGCATTTACGTTGATTTCACGTATTTCAATGTTTGGATAATTTGGTAGGACTAGGATCTATACTGAAGTCCACAAACTCAAGTTGTGATCAAGCTGTTAGCACCAAACAGGTTTGAAGTTGGGAAGAATGGCTTAAAAAGTTGCTGGACCGAAAAATGCAGCCTACACGACCATTTGCAAGCAATCTGTCACAGTGATTGTCCGATTCTGTAAGCTCTCGTGTGGACCCAGAAGAAGCCACTGCCAGGTCTTCTGTTCCCAGAATTTCCACACAGTCTAGACTCTTCTGACCCACCCTCCCAAATATGTCCATAGCTCGGGAGTGGGAAAGTCTTTGGAGTTGCCAACATCACATTTCGAAATTCAGTCCCTTCTGATTTCTGTGTCTCTTTCGCCTGGCTGTTTGCCCAAGCTGGCTCGCCCCGATCACGGTCACCTCGCTCGTGTCTGTCCCCTTGTGCCTGCGTGTGAGGTTCTCTGCCAAACTCTGCAACCCCATTCAAACGTCTACAACTTTACAACTGACCCAAAAGTGACTGACTACTGATCCATGTAATCATTATGATCCAGCCAGTTGACAGTATCTGATCACACTATAATGTCAACTCAAATGTGCGACTTCATTAGCCTTGCTGGAGGTTCCAATTCCATCCATTCCAGGATATTCCAGGAATTGCTGGAACCGTCCCGCACCAACTTTTGAGCAAAACATAATGCTACTATTTTCTGCGTGCAACTCCTCACTGAATAAGTCTAGATGCTCGATGTAGAGGCGACAGAGAAAGGCATGTGCAGGTTTCACATCCACAAAGGATTCTCTAAGGGCCCCCAATACAACATTCAACTGGCATGCATCATGCAGCCTGTTGCCTGAGAGTTTTGGGGTGGCTCCAGCTGAGTGTCATCCTTCTAAAATGAGTGCAGCTCATCCCAGCTATATCCCAGCACTGTCTGTCTGAGCAGTACAGTATCACGTCCTGCCTTGTGGTTACGCTTGCGGTCCCTGTCTCTGTCCCTGTCTCTGTCTCTTTCTCGGTCTCTTTCCTGCCATTGCTCAGCCTCAGAAGATGACAAATAGCAAGCACGGAACAACACGAAACTGGATGAACACTATATGAGTAGATGAGATAAAAATCGAACACAACAGCTAGAGAATGATGTGGCGGCTGAAAGCAGCGCTTGAAATTCAACATCATCCCTGCCTCCCAGCCCTTGCCTTTGCCCTTGTCCCACCATCCACCATAGCTGTAGCCCATGTCCTGCGAAGGTGATTCAGATGCAGTACGAGTAGTATACATCACGTTGGTTTCAATGACAAAATAAAGAATGCAAAACAAATTCCAAACATCTCCGAAGGGACCGAACCTGCTGGTTCCGATAAGAGTAGTGCAAGCCTCAATCCATGGAGCAAATGTATGTGCCACCATGTGCCACCCACTGGGAAATGACAAGGAAAACACGTGAAATCATGCAATGACTTGTGTGTGTGTGTGACGCTGTTCTTTAAGGGCATTTCAAGACATCTTAAAGAGGTTTGAATGAATGAAAACACACTTCCAAACTGGAAAAGTCTTTATCCACTTTGTGTTGGCACATGCTGTGCGGACTGTCACCGTGGCTGGGCTGCCGAACAAATGGCTGCCTTGGAATCCTTCACGGCTTGGCTGTCCCGAGCCTCCGCAGACATCCACTTCACCTGGAGCTTAGTAATGCGATGGCGTTAAAAAAGAGCTGGATATATAGTAGTAAAATGTAGAAAATAGTGACACAGTGCATGTGATATATATATATTATTCACTATGATATGACATCATAAGGTAATATAACATTATATGATATCATATTATACTATACTACATTATTCTATTCTATTGCATTTATTTCATATAGATAGTGTGTAGTGTGCATGCTTTGTGTGTGTGTGTGTGCAAAGTGTATTACAGTATGCGCATATTATTATTTACGCATATACTATGTATTTATCTATAGATCTCAGGCATATGATGCATATGTATAGATAGAATATAGTGTATATATATAGTACTTACGTATGCCTATTTTATGTATATTGTACAAGTGATACATGTATTATATACATACACATAATATAACTTGCATGTTTACATGTTTATATGTATATACATATACATACATTACACGTATATAGATACATTACTTGTATGTACGTATATGTTTTTTTCCGGTTTATGCGTGTGTGTTTTTTATGTATACCTGTAATATCTATGACTATGTACAGTATTATAGTGTATCGATATACGTGCAATCATATATGTGCTACATACGCATTGCTGCGCTTTGAAATCACACCTGATTCTGCTGACCTCGTCCAGCTGCTTTTGGATGCGAGGCCAGTTGATGTAGTTGTACTCCAAGCGCATCCTGGCAGTGCAAAGCAATGCTAAGCTAAGGGAAGTGGTTCCAATTTATTCCAATTTCGCAGTTCTTCGGAGTGCTTCCCTTCCCGTATGTTTTGTCAGTCATCTATATCGTCTGCACTGAGGGATCAAATCCACTGACAGCCATACCAAAAGCCCCAAATCCAGCAGAACTGAAACACAATGTTTGTGCATGCTGAATCCTTCCTTATGAGATGTGACCCACTGTTTTACAGTCACATGTAGCTTTGGTGATCAAGTGTGAGCTCGTAAGGCCAAGTGGAAACACATTCAAAAGTACCCAGGCCATCGCCAAGGATCTAAAACTAATCTGACATCCCTGACATCTGAATACATCCAATACATCCCTTCGGGGACTGACTTTGCACCAAAAACATCCAGTGTGCGACATGTCAAAAAGTCGCAGCTTCCCTGCGCACCAAAGCGGCAGCTCTCTACCATGATTTTCGCTCCTTGCACAACACCCCAACATGCATGGACGGGAAATCAAGCCTGTCACTGAGGTCTAGATCATTTCAAGTTCATGACAAGTCCAAGGGCTTGAATTTTGCAATCCAGGAAGGCAAAGGGTTTGCTCTGAAAACTGTTGGCGCAGCCGTTCCACATCATGATATTTTAGCCTTTTCTCCCAATCATTCAAAGCATGGTTCCAGTTTCTAGACTTACAGTCACAATCTTCTGTTTCGCAAATGACACCTCTACCTTTCAAGGCAAAGTGAAAGCCAAACATATCCACAAGTACGAGTATACTTCATGCATACTGATGCATATACACACAAAACATGTTCGCTGCAACCCTGACTTTGCTCCGCGTCTGAATTCAGGTGGCTATGAAGATAAAGTTGATGCTTTTACCCCAATCAACACATTGTTCAGAGAGGGTGGCGAATTTTGACTCCTCATGAAGATAAAGATGATGATTATGATGGTTGTAATGATGATGATGATGATGATGATGATGATGACGATTGTAAGTGTGGAGCAACGTCCGGGTTGGGGCGAACATGTTTATCAACTCACGCATGATTCATGTAGAGAGCCTAGAGGCCCTCAGCTCTACATCTGCATAGGCCATGTATTTATATATCTATACACTATATATTGTGTTTTACTTTATCTTATGTCATTGAAACATACTATACTATCTATACTATACTATGCCATACGATACCATTCTATACTAGGTGTATCTATATGTATGTGTACATACATCCCATCTGCAGGCCTTTGGCTGAGGCAAGGATACCTGGCAAGCAGAAGCCACATCGTCATATTGTGCCACTATGTCATTCTATGTCACTATGTTCCACTTCCATCACTTCCTGACGGTTTTTTTTTTAGGAATTTGCACGGAAATGTGTCAGCCGAACCGTCCACTTCTGGAAATCGCCTGACAGCAGCGGGCACAATGACATCAATTCTCTGCTGCGCAATCCCTTGATGAGAATGGAGGATATAGACTTTGAAGAAATAAATATATATATATATGGTTCCATATATAATATATTAAATACAAGCTAAATGAAAAGGAAGAAGTTGAATAAGACCTGTCTGTGTTGGCTTTCGAGTTCACTCAAGCGATCTCAGCAAGTTTTAAAAGCGAAAGCACAGGCTTTGGCCTGCAATAGCTCTACAGCCCCACGATCGCTGATGAAGTTGTAGCTGAGGTGGACCTGCACTGCGTATCACAGCGGAATCCCAGATGTTCTCAGATGTTCCCAGAGTCTGCGTGAAGACTACCTGCACTTCTGCTCTGGAGATTTCACCTTTGAGAGCCGACACAACTTAGAAGTCAAGCATGGCTTCTCGGACTCAGTCCTCGAAGTGTTATATTACATATATAATCAATTATAATCATACATATTAGTCTTAAACGGCCCAGTGTTGGAGAAGAATCCTGAGAAAGCTCACACAAAGCCACACACCTCCTGCACTGTTAAAGGACTAGCTGATACCAGCTCCCCCAATGATGCAGCACCAACCTGAGCCGAAACTGAATCTATGTGACTCGTCCTGAAATGGAAGGTCACTGATGAAGCCAGAATCAAGTTATAATGGTCAACTATGAGGTCACTGATGAATAGAAGGTCACTTGATCAAGTCATAATTATGACTGTCTCTCGTGTCATCTCATACTAAAAACATTGATGACGAGATAACGAGATATGAAAAGACATGACGAGGCTACGACTGACGAGGCTATGAGATGCAAGAGTTGTGCATCGGCTAAGAGTTTCGGCATCTCCAATGCAGTTGCGGTAGAGCTTGAGCTGCAGCACAGAGATGCCTTTCCTGGCGTGTGGTGTTGACATGCGTGTAAATTTGTGCCGCCTGTCAGCTCTGCTGTTAGCCTTTCTAGCAGAAACGGAAACATGATTGTCCAAAGTCCAAAGTGATTCAGTCAAGCGAAACACAAGCATTCTGACAAGTGAAACGTTCCCACCTCACCAAATAATTCACCAGCGTACGCACACCCTCCTGGAAAGTAGAAACATAGAACAGAAACCAACACTTTGATTTGAAACCTCTAAATAAATTCATGTCAAAATCAACGGCGCGTCTACTCGTCTCATCTAGAAAGCACACAAGAGTGATGCAATGTAGTGTATTTCATGCAATGATGGTAAGATGATGCGAGGCTGTGTAGGTATCAGAATGCTTGTAGTGTCTTTTATTTTGCATGCAGTGTGTATCTCCCAGTGCCATGAAGCAGAATGCAACATACTAAGACGCGTGACTTGATATTTGATTTTTTGATTTGAGCCACTGTGCAATACATGGGTATGGTCAATACAAGTATGTCTAATGTCGCCTGTACGCAATTCCAGCCCTCAAGAATCCACTTCAGGACAGAAACCAAGTTCTACAAACTGGATGGTACACATTGCCATAGTAACACCCATGCAAACCAACTTGGTTCCTTGGAGTTTTGCTGCAAGATTGTGTTGTAAAGGGAATTGCACCACGGGTAAAGCTGCTAAAGATACACCACTGGCAGCACCCTGTGTGTTGCGAGGATAGAGTCGCATGATGTCTCATGATTCTGATACAGCTTCTACCGTACTGCGCACATGACGATCGCATATTCACATATTCGTATGACGAGATGCATGATAAGTCACTCATTGTTTTGTCAATTGACTCATAGAGCATGGGTATGAGGCATGTGGGAATTACTTGACCATTGACATGACTAGTGCGTTCGTGGTGGGATTGCAAGCCCCTCCTCTTGGATAAGATGCATACTGCTGTGGAAACATGTGGAGACATGTGGAAACCAGGTACAAGCTGGAAAACCCGAAAATCCGAATGCTGCAAAGCGACATCTGCGATCTCATTGCGGGCAAAGCTGAGCCTTGTGGACGTGAAAGGCTCAAATGACAATGCATGCTATATTTCCGTTTGAGAGCTCGTTTCTCTGAGTGCGTTCACAGGGAGAACTGCCTACCAACGTTTTGGGTACATGTGATCTTTGATGATTGGACAATTTGTTCATGCTTAATGGTCCTACTGAACGATTGATTGTGCATTACTTTCTTTGGGGACATAGGGAATATTCTCCTGCGTGAATTAGCATCTCTCAGCCCTCGGCTTGGAGGCTACAAGTTGCCGCCTGCGGCCATCCTCAGCCGACAAAGTCTCAACAAAGAATGTAACAGTAGTTGCACGTACTTACACACACATATGGTATAATATAACATAGCATATACATATTAAATATATATATATAATTTGTATGTGCTTATATATCTTATATGAATGTTCCATAATGATCTGTCACGTACACAGTCTATACACCAACCCCGCTTGGCTTTGGAGGAGCGCATCAGGGAATATGAGTCTTGCATTTCCGTAAATCATTACATGGTTCATTGCTTGGCAACTTTTGGCAACTTTTGGCAACTAACATACAGCAGAGGCACCGGCAACTAGTTGCAAAATAGATGTTCCGAGTTGTTTGAAGGGTAATAAAGAAAGGATGCACACATTTTTGGGATCATGTTTGTGTACTTTCGACTCGACAAAACGCCAAAGCTTTGTTTATGATTCTGCGATGTGCGTTCGTGTGTGGTCTTGTGGTGTTCGTAGCCATGGCTACACAAAGGTTGCAAAGTTCCAGCATTTCAGTTGTGTCTAAAAGAGGATCAACATATGGAGCTAGAATCTCAGAGGGTTGTTGGAATTGCGTTGGATTTTTGGGGGTTGTGCCGGTACAGTATGTGTTGCAAAAATTTGCAAAACACAAAAGGAGGTGGATATGTCTGAAATTGCATTCCTTCTTTCAGGTTGGTGTTAGTACATGTTGGTCACCCTTCATTCATTAAAACAGAGCCTGTAGCAACTCTTCGTTGAGAAACCTTGCCTTTTGGAGTTGCCTTTATCGGAACCATTTCCCAGAAAATCATTAATTTCAAAACCCCGCCCATTGGCAATCTTCAGACCGCGGAATGACTTTTGGTTCTCCTGGATCTTGCGTTGTGTTTGGGATCCGACCTCTCAACATGGGTGCGGAATTAACTTGTATTTTTTTTGGTAGTTATGTTTTTTTGGGTCTAGAGGCTGCGGTCCTTCATTTTGTTTATTGATGTTCCTGGTTCTTTCGATGGTGTTCATCGATTTGAAAGGTTGTCATCGACTTGTTCCATTGTTTTCATCGATTTTCCATGGTTTTCATCGTTTGTTTTTTCCATTGTGTTCATTGTGTTCATTGTTTTCCATGGTATTCATCGATTTTTCCAAAGTGTTCATGGATGTTCCATGGCGTTTATCGATGTTTACATGTTGTTCATCGATGTTCATCGATTTCTCCATGGGTTTCATCATGCTTTCCATGGGTTTCATCGGGTGATTCTTGTTTTCATAGATGTTTCCATGTTGTTTATCGATTTTTCCACGGCGTTTATCTATTTTCTGGATGGTGTTCGTCGGTTTCTTGATGGCGTTTATCGATTGTTCCCAGGGGGGCATTGATTTTTCCATGGTGTTCATTGTGTTTTCCACGGTTTATAATATCATGTATGTAATTGTGTGTATAATAGATATGTTTATATGTGGTACAGTAGCATATTTACAGGTGTGCAAGCCTGGATTTATATATAAGAAAGCGGAGAGGGTAAGATTTGGGGGAGGGAACATGCACCTTGTGAACATGTCGAACGCAGGTTGAGGCGCAACCATGTTGGTTGCAAATAGTTTCACGGGATGTTGTCATAGTCTTGGTTAAAATATACAAGAAGAGCAGTCTATTTACAAGTGTGCAAGTTTGGATTTAAATATAGAAAAAAAGGGAGGGGGGATCGGGGGGGAGGGCTGAGCCGCAGCGCCTCCCCCCAAAGCAAAATGACAGTACCTATTCTCACATAAAATGGTCCTCAGAGTGTATAATATATATATATAATGCGCAACATGCACCTTGTGAACATGTAGAATGCAGGCTTGCACACAACCCTTAGGTGCAAATAGGTTCATTGGATGTTGTCCTAGTGTTGGTTTAGGCTTTCTTTAGGGTTGGTTCAGGCTTTATTTAGGGTTTATTTAGGAATACAAGGTGTGCAAACAAATAACTGTAAATACGCATGCGCTAGATGAAACTAATCTTTTATATATATATAACGTATTTAGAGGTGTGCAAGCTTGAATCTAACAAAAAAAGAATCGAACAAATTGATAAAAACCATGGAAAAATCGACAAAGCCTATGAGAAACATCGATGAACACCCTGGACACAATTGATGAAACCCATGGAAGAATCGATAAAAAACATCAAGAAAGCGATGAACACCATCGAGAAAATCGATAAATAACATGGAACACATGATGAGAACAATGGAAAAAGGAGAATCGATGAAAAACACCCCAAAACGATAAAAACGATGAAACTCATGGAGAAATGGATGAAAAAAACATGGAAAATCGATGAAACACATGGAAAAGCCGATGATTGATGAAACATGGAAAAACAATGAAAAACATTGAAAACCATAGCAAAATCGATGAAAACTGGACAAATTGATAAAAGCCATCGGGAAATCAATGAAAATTTTGCAAAAAAGAATGAAAGCCATCGAGAAATCGAAGGCTAAAACAAAAGCCAGAAGCCAGAAGCCAAAAGCCAAAGGCCAAAAGCCAAGCCTCCAGACAAAACAAAACAAAAAAATGAAGTCCCAAATAAAATTACAGTACCCTCCCTCAACATGTTGCCTTGGTTTGGGAATGCAAGCTACTGCAACATTGAATCTGTCTACAACGATTAGTCTATTCTGATCTAAAATCGAAATTATGGATGCCTTGTGCCACAGAAAGGGAACCTGCTACTGAAAAATCAGAACCCTGAGTCTGGACGCCTTGCAAAAACCTTGCACCTGCGAAGCGCGGTCCTCGCGATCGTTCCTCTTGACAACCTGGTCTTTACGAGGCTTGCATTTGGCAACTAGTGCGTGAGAAAATACACTGTTTTGGGAACCTCAACGAAATCCAAAACTATCTTGCTGGGAGGCTTTCACCTTAGCAACAGAACTTTTGTGGCTTTCGGACGTTTGGTGGAACTGGATTCTTGCTCTAACTCTAGGACCTCTGGCAGAAGACCCCAAGCTTTCCCTCCGGGGCAGCAAGTGAGAAGAACAGCGAGCGCAGCGAGCAAAATAGGAACAAACCGGGAAAAAAAAAACATCAAGATTGAAACAAAAACTCAAATGCCCCAACCCCCTCCTTGCGACATTCTCATAACTGCTTCAACTCCGCTCCTGGGACTCGCCTTTACAAAACTCCTGTCGCAACCTCTTCTGGAAACTTGACAATTGCATACAGTTGCCATATTTGTTTAGGTTATTTGTCAGGGCTTTGCGCTGACCCCGAGGGTTTATAAAGTTTGCAAGATGGTACAGTATAAGTAGTGTTGGAGGGGGCACACCCATAGAGGCATGGGAGAAGCCGGGCGGGGCACAGAAGGCTATCATCAACACTGGTCTTAACGCCAGTTAAGACCACACGAAAAAGCTATGTTACTTGCACCGAAAGATGCAAAACAATTGTTTTGGGCCTCCCAGTTTCCAGTCGCATCCAGCGCTGAAAAGCCAGAATAAGTGTTTCATAGCTTTTCTAAAACCCCAAACCACAATTTCGAATGATGTTGAAACACAATACTACCAAGTCTCAAAATCAGCTGCTTGACGACTCACAAAACCCAGAACAAGGGTTTTCGGGGTGCACGGTGGCCAGTTCCAACCCCTATGCTGTGCTGTGCTCAAAGAAAAACCGGCAAGATCCAGTGGGCAAAAGCCATATGTGAAGAAACACTAGAAACATGTTAAAACATGATGTGATTTATGGAGCTTATTGAACTTAAAAATCAGTGTCTTTAATGGTTTTAACGTTTTTACACATTGAGCCACGACCACAACATCGGCTATGTCTTGGCATGTTCAGACAAAAATACAAGCTCTAGAGATTTTTCTATCTCACTATTTTCTGCTGATCTGTCAGCGACACTGTACTTCTTTGTGTCAGTCAAGAATCAAGAGATTTGACAACTTACCAGGCATGAGGTAAGAAATATTAAGAAATGGTAAGAATAGTCTGCTGATCTTTCAATTGGAACTCTGAGAGACAGAGTCAGACAAAGAGACCTTAGTTACCTTAGTTTCTTCATGTTTCATCGATTTCACCCGCGGAGCTGCGAGCTGTGGATCTCGGCTGGAAAGACCATCTGCAGTTGTCTGTCCATCCAGGAACACCACTCCTTTGCCGAAGACACTGAAGAAACTGAAGAAACTGAAGAAACTGTCATGGCTCATCATGGTTCCACCACTCCAATTTGTCACATTCATCAAGGCCTTCATAGGCTCATGAAAATACAGTTGTCATTTGATATCATGCTGTTCTTTGCATCCTTGCTAAACTGGCTTTCCATTCCATATCATTTCACTGGAAGGTCTCTCTGCTACTGCTGACATGTCTGCAAACGCTGAAATGCCAGCCAAAGATCCTGCATTTTTTCATCAGTAATGAACTTCTCTTCCAACCTGAGATTGGAAAAACAGGCTGAAGTCCCCTTCCCTGCGGCAAGCTCGAAAAGATTGGCCGAGCACCGTAAATGAGCCTGTGATTTTCGACTTCTGCAAATCTGTAGTCAAGCCAATTTGGCGATGCTGATAGATCGCAAAAGTCCCGAGCTCCAGCTTGAACGTCTCGTTGTCCAACCATTCAAGCTGCCACCTGATAAGACACCATGAGACATCTTAGTAGTCCTCGGGGATTCCTGCGCAGTGAAAGAGCGGGTGTTCCGAGTTCCCAGCGAGTCTTGGTTTCCCCAGCGGCCTCACAACTGAGTCGCAACATGAAGTGGAATCACTGCACCTATTAGACCTATCTATATGTGATATGATTGATATGTGTGTGATATTATGGACCAATTATGGACATCATGTGTGCGCTGCATCATTGTGCCTCCTCTCTTGCCGCCGTATCCATCATTCCAAGGAGGATAAAGCATTTCATGCGCTAGCCAGAGGCCTGAATATTGTATTTATCATTATTTATCTACATGTTGCAAGCTGAGCTTTGGTGCTGGCGAGGGTGTGAAAACGAAGGAGTGCTTTTCTTCGTCCTCTGAGAATATGATAGAATATGTGCAGAAGATTTTGTTGCTATGCATACCTAGCACCAACTGGATCAGCATCACACTGATCTTTCGAGCAAGAGACAGAGGAAGAACAAATCAGAGGATCAACATTGCTTTTGCAAGACAATGCAACACAACCAATGTCCCATCACAGAGTCAACCATTTTGATGCCTTTCAAGGCTGGCTGCAACATCAGCAGTGTTGCATCATCCAATCCGTAATGGAGACAGAAGGTATGAGCATCTATCTGTTCCACAAGCGTGTCAAAGGGGACCTGATCAATGATCCCAAGAAAGAATCTTCTCAATTCATTTGTGCACACATATTATATGCATGTGTGTATGTGTATGTATATATATATATATCGATCGTTTCACACCTTCCATGTGGGCATTGGGAGCAGGATTCAAAGGCCATGAGTAAATCCTGGCAGGAAAACATGGAACTGCTCAGCAACCTAGAAGAGCTCTTTGCCAAGCAACCTAGAAGAGCTCTTTGCCCTTCACAAACATTGAAAGATTTCAAAGGCGCCCCTCTGTGAGCGACACTTCATAACCAGCTCAAGCCGAATTAGCTGAATTGCCAAAACTGCATTGCACCCTGTTGTCCTTCCGTCATGCAGTCTACAGGTGTCTACGGTAGCTCCCGCGCGCTGCGCTCTTTCAATATGATGGACTCGTCTGGACCATCTCGAATCTCCGTGATTGGTACGACCAGTGAAAAGTTGCTGGAGTAGTGCAAATTGATTGCCAGACTCTCCTATGCAGTGTTTCAAGCTTCAGAGCACTGACAATTGTATTTGAGGCGATGACAGGGAAACCAGAGCTCGTAACGCAGTTAGAACTGCATTTACTAATTTTCTACTCAGCTGTCTAATGCGGTCTATAATAATATACAATTACTGTTCTAATCTGTTCTATAATACTGCATGTAGCTTCGGAACAATTTCATATCATAGCCTTGTGACCTTCTTTGTTCTGGCTCCACAATCAGATGCCCTCTCCTCTTGGTTGGCCGGTTGGTAAAGCTCCGAGAACATGTTGAGAGCCAGTCCAATGCCACCCATGCCCCAGCCACCCAGATCTTCACAAAGTGTGCGGAGGTCTATATGATGCGTGCCTGATCAAGTCTCTCGGGCAGATCATTGCGCCCTGTTGGGAGCCTTGCATTAAACCACCGCTTTTCAAATCAAAGCCTGGGGATGCCTGGGGATGCATTTTACCCTGCTGAGCAATGGTACGATCTATTGAGCAATGCTGTCTTGTAAAATCTTCTAAAACTCAATGGGACGATCATGCTCGGATTCTCCTCGACTGCCAGCTGTGCAATTCCAGCAGGTGACAGATCCATGACTGATCAGGGTTCCTTACAAGGCAAAAACATCAAATACAGTGCCGTGAATGTCGAGAAGCATCATAATATCTTTCACACTAACCGTTCTCTCTGGATCAAAGGAGTCATCTTCATGACTTCCTGAGCAGAATTTGAAAAAAGACAAGACGTCTGATTTCTATTGATTTCATTTGATTTCTAAGATCTGCACCGACTTTGGTGCGACGATTCACACCAAAGAGGTAGGCTACTATCTGCCACTTGGAATGCGATGCTGTGAGGTCCAAGGTTAGTCTCGGAGTCCCGCAAAGCCTCCTGGGGTGAAAGTCGTCTCAAAAACAAATTCATACTTATGATTATAATTATGATACTAATGATTCTGATTGAAAATATTGAAATGTATTGAAATCATAATTGTTGCATGTTCTGTTGCATATTATGTTGCCTATGGCTTTGTCACGTGGTGATCACACTTGCAGCAAACGCATCAAGTGCAGACAGCTGGCAGAGACAAGCACCATGTCAACATAAGGAAAGTTGTGCAGAAATGACTATGACTGCACTAGGAAATATTAAGCCAATGCATAGCCTAATCTCGCGTTTTGCTTCACGTTTTGCTTCACTGATTCAAATGAAATTTCGGAGAAATCTGTCCAGTCTCAGGTGAGAGCCAGTACCAAAACCAGTACCAACACGATTTCATCGTCACAGAACATGACGAATCTCAACTTGTTCGACGAACAAAGAATATGAAAATAATTTTTCCGGAAGAATGAATCAAGGAAGAATCCAGGAAGATCAAAAGAAACCATAAGAATGTTCCTAAATTTAGGCCGAGGCTCGAATCGGAAACCTCCTTATAATACCAAATGGCATGTTGCCTCGACTGCACTGCATCACTGGTCAGCATCATGTGACTGGTGAACTAGGAGTCCATGCCCAAATCTTGTGCACTATAAGATACTATAAGATACTGTAAGCACTGCTTCAAATTCGAGAATCATGTTTACTTGCATCAGAATCGCATTCCTTTCAAAACTCAGGCCCTTTTCTTGTGAGATGTTAGTCGGAATGCGTCTTTTTTTCTCCAAAGTCTTCTTGATTTTTTCCGTACAGGAATGATCCAAAGCCTTCTGACTTGATGCAGGGGTAAATGTAATGCCCTTGAGGTTCAGGCCTAAATCTGATTCCAAAGATTGTTGAAAATTCTTAAAGATCCTTACAGATCCTTAAAGATCCTCAAAGCCTTACAGGGTCAATCTATGTCAATCTACAATCAGGACTCGCCTTGAACTTGATAGCAGCTTGGATTTGATGCGATGGTCAATCCAAACCTGCATTGCCTCTCCAACAAAAGGCAGACCTTCCAAAGCGGCTGTCACTTGAAATAGTCCCAAAACATGCACATTGTGTAGCTGAATAAACAACTTGACAATCTTTACTTGATGCAAAACACCAGTGGGGGGTCCACATTTGCATCAACTATAGGACCAGGTGAAGCTTGAAAAAACACAGAGGATTGTAGAGAATTGAGTTCCTGAAGCTGTATTCTCTGTATTCCAACAATTTCCAAGCCAGTGCACACGCCTGCTGAGATTCCAGTTGACTTGCTGAACGTTATCGTTTCGGATTGTTGCGAAGATGGTGCTGTTGAAAGCTGGCCAAAGGCAGCACTGCCTCGTGGTGATGGCACCTTAGAGAAACAATGGTGAAAAGTACTTGAACAGTACCGGAGCACACCGAATCTTCAGACCATCTACTTCCTAGGCTTGGCCACAGCACTAAAAGAGCTTACATTACATAGTAATTTTATATAATTTTGTATTTGAACATAGTTAAACTATGTTAAACTATACTGCTGTACGATGCTGTACCACAGAATTAGTTGCTGAGCTGTCGCCATCATTTCGCTCAGTGCCAAGCGAGCTCAAGTGCCAAGGGACAAGTGTTGTGTATTCAATGCGGGCACTCGGCCACAAGTCGAACTGCTCTCGCTGCTGCTTGTTGGAGCGGAGTTGCATTTCCAGCAGAGGCGGTGCTGGAAAGACTTCGCCCTTCAGGTGAGTAGCAAGCCACTTCCTCAAGGCGATCCCCACCAGGCCACCACACCATCTTACAACATCTTACAACATCTTACAACATCTTACAACATCTTACAACCATCCAAAGACCACAATGCCAATCCCCACTATGTCATACTGTGTCTGCATCTGGATATTTGCTCTACAAGACTGTTTTTCATCAGAATCCAAACATTTAGCCGAGCTTCTTGGCCTCGATCCAAACGTGATTCTTTAGCCCAAACAGACCTTCAGATAAAATTAAAACAGGAGGGCTCACAGAAAGTCCGTGGCATGATCACAGGCGAGTCGAGTCGCAAGAAAACTGCATGGGCAAAATGAAGCCAAAATGAAGGAAGACGGATCAAAACGTGCCGCTTCAAGCATTTTAGGCCTGGCATGTACTGTCTCGCATGTTTTTTGTCGCACTCTTATGCCTGGAATCTCAGCCGAAGCGTGGATGCCCTGGTTCAGCATCAGCCGTTTCGGGCCTGCGTAGCGCCTGAGTCCGGCCAAAGTCTCAAAAGCCCCACATCAGTATTGGGCCAGCTGGGCGTGCTATATCTCTTGGTGCATTCTTTAATTCACAATGAAAACGACATAATGTGACAATAATTTGCATCTAGGATCATCTAGGCCTAAACAGAACAGCATCTCCCTGGGATGCCAAAGTATAACACAAAATGAATCAAAATGACACATTCTCAAGAGAGAGAGAGAGAGAGAGATGCGTCTTCAGGAAGCACGTGTTGATTTTTTGTTCGTTTGAATGATTTTGAGATATCTTAAGGGTGTGGTGCCGGCCATCTTGTTCTTTCAACACAAAACATAAGAACACAACTTGAGGCCGGGGGTGGATGACGAAAGCTAGCGGGGTAGGAGAAAGAAGGAAGGGAAGAGGTGAGTTGCGGAGGGACTGTCATCATCGTGTCGCGGCATTGTTCGTCCCAACGAGGATGCAACAATGATATATGATATATGAATATATATATATATATGATATATAACAATGATATATATGGGGGAGGGGGCAGGGGGGGGCCCTTTCGCGTGAAAAATCACGTGATGTCCTTGGGGAGCCCCGGAATACTTGCTAAAGCAAGAAGACTCCAGCTAGCTGACGCTAGCTTTCGTGATTAAATACAATCAATATAATTAGTCTTAAGAATTGTGAGACTGTCGATCTTCATCCTCATGCCACTTGATTTTGGATACAGAGTGTTTTTTTGCAGTGGCGCAGAAGCACTCACACTGCAGATCAAGATTGTGAACTAGCAGTCTGAATTTGTGGGACTGCGACAGAGTTGAGGCTGCTGAGGTTTTGACAGTTGCACGATTGAGAGTTTTGCACCGCTAAAGAGGCGAAAGAAATGCTGCTTTCAGGGAGAGGGATGGAATGTTGGAGAGAACTGCATCCAAGTCTCTCAAGAAAGTCAAGCGCATCATCGGGCGAGAAAACACGGTCCTGGGGGAAAACTCGGAGTATCATCGAAACACACAAGCGCATACAGGCAGCCACAGAGCGAAGAAGGTACAAAAGGTTTCGATGACACTCCAAGAACAGGTCATATCAGGTACAGCAACGTTTGGTTGTATCTATATACTGTATATACCGCTTGGCGAACGGGGCAATTGGCCATCTACTGGTGGAAGGCTTCAAAAGTAACAAGAAATGTCGTGTCATAGATCGTGTTCTACTCAATAGCATTTAAGGCCGCATTCAATGATGCTGGTTTCAGTGGATATTTCCGCACTAACGTTTCGCAAAACCCATGCCACTTATGCCCTCCCCATCAGCAAGTCCTCAAAATTGTTCGACATGAAGATTGGCACTTTTCTGGCCTGCAGGAGGAATTGCTGTCCCATCTGATCACTGTCCAACCTGAATCTTGTTTGGACATTGTTTAGACATGTGTCAATGATCCTGGTTTCAAATAAATCCCTGTCTTCCACCAAAGAAAAGTTACTGAGTTCGGTTGATCATGAAACTCCATTCGGGTTGGAGACCGATGATGGCATCCGTCCACAAACACAATATGTCGCTATAGTTAGGAGCGACAGTGGAGGACATATCAACACATCGTGGACACAAGGATCTGTAAATATCCACCAACCCGGCGCAGCTAGGGTGAGCGCACCAGGGAATAAGTGTTGATTCACTACCTGGAAACTACAACAACATACTACAAGTACAACAACAACAACAACAACAACGACAACGACAACGGCAACGGCAACGGCAACGGCAACGGCAACGACAACGACAACGACAACGACAACGACAACGACAACCACAACAACAACAACAACAACAGCAACAACAACAGCAACAACAACAACAACAACGACAACGACAACGACAACCACAACAACAACAACAACAACAACAACAACGACAACGACAACCACAACCACAACCACAACAACAACAACGACGACAACGACAACGACAACGACAACGACAACGACAACGACAACGACAACGACAACCACAACAACCACAACCACAACAACAACAACAACAACAACAACCACAACCACAACCACAACCACAACGACCACGACGACGACGACGACGACAACAACAACAGCAACAGCAACAGCAACAGCAACAACAACCACAACAAGGACGACGACAACGACAACGACAACGACAACCACAACGACAACGACAACGACAACAACAACAACAACAACAACGACAACAACAACAAGAAGAACAAGAAAAAGAAGAAGAACAAGAACAAGAACAAGAACAACCTCAAGAATTCTCAAGAGCTGGGAAAGTGGTAGATAAGCATTAGGGCTTCGTTGACGAATGAAACCATCCAACCATTACGTCGTCTTGGTCTTCCACTTAAATGCCCTCCTCTGCTTGAAAACTTGGACAAAAGACTTCAAGAGAAAATTCATGAAAATTCCAAACACAAGAAAGCGATTGTGCTCCACAGTTTCCAAGGTTCAGCGGCCATGCAGTATTTGGCTATCTGGCTATCTGGCCTCCAGAGTTGAGAGGTTCACGGTGCGCTCCTGTGCGAACTCTTCAAAACCAGTAATATTGCCTGCAAGCATTTGATGATATACCTGCCACGGACACTGGACACTGACATGCAAAAAGTAACATGCAGAAACATGTTCGACAAACCCAGAAACTGCCTATTGTGAATCCATTCAATTAATTTAGCTATCAAAAAACGTTCTCTTCAAGAAAGTGAACAAACCCTATGAGAGAGAAATAGAAGATTTGAGTATGCGTTATTCAATGTTTACACATTTACCGTATGCGTCGTATTCAATGCTTCAATACGATTGAATCTCGGGCCAATTCTCACTCAGAATGATCTACATCAAGGGTTGCACCTGGTCAATCAAAGGCTCTGGTTTTCCAACCTTGCTTCACCGGACACCGTGCAAATCTCATTTCAAAATATTTCAAATGTCTGTTCTCTGCCTGGAGTTTGAGTTCCCAACAATATGGCTTACCAACACGAGCAAGGTGCCCCAAACCTTGCTTGGGGAACCTGAACAGCTGAAAGGCGTCAACTTGAGGCAAGGTGGGGCCGAAAGCCATAGGGCATGACACAGGTATTTTGAGCAGAGATCGTGACAATCAATGTTGCTGAGATGATAGCAACAAAATTGTGGGAGAACGCCGTTTTCGAGCTTTATACCAAGAGCTTGTCCACATCAAAATATGAGATGGTCCTTTTCTGTCCAAAAAAACAGAAAAGAATGATGACGACTGATGACTGTGGGAATTGATCCCTGCAAATCAGTTTGCGAGGCATGCCTGGTCGGCTACTTGGGGGATAACATTGCTAAAGCAAAAGAACCTCCAGCCAACTGCTCTAACTTTCGCGGTCCAGAGTTACTGTGATGTTCTCTTGGCATCCAGTCGGGTTTTCTCTCGGGCCCTTGGTGAGGCCACTTAGTCCACTCTTGCTATCTATTGCTTATTCCCTTTCTAGAGCCTTAAACCTGGTTTATGATGTGTTTTTTTGTATGTTTTATTTGCCCTCTTCCTTTTTCATCTTTTTCTCTGATCTTTGCAACTCAGCTCGCCTCCTTTGAAGAGCGCATTGATGAAAACGGTCCATCCACTCATCGCCACCACAACTTTGACACGCGGATCTCGGTCGGCCCCAAGCAATGCCAAACCTGCACCATAAGAAATTCCAACCATGGCCACACGGTCAATGTCCGGTTGCCAGTCACCTCAGAACATCTCAGGACGATGGCGCATCGCGCTTATTAAATACATTAAATGTGCTGTTACAATCTGTTACAGTATGTGCTGTTCACACACAACTTCACTCAAAGACGGAAACAAAAACTCAAAACAACTGTCAGAAGCTTAATCTATCAGACGATCACTCTTGACACTTTGAGTCTGCTGAACTCTACTGACTCCACTGGTTGTGCCAAGTTTCTTTGATTCAATGCGAAGGAAATGACCTCCGAAATGTCTCGCTGATCCTTCAACCCTGCACAGTCAATCTCGCCTCCAGAATGGTACCAACCACGCGTCTCCTTGCGAACAAATATTGCGAGTCAGCCAGGAGATGATATCTATGTGTATTATATATATAATATGTATGTAGATGTATATGTACAGTTAATGTCAGCTTCCCAGCAACCTCTTTCACAACATCTTGCAACTTGATGTGGACTTACAAGACAGTGGTCACTCTTATGTGAAGAGCTTCAAGCGGGGAAGTTTTGACGGATCAGAACCCGCTACGTATTGGCGAGGATCATATTCTAACACAATGTATCCATCACGTGCAAGTTCTTGAGCTTGCACCACATACCTGGTTCGCAACTCCGGCTCATCATGACAGTCAAAGCGCAAGTTGGTGGAATGTTCAAGTGTCTCAAGTTGAAGTTCACACTGAACCAAAACACTAAGTCAAGTCAGGAGCCCTTCGCAACAGTGTGTTTTAAACCGAGTTGAAGCAAACGTATCCATCCCATGTCGGATTGTTGGAAGTTGGAAATCAAGTTTGGAAGTACCCGGAAAACTGGTTTTCAAGCAAAAAGGAAGTAATAAATGATATGTGTTATCATTATCACCAAGAAAAAAAACATTTTTTTTTCGTGTTGTCTTTCTTTTTGCAGCCATGTTGCTCGATCTGGGGCACACTCCACGAATTTGCCATGATCAAAACCTGAACACTCTTTACATTGTGGAGGAAGGCGTTTTACATCTTTGACCGTTATCGAATTCCTGGCGAGGAGCTGGAAACTTCTCAGATCCTTTTGCCTTTGGCAGGCTGACATCTGCCCGCAGGACTGTCCCATCGAAGGAAGTGATTTTCAAGAAATTCAGAGTCTTCACCTCAAAGGCGTGGCACAGCCGAGTCAGCGTAGCATATTACCATATTACCAATCCTTGTGCTCATGCGGTCAGCCCTTTCTTTCCTCAAAAGTTGGCAGCCCTTACAACGACCCGACAAATAGGCGAAAATTGATTAGAAATCGATAGAAATCGGCTGAAATCGGCACATTGCAGTGCTTGCATGTTTCTGGAATCTGCGCAAACCGTTTCCTTGTCATCTGTGATTTGCCTGAATAAATAACAAATTTCTCACTCAATCATGCCACAGTGCTGCAAAAGTCCACTATGTCTACAGTGCCCGGACCTCATAGCTCTCAACCACAAAGAAGAAGGCGAGCACGAGCAACCTACAAGATTTGCTAAGATTTTTCATGGTTTATGGTTTTATCCAGGATCCAATAATATGATCCGACTTTAGAAAAGTGTGGGTGGCACGCACTAGGCAGCTGCTTTGAAATGTGCCTCCAAAGCAGCGAGGCAGCACCCACGTGATCCACCATTGTGCAGACTGAGAACCCTAGATGCTCACCTCTTGCTTCCGGGTGCTTTCGGAATACGAGATTGCCCTGGCACAATCAAACTTGTTTGCCACTGCGCGCTTTCTGCGGCCAATGAGTCTGCAGTTGGATGTACAGCCAAAGAAACATGCTACATATCCGCCGACCCCTGCCTAGCCTTGGCCTAGGCGGGGCGGCGCCTGGGATCACCGTAGGTGTACGACGTTGGCATCGCTGTAGCTTAGAGCTTCCGCTGCAGCTTTGGAAGGCTCCTCAACCGAGGCCGTAGCCATCCTCTGCAAGCACCGCCAAAACAAAACCAAGCAGCGAACTAGGCCCTGGCCTCACCTGTGAGAGCTTTCCCTGCCAAGCATCGCTGCAGCTTAGAGCTGCCGAGCTTCGCTGCAGCTTCAGCCCGTCGCCAAAAGGGCTGCAAGGCTGCTGCAAGCTCCCGAGCAGCGACGTAGGCCCTGCAAACTGCTTCTATATAGGCTTTCGAAACTGCTGCGTGGCACGTTTTAGCCACGCCTTGACCGCCTTGAAAGCATTAAAACCGTTAAAGCCATCAAAACCTTTAAAAGCTTAAAACCTCCGCTGCAGCTTTCGAGGCTCCTCAACCGAGGCCGTGGCTATCCTCTGCAAGCGCCGCAGCACGCCGCCAAGACAAGCGTGAGCGGCGACGTAAGCCGTGCAAACTGCTTCTATTTCGGCTTTCGAAGCTGTTGCGTGGCTGCCCTGGCCACGGTATGCTGCCAAAACCAGCTCGAGCGGTGACGTACCCTGCAAGCTGCTTCAATATAGGCAATCGAAACTGCTGCGTGGCACGCTTTAGCCATGCCTTGACTGAAAGCCTTAAAACCCTTAAAACCCTCAAAACCCTTCAAACCCTAACACCCTGCGCTGCAGCTTTCGAAGGCTCCTCAACCGAGGCCGTGGCCCTCCTTTGCAAGCTGTGCGACATTGGCTGTGGCCTCACCTGTGAAACCTTTCCCTGCCGAGCGTCGCTGCAGCTTGGAGCTTTCGCTGCCGAGCTTCGCTGCAGCTTCAGCCCGCTGCCAAGGGCTGCAAGGGCTGCAAGACTGCTGCGGGCTCCCGAGCGGCGACGTAGGCCCTGCAAACTGCTTCTATATAGGCTTTCGAAACTGCTGCGTGGCACGTTTTAGCCACGCCTTGACTGCCTTGAAAGCATTATATAAAACCCTTAAAACCATCAAAACCCTTAAAGGCCTACAGTATTAGACAACGGATGGACTGAGAGCGTAGAGGAGCATAGTGAGAGGTACAAGTATGAAGATCTAATAGCATCAAACGTAAATGTTGAGACATGGTGCAGACATGTTGTGAAAAGTATAGGTAATATGAAGAAAGTGAAGGAGGAAGAAAAGAAAGATGAAATGAAGGAGACACAGGACGAAGAATTGAGACAGACAATCTTATTTACAAGCGTGCTGATACATACAAACATACGCGCACACGCATGTGCACACATAGTCACACACACACACGCACACGCGCGCGCGCTTTGACACACAAACGCTTTTACGCACAGACACTCGCTCTTACACACAGACGCTTTTACACACAGACCCTTTCACACAAACGCCTGCCGCAAATTACAATTTTAGCTCAGGTTTTGACACTCGAACCTCATTTCGTGCGAAAGGGTGGCCATTTCGTGGTGCCTCGTCGGCGCCGCCCGAGGCCCATCGCCCGAGGCCTAAAGAGAGAAAAGAATTACACCACCGTAGACCCCAAACAGTGGGTGAATTCAAAAAGTGTTTTGGGGAACAAGGTCAAAGACATGAAATAGCAGCAACAGGATTAATGAAAATATCTGCAAAAAGTGCCACAGACCACTTTGTATACGTTTATTTTGTTCGGCTTCGCTTGCTTTGTTGCAACGCTAGATGCCGAAAAACGACGAAGGAAGCATCCGATGGGGGTGCAAGTATTTGGTTCCAAACGCTCGAAGCAAGCAGCATAGGACTGTCAAATTGGATGTGTTGAAAACATCGAAGGATGAAAGTAAAAGATGACACCTCATTTTCAATCCCGGAGCTCTGTGAACATTCGAGTCTGCGCAATTCTCGGCGTGCGATAATTTTAGCTGGGGAACAAGGGAGAGACAAGCTGGGAGACAAGCTGGGGGCAAGCTGGAAACAAGCTGGAAGACAAGCTGGGAGACAAGCTGGGAAACAAAAGAGACAACACCGTAGGAAGGTGGACGCACCCTCCAACAAAGGGAAACAAAAAGGAAGACAAACTGGCACACAAGCTGGGAGACAAACGGGACAAGGACTCGGGAAGGCGGACAAACCATCCAACAAAGGGAAAAAAGAAGGGAGACAGTGGGAGACAAGGGGGAAGACGGACACACCACCCAACAAAGGGAAACAAGAAGGGAGACAAGCTGGGAGATAAGCTAAGGAAAGGAGAGACAAAGCTTCGGGAAGGCGGACGCACCATCCAACAAACGGAAACAAGAACAAACACCAGCTGGGAGACCAGCTGGGAGACAAGGCCTCGGGAAGACGCGCGCACCATCCAAGAAACGGAAACAAGAAGGGAAACAAGCTGGAAGGCGGACACCAAAGGGAACAAGAAGGAAAGACAACCTGGCAAGCTGGGAGACAAGCTGGGAGACAAGCTGGGGGACAAGGGGGACAAGTCCTCGGGAAGGCACACCATCCAACAAAGGGAAACAAAAAGGGAGACAATGGGAGATAATCCAAAGCAAGGGGGGCAGACGCACCATCCAACAAAGGGAAACAAGACGGGACACAAGGGGAGACAAGACCTTGGGAAGGCGGACTCGCATGTGGGGAGACAATGACAGACAATTGGAGGCAGTGGGAGACATAGGAAACAAGGGGAGACAAGACGGGAAAGCGGGCATACCATCCAACAGAGGGACACAAGAAGGAAGACCATGTGAGACAAGCAAGACCTCGGGAAAGCGGACACACCATCCAGGACAGGCGCACTTGTGGGGAGACAATGAGAGACAAGCGGAGGTAAGACCTCGGAAATCCAACGCAGGCACATATGTAGGGAGGACAATGGGAGACAGTGGGTCATACCATCCAAACACAGGCACACAAAAGGGGAGACTATGGGAGACAAGCGGAGGCGACAAGACCGGAGAGGCGGACACCGCCACTCAGGGAAACACATGAAGGGAGACAAATGAAGGGAGACAAGGCACAGACAAGACCGGAGAGGCGGACACCACCACTCAGGGAGACATATGAAGACAGACAAATGAAGGGAGACAAGGCACGGACAAGACCGGCGAGACGGACACCACCACTCAGGGAGACACATGAAGGGAGACAAGGCACAGACAAGGCCGGAGAGGCGGACACCACCACTCAGGGAGACACATGAAGGGAGACAAATGAAGGGAGACAAGGCACGGACAAGACCGGCGAGACGGACACCACCACTCAGGGAGACACATGAAGGGAGACAAGGCACAGACAAGGCCGGAGAGGCGGACACCACCACTCAGGGAGACACATGAAGGGAGACAAATGAAGGGAGACAAGGCACAGACAAGACCGGAGAGGCGGACACCACCACTCAGGGAGACACATGAAGGGAGACAAATGAAGGGAGACAAGGCACAGACAAGACCGGAGAGGCGGACACCACCACTCAAGGAGACACGTGAAGGGACAAATGAAGGGAGACAAATGAAGGGAGACAAGGCACAGACAAGACCGGAGAGGCGGACACCACCACTCAGGCAGACACATGAAGGGAGACAAGTGAAGGGAGACAAGGCACAGACAAGACCGGAGAGGCGGACACCACCACTCAGGGAGACACATGAACACATGAAGGGAGACAAGGCACAGACAAGACCGGAGAGGCGGACACCACCACTCAGGGGAGACACATGACAGGGAGACACAAATGAAGGGAGACAAGGCACAGACAAGACCGGAGAGGCGGACACCACCACTCAGGGAGACACATGAACGGAGACAAATGAAGGGAGACAAGGCACAGACAAGACCGGAGAGGCGGACACCACCACTCAGGGCAGGGAGACACATGAAGGGAGACAAATAAGGGAGACAAGGCACAGACAAGCCCGGAGAGGCGGACACCACCACTCAGGGAGACACATGAATGGAGACAAATGAAGGGAGACAAGGCACAGACAAGACCGGAGAGGCGGACACAACCACTCAGGGAGACACATGAAGGGAGACAAATAAGGGAGACAAGGCACAGACAAGACCGGAGAGGCGGACACCACCACTCAGGGAGACACATGAACGGAGACAAATGAAGGGAGACAAATGAAGGGAGACACATGAAGGGAGGCAAATGAAGGGAGACAAGGCACAGACAAGACCGGAGAGTCGGAACCCACCACTTCGGGAGACACATGAAGGGAGTAAAATGAAGGGAGACAAGGCACAGACAAGACTGGCGAGGCGGACACCACCACTCAGGGAGACACATGAAGGGAGACAAATGAAGGGAGACAAGGCACAGACAAGACCGGAGAGGCGGACACCACCACTCAGGGAGACACATGAAGGGAGACAAATGAAGGGAGACAAGGCACAGACAAGACCGGAGAGGCGGACACCACCACCAGGGAGACAAATGAAGGGAGACAAGGCACAGACAAGACCGGAGAGGCGGACACCACCACTCAAGGGAGACAAATGAAGGGAGACAAGGCACAGACAAGGCCGGAGAGGCGGACACCACCACTCAGGAGAGTGAAGGGAGACAAATGAAGGAGACAAATGACAAGGCACAGACAAGACCGGAGAGGCGGACACCACCACTCAGGGAGACACATGAAGGGAGACAAATGAAGGGAGACAAGGCACAGACAAGACCGGAGAGGCGGACACCACCACTCAGCGAGACACATGATGGGAGACACATGAAGGGAGACAAGGCACAGACAAGACCGGAGATGCGGACACCACCACTCAGGGAGACACATGATGATGGGAGACAAATGAAGGGAGACAAGGCACAGACAAGACCGGAGAGGCGAACAGGAGACAAGGCACAGACAAAGACCGGAGAGGCGGACACAACCACTCAAGGAGACACATGAAGGGAGACAAATGAAGGGAGACAAATCAAGGGAGACAAGGCACAGACAAGACCGGAGATGCGAACACCACCACTCAGGGAGACACAGGAAGGGAGACAAATGAAGGGAGACAAGGCACAGACAAGACCGGCGAGGCGGACACCACCACTCAGGGAGACACATGAAGGGAGACAAATGAAGGGAGACAAGGCACAGGCAAGACCGGAGAGTCGGACACCACCACTTCGGGAGACACATGAAGGGAGTAAAATGAAGGGAGACAAGGCACAGACAAGACCGGAGAGGCGGACACCACCACTCAGGCAGACACATGAAGGGAGACAAATGAAGGGAGACAAGGCACAGACAAACCGAAGAGGCGGACACCACCACTCAGGGAGACACATGAAGGGAGACAAATGAAGGGAGACAAGGCACAGACAAACCGAAGAGGCAGACACCACCACTCAGGGAGACAAATGAAGGGAGACAAGGCACAGGACCGAGAGGCAGACACCACCACTCAGGGAGACACATGAAGGGAGACAAATGAAGGGAGACAAGGCACAGACAAGACCGGAGAGGCGGACACCACCACTCAGGGAGACACAGGAAGGGAGACAAATGAAGGGAGACAAGGCACAGACAAGACCGGAGAGGCGGACACCACCACTCAGGGAGACACATGAAGGGAGACAAATGAAGGGAGACAAGGCACAGACAAGACCGGAGTGCGGACACCACCACTCAGGGAGACACATGACAATGAAGGGAGACAAGGCACAGACAAGACCGGCGAGGCGGACACCACCACTCAGGGAGACACATGAAGGGAGACAAATGAAGGGAGACAAGGCACAGACAAGACCGGAGTGCGGACACCACCACTCAGAAAGACACATGAAGGGAGACAAATGAAGGGAGACAAGGCACAGACGGACACCACCACTCAGGGAGACACATGAAGGGAGACAAATGAAGGGAGACAAGACACAGACAAGACCGGAGAGGCGGACACCACCAGTCACAAAGAGGCGGACACATCTTAAGAAAGAACTGAGAACCCCTGACAGTAAACTGTTTGGGGAAAAAGAAGGAGAGAGACCGTGACAGGGGTTAGAGGGCAAGAGAGAGAGAGAGGGAGAGAGAGAGAGAGAGAGATAGAGAGAGATGTGAAGATGTGAAGATGTGAAGATGAGAAGATGTGAAGATGTGAAGAAGAGAGAAAGAAAGAGAAGATGTGTGAAGATGTGCAGATGTGAGGATGTGAAGATGTGACGACGTGAAGATGTGAAGATGATCTGTGTAGATGTGAAGAGGAAGATGTGAAGATGTATAACAAACATTAACAGACCCCCACTATTAGAAGAACCCTTCGCTCAGACGCTCTCCGAAAAACCCTCCGCTGCTACCAACTGCTACCTATGCTTCTACACGCCCCTACTTACCCGACTTCCTAACGGCAGCCGTTTGTTGCCTTTGGTTCCGCAGCACCCTGCCTGCCCGACCTTGCAAGAGTCTTGGCTTGCAACTTGCCACCATTGGTTTTACAGGCCGCCCCTGCCGACACTATCTCAAGCCTTCAAAGGGTCCCCTGTTGTTTCCCGCTTTCTTCTACACCGCCCTACCTGCCGAGCCTTGTCAAACATCTTTTCGGGGGGTCGGCAGCACCAGGGCGTCAGCCCACTTGTTATCATAAAAGGGTTCAATATGGCGCAACTAGGCCAAGTAGTAAAACATGCACCAAACACGCTAAACACGCTAGAACAACAATATGAACCGATGTGGCTCAATGTGGTTGGATGTGGTTGGTATGTCCCTTTGTTGATGTGAACCCAAAGGATGTGTTTGTTGGAGTTACCCTCGTCGCAACTGTGTGATGCTTCACAATGTTCGATGTGTCGGCCTTGAATCTGCGGAAACAAAATGCACCAGTTGCCAAATTCAGCCCGCTTGGGGCCATTTGCTACCGACGGACACTTTTGATATTCTACCAATACTGACTTGGTCCGCGAACTCTTATTGAAAATGTCAAGCTCACAATCACTGCAAAAATACAGACAGAATCCCAAGAGAGCAAATGGCATATAACTTTTGCTATCTTTCGTTCCAACTGTCGCGACCATGATTGTAACCTGAGCTGCTGGGAGGGAGAGAGAGTGGAGAGACATGGCGAAAGCTTATAAAAACTGTGACGACCAGGTGCAACTGCAAGCACGAACAGGACCTATTCCAACAGTTTACATCATTTTGCGACAAATTCTTATAGTGGGTATTTTATTATTGTAATTACTACTATAATTACAAGAAAATGACACATCAACTCTTGATAAATCTTGATCTGAATTCAATTGAGAAACTGTTGCTGTGCCAACCAGTGGAGCCCCAATCATGGGATTCCCATGTGCTGTTGCGCCATCCACCCGACTGCCAATCATCTGTGGATTCCCGCCAGCTCTGAGATTGCCAGCTGGTCCGCCGGCTTTTCCACCGGTCATCTTGCGCATCACGCTGCCAATGAGAGTCGCTCCAGCCACCTGCACCTTCTGCACCCCCTACACCATCTGAACGTTGCCAGTTTTGAGAGCCTTCACAGCCTTCCCATGGGTCGTGATCGTGAGAATTGTGAGAATTGTGAGAATTGTGAGAATTGTGAGAATTGTGAGAATTGTGATTGTGATGGTGCGAGGTCTCACGCCAGTGACGACCATGGCTCGCCTGCTCGGTTTCAGCTGCTTCAGCTGCTTCATCTGCTTCGCCTTCGAGTCTCTTCCCCCACCGCCGTACGCAGCTCGAGGCCGTGTGTGGAGCTTCGGGAGCTTCAGGGACGACGTAGTTTTCATCAGTGAACCAACTGGGCAGTCCCGCAGCAAATGCTTCGATGAATTCCTCAACTTTGTCCATTTTGTTCTCTTCGTTCTTTTTGTTTGCTGCGGTTTCCTCGTTCTTTGCATTCTCTGTGTTCTCTTCATTCTGTGCATTCTCTGTGTTCTCTTCATTCTGTTCGTTCTCTTGGCTCTCTGGGTTCTCTTCATTTGCCACGTGGGTTACAGACTGCACAGAGCACTGCACAGATGTCTGCGCACCCCACTGACTTTCTTCAACCCCGTTTGCAATAGCAGGGAGCGCAGTGTCCACGGGAAAATTTGCATCAACTGGATCTGCGCAAGCGATGGCGGCTACCCTTTCACTTTGCAAACAACAAATTTCGTCAACTTGGCGTCGCAAATCTGTGTTGATGTTGAAGTCTTCAAAGTCTGCAAGCCCTTGTTGGACTTTTGCATCTGTTTCCTTTTCTTCCAGTTCAGCATGGTATCCCTGGACGACTTCGAAGAATAGAGCTGCTTCAATTCCTAGTTGTTTCACAAAAGCCGATACATCATCAGAATCATGCTCCACGGCCATGAGTCTGCACAGCACAGCAAAATGCTGCTGAAAAAGGAGCTCAGCCGTTCATCTCATGGCTAAAAGTTTCTGTCTTGCTACATACTACCTTATGCATCCTTGTTCAACTTTGTAGTTTTGCATGCTAAAATGCGTTCTGCGAAGTTGCTGTCTAAAATGGCAACATGCATGAAAACCTACCAAGCTAAACATCAGTGGCCTCATAGAGGGGCCTGAGTACAGTAATTCATGGTGGAAGGCAGTAAGACTTGAACATGTTTACAAATGTCAGTGTCAGTGTCAGTGATATCTGGTGGATAGGATCAATAGTAGCCTACTATCAAGTATCTCTGACTCATGATGGCAGCGTTTCAGACTATGTCAGCCCGAGCAGCCCGAACAAAGCAGCATCAAGAATCAATCCATGCCGATGCCATGCGCATGCGGCACCACTACCATCCTGTCATGATTGCAGTATATTGCACTGACAAGTACAAGAATATACCGAAGGCAGTGACGAACATCCGCGGCCATCTGTAAGAATGGCACCAAGATTGAACTTTCTATTTGTTCCATCGCATAGTCAAACAATCAGAGACCATAGAACATCTCGAAAGGCTTCAAAGCGAGATGAATCTATTCCATGGTCAACGGACGCAAATGCGACGCAAATGCTGGCAAGCCCGGCGTCTCTCAAGGGAGACAACAGCGCCGGTAAAACCAGCAGCACAATGTTTGATATTCAAACTTCAAACATATTCAAACAATAATTCAGCGCGGGCCATGGCTCTGTCGGATTCGTCAACAACTGCAACGCAATGACTATCATGTTGTAGCTCTCAATGCTCAATCAATGCTCAATCACAGTCTTTTGACAGAGGTGCGTGCGCTGCACAAGCATCTCGCCTACTGCACAACAACACTTTAGCAAACCCTGCTACCGCGTCACTTGAGCTCGTACTCAATTGCGGAGACATCATTCTTGAGGTTCACATCGAAGGTTGCCTCTTTAGAAGGCAATTCAAGGGACTGTGAAGAGACTGTGAAGAGACAGACAGACAAATTTTAGAGACTCCAAGGCCACTCTTAAGATCTCTTAAGGCTGTTTCAAGTGAGAAAGATAGAGGCTGAGGCACATAGCCTTTGCATTTTGTGACTGCTTCGAAGCTCCGGACTATTCCCCAGTTCCTCCAAACATGTCCAGACTGCTTAGAGCTGCTTAAAGACTTTTGAAGACTACTTGAAAGACTACTTATTTCAGATACATCCAGAATATTCATGAATATTCTGGACTTATATGGACTCTAGATCTAGGAGTGACAAAACTCAGCACAAGTACGATCTTCCCGAGCCTCTGGAGTCTCAGCCGATGAAACTTTGCCGCACTTGTCAACCTCGATACGAATGTAGCCACCTTGGACTTGAAGAGACTCCAAGATGGAAACTGGCAGTCTTTTGGATGACCGTTTTACCACTAGCCTGGAAAGCCCTTGCCTTCTGCACAGCAAATCCACCAAAATCCTGTTGGAAGATTGACTATGACCAGTTGCTGTCAGACATGCTCGAGCCAGATTAATATATTGGAGAGTTTGAGAGCCAGAGTCAGCCAGAGTTGCTTCCCAGGAACTGTTCATCCGAACCTTGGCATTTTGCACGCGAATATATTTGCCAGCCTGCCCAAGACACATTCCCATTTGTGATGTCTCTAGCAGTAATTCAAGGGAGTGATATGTCCTCGTGAAAAGGAATCCTTTTTCCAAGGTGGAACACGTTCCGGGAGCGCTTTTTTTGTGTCGACTTGGGTGGAAGTCAGTTCTCTGATGTCCTCAGTTTTTCTTACACATGTTTCCCCGTCCCACCTCGCACGGCAAGAACTGCGAGGGAGTCAAATTCAGTGTCACAGTGCCAGTGTCCTTGCACACCCCGATGTCCAATGAGGTGTGTGGGTACGTGCTGGAAAAAAGCATTGCACCCAAATGACAACTCAGATGGACAAAGACAACTCAAATCAGTCGAATGATGTCGAATGATGTCGAATGATGTCGAATGATGTCGAATGATGTCGAATGGTCAAAGTCTAATTGCATCCAGCCATGTCGCATCGCCACAAATGACTTCATGCTGCTTCTCCCCTTCCACCACCTCCGGCAGCCTTGTCGCAGAATCAAACAGCTCCATCAATTTTAATCTTTAAACATCGTTCAATGTTGGATGCAACTTTGGATGTCAAACGGACCATGAAGTGGTGCAATGGTTTTCATGTTCCAAATACAGTCCCGCTAGTTTTTCTGGTGGTGACTACAGGTACAGCAGTAAGTAGAACATTTGCCTCATGCAACTACAATGTGCTCCTCTTGGTCTCGCTCTGGCAGAAAACTGGCAGACAACTGGTAGGCAACTGGCAGACAACTGGCAGACAAGCAGCTTCACAACCTTCAACTGTAGGTTCAAACCTTTCTGCTCCGGTTTAATCGCAGAGACCTTGCTTGATAAAGCGCGGCTTCTTGAGCAACTTTGGCTTCTCATCCTCTTTGTATCTGGGATCGAACTTTGCAAGTTCGAAGGATCTTTTCAAGGCATCCTTCCATCTGACTTGCATCTTTTGTCGCGTTGCATACGTCGTGGTAGAGGTGAACGTTTCATATCCACCGGCCTCTGACAATTGTGAAGCGGTTGACATATTTACTTGAGTTGACTCACACATTAAGCACTTGCTGGAGTCGACATGGAAAGAGGAAGAGTCAGGAAGAGTTAACAAAATAAGAAATTCAGTTCTGAGATCAATTGAGTTCAGTGTACAGCGCCGGTGGAATCCACGCCTTCTCCACCATCACTTTCACTGACTCCTTTCACCAGGGCCGGGTGAGGGCAGAATGGGCCAGTGTTTCATATTTTTTCCTCATGGGCCACCATGGTCCATCTAAATTCACAAAGCACTGCTTACCCGAGGACCAAAGATCGAAATCATAATATTGAATGGATTCCATTCAACTACTATAAATGTGTGGTCAATTACCCTGGCAGATCTGCCGGACTATTTTCACATGCTTTCACATGATGACTATTCTTCTGGGCTTGCCTTGGGTCAAGCTTGGCATAGAGTAAGTGAGACATCTGCGGCAAACATGCACGTCCACCTGTATCGAACACGTCCCGTATCAACCATGAGTGTGCTTCAAGAACGCCAAGCTGACAAGCTCGCTTTGGAACTTGCTGCCAAGAACTCGTGTTGACGAAGGTGTGACAAGTATACAGCAAGTGGTTGAAAGCGGTGTAAGAAAAAGGGTGTTGCAGAGGACGGCTCATGAACACATGCAACAATACGACAAAGCATCCAAAACAATTCCACTTTCTTTTTTTGTTATATAGACCTAAAGACCAAAGGTACCACATAATCCACATGTCCTAAAGAAAGGACGTATGCCATGAAGCTCCATGAAGCTCCATGAAGCCCCTCTGCAGGTTTCACATAGTTTCACAGTTTTGTCTCTTATTTTTCACATGTTGCACATTGAGCTTCGCATGTTTTCACACCTTGTTGTGGTAGAAGCCGACGCTCAGTCCAGCTGCCAATGCTGCACCCAGAGCGGTGGCCTCTGCCATCTTGGAGCGGAGCACTGGTAATCCAAGCGCATCTGCCTGCGCACGTCCCAAACGATGCAAAAAGTGATACAAAAAAATGCAAAAAAAACAAATGTAAGACTAAATTCCAACATCAAAACCTTGTTTGTTTCTGGTACTTTTTGAATGCCATCTGACTACATCTGATGCCGCACACATCTCAATGCAATGAAAGGTTTCTACTGTAGTTGTTTCTAGTCTTCCCAGTGACCCGCCAGTCTTTCCACTCGGCCCACCTGAATCTGCATGAGGAGGTTGTTTACAGTCATTCCACCATCAACTCGCATGTCGACTAGCCGGAGGCCCGTGTCGTTCTTCATAGCCTGACACCGCTAGCGTCATCTACGTCTCAAATGAATTTAATCAATCTATGATGATCTATGTCTGTCAGTCTATGTATGTCTATGTCTATGACTTCCAAGGATCCCCCAAGTTTTTCATGGCTGCGAGTCCCCAGCTCCAGCTATGTTGCCTCCATAATGTCGACTGCTTGGAAGGCTGTGGATTCCAAAGCTGCACGGCACATGTGTTCTTTGCTTGTGTAGAGGGTCATGCCTGGCACCGAGTAACAGCTGCGGCTCAATTCCTTCAAGAACCTTAAAGTTTCCTTAAAGCATCTTACAACATCTTGCAACCTCACAGCGGTGAACCAGGATGAACCAGGATGAACCAGGTGCATAAAAATGCATAGAAATGCATAAAATACATCACATGAATCACTCTGAATCACTCTGAATCACGTCAATTGAAACAACACATGACGATCCGAAGGATTCCGAAGGTTGCCTACAGCAACTGCTCGAGCATCTTCACGCCAGTGCGGTGCAAACAAACCACTGAAGGCAGGAACCAATGTCAGGCCACCTGTGTCCTCGACCCAGTGACCCCAGTGACCCCAGTGACCCTTCCGTCTAAGGGATTCCCAGGACCTCAAGTACCAACTGCTTTGAACCCGTCGAACCCGTCGAACCCGTCCTCCACCTTGTTGGCTAAGATTTCCACATCCTGCACACCAGCAAACTTTGATGCATGTTCCAGCACACCGGATCACAGAAAACGTCAACCGCGTTTATGCTCGTTTTTTTTAGTAGAACCAATTGAACCGTTGAACCAACTTTCAGCTCTCCCTCCCCAGGCATTCATGGAGTATCCTCCAGTCCCCCTTGACTTGAACCCGAAACATCCCCCAATTGAGTTCTTGCAACAAGGATGGCACATCAAAACATGGCTAGCCCAAAAATGTGTCTGGTAAGTTTCACATGTTTCACAACCATTTCCACGCTGTCTCTCTGAGCCTTCGAGGAGGATATGATCCCCATGTTGTCACGTAGCCACTGTACCACTCGCCCCGCGCAGGCAACGCTACCTTCCAAGGCGTAGGTCGTCCTCTCCTGAAAGCCAAAGTCACGGTCCAAATGATTTCGCGGAATGTCGGCTCTCGATGGCTCTCAATCGCTCTCAATGGCTCTCATTACATCTCATTACAAGCTTCACTTCAGGTTGTGTCTCCGTGTGTCTCCGTGTGTCTCCGTTTTCGCGCATCAATCCTCTGGGCCCAGTTTGTATCCAATGGTGGTAAGGAGGCCATGCTTGGATGGCACAGCTTCCATGCCAGTGTTGAGAAGCATGAAACACCCTGCGGCCAGAAACACACAAAGGGCAAAGGCAGCCCAAAGAAACCAACAATGTTCATTTCAAATGGCAGAAACTTGAAATGAAAATAATATCCTTAAAAAAAAATCGTGTACTGCAACTCCAGAAAGGCATTACGACCTATTGCATCCTGCGATTCTCTTTGTACTCTCCTTGACTCAAATGATAAAGAAATGGAGGGAAATACCAAGAACATGTACCCGGACTGTACCTGAACTGTACCAGGACGGGGATCTGTGGGGCCTGTGCCGTAGGTGTTCTTCGAAGAGCCCACGTCTAAACAGGCATGACCCAGGAGAGCCGCATGCTGATCGCCCACTGCACCACAGATGGGCAAACCATCCAGGCATGGCACCTGCACACAACACAAGGCAGTTTCCAACGCAAGGATCGTTTGAATCGTTTGAATCGATGGCGGTTCAAAACTTTTGAAGACTGTTTCTTAAGGCTCAAGTCTCAATCCATGCAGAGGAAGTGTTGAGATGAGCATTGAAGTCTACGGCGAGTCTAGGGCCAAATACGGCCAGTTACGATTTCCGATCTGTGCAAGCTGTCTGAGTTCGGGACATTCTTCACATGACCATACACCTCTGAGTTGGATTTGATGTTTGGCAAGCAAACAGTAGAAATTCCAACTTCGCGGCAAACCTCAGCTTCATTTCGCGATGAAGCATGACAATGCATGACAGGCTGTGCTGTTCCATGACGGCATTCGCTAAACTTGGCACATTTTGTTGATTGGCCTTCGTAGTCTTCGTAGTCTAGACATGTCTAGACTCAAGACTTGAACTTGAATCCTGTGCATTTATCTCCGAAGCAAATGAAGTAAAGTTAGACGGCGCATGTGAAGAAAATGTTGCAGAAACTGAAACAACGCTTTACCTTAATTACATCCAATTACACTATACATGCTGCTGAGCGGTCTGTTTTATTCAATCAATGCTGAGACACAGTTTCATCCCATTTGCAGGTGTTGATGTTCATGAGCATATACCTGTCAAGCCAGCCGTGCATCAGCTTGTCACTTCAACTTGAACAGCGGAACATAATGACGACTTAGCTCTCTTCAACTGAGAATTGTCAGAAACTTATCTTGTCTACTTGTTTCATCTTGTTTCTAATCTACGTTTCCTCTGAATGAATTCCTGTGTGGTCGAATACCAAAACATCTGGTCCATTCCCTAGCTGCCACAGCCTGGAGGCGTTGGATACATCTGTGACGTGAACATTTTCTGCAGCACCCCCGCAGAGTTTGTAGATCAACCAACTTTCCTGACGGATCTGACAGCTTGTCAAGCTGCAAATTTCTGTGAGTATCAACAGTTCGAGAGGTCCGCAAACCAGAACAGGACCACCACTACACACCACGACACACGGAACTACAACCGTCAAAGCCACTGCCGCCAACGCAAACAAGGAGAACAGCAACATGTTCAGCAAAGACTCTATCGTTCCAAAGCAACATCTCTCTTCGTCAGCTGCTTTCCTTGCAAACAAACAAGGGGCATCATTCTGTAAACATGCCTAACATGCACAATAGTGCAATATATATAGAGAGAGAGAGAGACTGCATATAGCATTATTATATCACAAATTCCGATTGTATGACTTTCACATCATTACAGTACTTTACCTTGCATCGCATTTCGTAGCCTTGCTATCAAGAATGCCAGGCACTTGTTCAAACGATCACTGAAAAAAAAAACAAATACCTGTCTTTGCCATCTGAAATGAGAAAGGAAAACGTGCAAACTCCGTCTGAGGATCTTCACGTCAGGGACGTTGTCCAGCATCCATCTCATCCTCGCTTCCGTTTTTGTCGAACACAGCAGACTATGAAAAATCAGATATATATATATACATATTATATAATTATATATATATACATAACTATGATAATAATAATAATGATAATACTAATATGTATATGTGTGTGTGTTGCAACATGTTTCAAACACTCAGATCTTGTTTTATGTTTTGAGCTGAGCTTCTTCATCGCTGAAAAATAAGTGGAGATTGGAAGCCCTGTTTTCGCTCCTTATTTCCACTTCAGCAAGCTCTCTGTGAAAACAAAGCAATGCAACTAGCCAAGTTAAGTGCAGTCCGACCAAAGCTCTCGACCAAAGCTTCTCTACCCTTGAATGGGAAATTTGCAAAGCATCTAATATCTCGAAGCCAGCTGCAGAAGAGTTGGCCACGTATACAGGGTAAAACCATCGAAACAGATGAAAACGTGCATGAGGTCAGATATCCACTTTCACTCACTTTCATCCACTTTCATCCACTTTCATCCACTTTCATCCACTTTCCATCTCTACAGAAATCTTCAGAATCTTCATAAGAACCTAAGCTGGAACAAGGGACTAAATCGGTCTCGGCCACCGTGTTGTGACAACTGTCGAGCGGTCTCGGCAGTTCGCAAGTCCAACCAAACAATCGCTCGACAAAGGGGTTCACCAGTGACCTGGACAGAGCAAAAAGGAACAAAAAAGGAACACAACACTGAGGCAAAGGAAAGGCATATCGCATTGCATATCGCATTGCATATAGCATCAAACATCACCTTTACAAATCTTTACAGCCAGGAACCTGGGAGTTGCTTGGATATGGATGGATATGATTCGTTGATATTCGTTAATCCACACCTTGTCCCAAGCCACAGTTGTCTCCCGCTGATTGGTGATACCTGACAACAGGGGGTAAGTTCCAGAGAATCAGCATCTGTGCAGTTTTCAAAGGGTAGAATGCAGCTTGGGTCTGTCTGGCTTCAATGTCTCGCGGTCAGAGTAGTTGTACCGACATAGTCCATGGATTTCCTTCCTGAATATTAGCAGGTACTGGGTTGGTAGAAGTGAAATCATGGAAGTGGAATGAAAATTCATTTGTGCTGCTTGGCATTGTTCTAGCACACCCGAATGCAAAACAAGAAGGAAACACATCTATATATATATATATATTACGTCTTGCCTGCTAGGATGCTGTCGAGGAGGTTTGGCTGAATGCTTCAGGTATTTCAAAGAAGGAAACAAGAATGCATATAAAAGAGCGCTGATGTTGCATCAGCCTTCAACTAGCCTACTTTACCTGAACTGCTGTCATACTTCCGATTGCAGACCTAGCTGCCAATGCCAGCAATATCATCCTTCTTAGCTCCAACTTTATTCATAGCCGATTCAGAGCAAGAGATAGCACTTTGAAGTATTTCCTTTGGGTCGTGCTCAGTCCATCCTGGCTGAGGATAGTACCTGCCACAGATGCCACAGTTCAGGCGTTAAGGTGCACTTTGGCAACGATTCACAAACTCTCCACAAATTCGTGTTGAATGCAACGTTTCTCCATCTAGACATGCCCTGCAAAATACACCCCTTGTGCAAGATACAACACATGCTCTGCATTCCACTGTCACAGTTCTTCACATTGAAAGGCAAGTTTCTGAGGAAATTCCTGCTGTTCGATGGCCTTCACCTGGACAAAGAGTCTGTTGGTTGGGGACTGTCCTTTGTCAAAGATATGAGTTCTGTTGACGAAGGATATAACCAGACATGACATTCGACGAAGTATTCCTTTGTGCTGGGAATCCATATCGACATCCCCACTCTTTGGAAGGGGCATTTGGTGAGGCAGCCCTTTGAGAAAAGGTTGCTGACATTTGTTTCACCCTGGGATACCTTTTTGCAAATTTATACGGAAAACATGCTGCACGGCACTGTGGCCAAGACAAACCTTCACACAGGTGGTATTAGAATTATTAGAGTAATCAGTAATGTCACCGGAACATGTTGCCACTGTCGATGTAGGTCGTACCAAGCCTGGCCATCCTTGTCAAAAAGAATAGCACGCGTGGACGTAGTGCCCTGGTCAATGGCCAATACATAGGAGGGTGCCATGAAGTTGCGGCGGCCCCACGGAACAACAAGGCGGACTCGAGAGGTACGCAAGTACCGCCCGAAGCCCATGCAAACTCGTATGTTTACCTTCCCGTTGGTGTGTGAATGCAGTTGCATCGTATTTATCCCTCTTCGCTAATCTTGGCTACTGTATAGAAATGTGCTTCTGTTTATCTTGCATGTCGCATACAGCACTGCGCAACGCACTCTAGATGTTCATTCTATCGCAGTCTAGCAAACGCTGAGAGAATTGCTGACAGTAGCATGACACCTATTCAACCTATTCCGAGTTTCTCTTCAAAGATGCTGTGAAATCAGATAAATCAGTCATATCAAAGATGCTCTAGAAGACTCTAGAAGTGCGTACGCCAGGGCTTCCAGCACCAAACTGCAGTCGCACAGCATGTGTCTTGTTTCTTTCTCCAAGCGCGAGGAGTCTAAGAGGCATCCAAGCTAAGCGAATGAGGAAACTCCGCAACTCTAGGAATCAACTGCCAACGACCAGTCTTTTTGATCGATTTGCAGATCAAGCCACCAACATTAGGACCACCAACTCTGAGGCAACCAAGAAGCAAAGTCTTCATTCCCACTGGCTTCATGTTGCTACTCATAGGAGAATGTCTTTGAATGTACATGTGCGAGTTGAAGGATAACTCCGTTGGACTGTCTGAAACTCCTCCAATCTGGGCCTTGGGCTGGTGGCTCGACGGGCTTATTAAGATCTTATTGAGCACTTGTGAGTGCCAGTACAGTGACCCACACCAAGCAAATCCAAGCTATCGTTTGCGGTGCAGAACTGTGGGAATCTGCGGGACTGAACTTGCAGTGCAACTTGCAGTGTGCAACTCGTGCACTGTGCAAGTGGACACAAGTCAGCCAGCTTATTAAATCATCTCACTCCGAGATTAGCAGAGGGACCAGCAGTGATCAGGCCCCGGAGAATTCTCCGAATTGGATGCAGCCTTGCACAAAGATCCACCAAAAAAGTGCTAGAGTTGCTAAAGGGTGGCCCTTGGACCAGAAGCATATATATATATATATATGTCCATCTCGTTGTATTTTGACAACCTAACATAGCAAGAGAAATCCACAAACCTAAGATGATATTAGCATTTTCATAGATTTCATGGATATGTGCATGGGTGTTGGATTGCTGCCATAGGCATATTGGATGGTCAATAGCATTCTGCTGAGCAAGCTTTGAACCCTGTTGAACTCAGCTGCTATTTCATATCTTGGATCTTGCCCAGAGTCCAAACATGTCAGAGTTTTCCGAGACAAGGAGGCACAACCCGCATAGCCTATCCTCAAACACCTCCATGCAAATCAGATTGGCTTCAAGTTTCAAGTTTTTAAAGACTTGTTCAAGTCCCTTGTGCCAGGAACTTCTCAGGTGGTCTGTGCTCAGAACTGGAACCGATCTCTTCCGACCAGTTGACTCTGGGCAGAGGTGCCCTGAGAATTTTATAACAATTTTGAGTGATTTTGGGACGTTCCTTGGGCTGTCCACATCGTCAAGGGATAAAAAGAAGCAGAACAAAACCCGAGCAGTTCGGAGTACAGGCTCCTTTCACGTGTTCGGAGTACAGGCTCGGTGGCTTTTTTTGGTCACTGCAACTTCTTGACAACGAGCAGCTCCCAAGTAGACGAATCTAGTCCAAGGTAAAGCAAATAAGGCCGCCAACGTGGCTAGTGCAAACACCAGTGCGAACTTCATCTTGAAATGCTGAACCAGCTTCCACTTCCACAGATCGATGTTCTGGCGATGTTCATTTGTTTCCAATAGTGTTTGCATGTCTTGGCGCAGAATCCAATTGACAATGTCCATGAGGGTACAGTGAACACATGCATGAAACCGCTAGGCAAACTCTAGCCGTGGCGCATCTAAGACTGTAAAAAAAATCGTTCTGGCACGCCTCTGACTCTAAGAATTTGACATGACTGCAGCATCGAATATATGTGCCAAGTTGGTCGGGCCGTATTTGCAAGCTGGACCTCTAGTCAAACCGCTTGGCATTCTAGTGGCGTTTGCCCATCCAAGCGTCTATATTATCGAGTTAGAATGCAACGGTGCAATTTGATCAGCTCTGTTTCAATCAAGTCTCCCCAAATCAAACGTACAGACTGCATAAAACGTCTGCACTATGTCACAACACCAGACATACAGCACACAAGAGCAAATGATATACTGCTACAACTCAGAAAACCAATATGCAGATCTTGACACATTCCGCTGCATTGCTTCTCCCTACATCTCTGTGCAATCTAGAATGAAGAAATTCTATGAAATTCTAACCTAAATGCAAAATCTATGAATGTGGAGCAACATTCAAGGGATGTTGCTCACCTAAGCTTAGGGCCCATTGAAGGGTCCTTTGAAATACCGGACGAGACAAAACCACAGAAAAAGGAGGGATCAATTCGGATCAATACACCAGAATAAGATTTCAACATATTTCAACTGGGCATGTTGCGAAATACCTGGGCCATGTTTTGCTGGCTTTGCTCGACCGCGTGCTCAAAATTGATTTTCAGCGCCAATCAAAAGTCGGAAGCCCATGCCAAAACTGCCACGAGGATCAAAACTGAGTGTGCAAAGAAAGGACAAAGGTATGGATCATAGCGCAAAGGAATGTTAGTTTTATTCTTGAAGCATCTATGAACCAGTGACCTCGAGGTCAGGACTTCCAATGATTGGGCAATTGCTGAGCCAAAACCGCTCAAGGTTTAGCTGGCATATCCAGCAACCAAGACGTCCAGCACCTTGTGCACCTGTGCCAAGGAATTTGATCACAGGTCTTCGGCCATAAGGGACACTACGCAAAGCTGGAGGGCAAAATCTCTGTGGAGATCTGGCATCAGCCCCCCCAGTGTAGAGCAAAGCCGAAGCACTCTGATGCTGAAACTGTCAAACCATCTTCATGCGCATCCACGTGAATTACACTATGGCATTATGGTGTTATGTGTTATATATATATATATGCACATCTTCATGCGCCGTACACAGCATAAATCATATGTGTTATGTGTATGTGCATATATATATATATATATATGATGATGATGATGATGATGATGATTTGTAATTATATTTATAATAGCAATGAAAAGAGTAATTTGTATAGATGAATAATAGATTATATATACATACATACATACATACATACATACATACATACATACATACATACATACATACATACATACATACATACATATATACATATATACATATATACATATATATATATACATATATACATATATACATATATACATATATACATATATACATATATACATATATACATATATAAATGTATACATATGTACATATATACATATATACATATATACATATATACATATATACATATACATCTATACATATATACATATATACATATATACATATATAAATGTATACATATGTACATATATACATATATACATATATACATAATATATACATATACACATGTACATGCATATGTAAATGCACAGTATTTACATACACTATACTGTACTAAACATCCCCATAGATATATTTGGAGATACTCCTGTCCACCCAGCAATGAGTAGCTGCATATTGGGAACACTGTAGTCTGTTGGGACAAATGGATGCAATCATCTTTTTCTGCTTAAAAGTTCCATGGTGTCATGTGGCATACTGCATTTCTGTCGATTCTTGACTCCTTATATCCGTTTATTTATATATTTATATTGTATACTTATATACCTGAAGTATATTTATGATATTTCATCATTTTCTTTTTGAGTTCTTTTGGCTCTTGAGTGCTGTCGGACTCTGTCCAGCGGCTGGGTCTTCTAGCCTTTGCCTTCCACAGGTTCCTAATTTGTTGCACTAGCCGGGAACGGATCAAGTCGGAAAGCCCACTTGACGCAGTGCCTTGAGGGATCCCATCACCACGGGACATCAGTTTCTCCATGTTCGATCTGTCCTGATAGAGTTTGGGTTTTTTGGATTTGTTTTTTTTAGATCTTTTGGTGGTCTGCGCTCTGTGTGCTCCACGACCTGGCCCTCCCAGCTTGATTTCCACCTACCGCCTCTGGCTACCGAAACTTGTCGTAGTCTTTGCCATTTCCATGACAGTTCTATGACAGTTCTCATGCTTGGCAACCAATTGCATACTACCTCTCAGCATAGCAAGACATTGAGTAAAGAAGACTTGGAAGGTTTGCTAGCTTTTCTAGTCTCATGCTTCTGCGATTACGTTTCCTTTGCATTTTGATACTGTTTGGAGTATGGAATGTGACCTGACTGTTCCAAGCCTTGCTCATCGTGAAATAATGCTGCGGAGAACGCTCTCTTCTTTTGGATTTAGCGTAAAAATGGCAACGACCAACACACGAGGCTTCCAAGAAGCCAGAGGCATATCTAGGACTCTAAAGCTATCATGCACAGAATTAAGAATAACCAGAAGTCAAAGCCTTGCAACAATGCCTAAGATGGTAAAGTGTCAAAGCACTTCTGGTCAGGGCAACTCCAGCTCGGCTTCTAAATGTACGGCCTGTGGTCTATTGGAGAGTCCAGCTGACTCTGTTTGAGGAAATGATCATTTTTTTTGTGGCCTTTCTGTCATCACCTTGACTTCAGAATGACAAGCTCATGAGCGAGATGGTCTATAAATACCGAAGAGGAGTTGCATTCTGAGCGAATGTGCGCTTGCACTGATGTTAGAAATCCTCGTGGCCAATCACCACACCGCATCGAATTCAGAAGTCACACTAAACTTTCACTACGTGCACTCGCTCTTCATCACCGCTTTTCCAGTGTTCTCAGCCCCAACATATCCAACATTTCAGAATTATTTCAGGTTGCTATTGGCCGTGGTTCGTTGGCATGGCCTTGTCCGAATCGACTTGGCAGTGTGTTTTTCAGAAATCCCTGATACCTTAAAAGCATCAAAATCATAGAAGTCCAGATCACCTTCAGAACTGGACATAAGATCATAGTATGTTACATTACATCATAGATCATCATACATTACATCATAGTATATCATATATCGCAGTATAGTATGATCTATTGATCATCTCAGAGAGGTCGTGCCTAACTGCAAAAGTGGCCGCTCATACAAATGGTGCAGAGTCCACGAGGATGTCTAAAATCAGCAAAGGCCAGCAAACTCTAGAACACCGTCAGAATCTACACGATTGAGATAAACAGGAATCATTGACCGCTTTGGCAAATAGCCTGGCTGATCAGGAATCAAAATATATGTATATGTATATATTTATTATATAATATATATATAATATATATAATATATTATATATATATATGATTTTGATGATATTTGATGACATTTGATAAAATCCGTCGAAAGCTGTCGGCATCCCTGAGATGCTGGTATGGGCTAGTGTCTCAGGCTTCAGTGGCTCTGTCAGTGGCACCTCCGTCAGTTTGCAAATGGAAAAATGCTCCAAACATCTCCAAACCAACTGACATCTCCGAACCGTTTGGTTTGGCAGCCCAAACCTTGCAGAACTTTCAAAGCAGAGACTGCTTTTGCTGACTGCTTGTCTGCAGTGGTAGACTAAGAAATAGAAAGGGTACATTCGGGACATGCATTTCGAAGAACTTGTCAAAACCTTGTTTGCTGACACCAATTCTTGCATTGCATTTAGCCCAAACTTAGCAAATGAATGGCACAGCCTTGTTGGACAGATTGTGTCATTATAAGCTTTCTATAGCTTTCATATTTGCAATTTACATTGTCGGCTGGATTTTTTCTTTTGCATTTGCACCCAGTCGCAGTCACGTTTCGGTTTCTGGCCTTGCTCTCGGAGAAACCTTCGACAGATTGAACCATGTCATGAAGCTACACTGGCAGAGGTCACGTGGTGTGCTACAAATGCTACAGCACTCTTCACATTGTTTGCAAGAGATTGCAAGACCCATTTTGCTCGTTGAGGGCTCGGGTGTGAGCCGAAGGGGTCAGAGCACATCGGAGCTACCAGGACGCTATGGAGAACCCCAAACGCCATCTTGCAAGGAATCACTGGCAACAGGCTAGGCCCAAAGTGAGGCAAGTTGCCGATGTGCGAGCAAAGCATGAGCAGACCATCTCTGCTCCGGCACAAACCTCGCAGAACGTCCAACTCGCTCAGATTCTACTGGAGTGGCACAATTCTCATCCCACAAAGATTGCACCAGAGATGCACTAGAGTCACTAGAGCGCATAGAGCGCATAGAGTGCAAGGCTGCAAGAGCAGAGCTTTGGGCAAAGATCCGCAGAGTCTGATCTGCCAAGCAACTGTAGCATGTCGGATAGCATCTCTTTCAGATACTCATGAGTGTATCGACACTTTTCCAGAACCGTCTCGAAATGGGTGTCCTGCCAGGATAGTACTCGAAATTATCTGTAAATCAAACTGATCTTTCGCAGTTTTGGTTTGACATGGTTTGACTCTCTGTGAATGAACTTATAATGTCTGATGTGTGTGCGTGTGTGATTCTTGGAAAGAATACAAGAGTTTTGCAATCGCTAGTTTTCAATGTGTGTGTGTGTGTGCGTTTGACCTGGTCTGCTCATGTCTATTTCAAATCTCAATCACCATTCTTCGATACTGAATGAGGTGCAATGTCCTTCCAACGTGGCCAGTTCTTAGAGAAATAGCCCAGCTGCTCGATGATAGGCCAAGTCTCGACAGTTGGCGTGCCCTTCAGCTGAAAGATTCTGAAGAGCCTCAAAGTTGCAAAGATATGCAAAAGTTATCAAAAAATATCCGGTAACATCCTGTAACTAAAGATAGTGGCACCCCGTGATTCCATCTCTTCATCTTTGATCTATGCTTGAGACCACCACAACCCAAACAATGAGACAGACGGAGACGGAGGCGGAGACGGAGACAGAGAGAGAGAGAGAGAGAAGAAAAGGAGGCTTAAATCAGCACAAATCCGACACATTGCGACACTACGTGGTTTTGAACCAAATGATGGCGTTCCTGTGGCATTGCAGGACTTCCGTGATTTGGAAGTATCGATCTGAGATTATCTGAGTACTCATCATGGCTCGTCTTCATCTCTGTCTCTGGCCAAGTCACGTATCGATCTCTGAGTCGCCTCTGAAAAGTACGGAGTTTGTGGCCATCTCTGCCAGGATGCAGCCCAAGGACCAAATATCGACACCTTGGCCATACCTCAGGATATCTCAGGACTCAGGATACACTCCGGATACATGATACATCACAACCTAATGCTGCAAAGTACACGATGCGCGTGAGGATCAAGATAGGAGTCACAAAAATCGAGCGAGATTCAAGATGCCATGTCGATCCATTACAGACTTTGCTGCCTTGAGGGCCCACAATCTCTTTATTTTTGCAATACATACTATGATACGTATGTATATATCATCAGATTTAGGTCTCAGGAATGCAACAGAAATAAATCCAAAAGCATACTTCTCAGGCTGCGGCATGCACTGCGTTCTGTGCATCAGGATCAACTCTGGTGCGCGATACCACAGAGTCACAACATACTTGGTGATTGGCCCACGCCCTCAGCGCGCTTGCAGCGTATTTGCAGTGCGTTTGCAGTGCATTTTAATGAGCAGTTGTCAAAGTCTATGCATTCTATGCATGCTATGCCTTTGACTCACAGAATTGTCCAAATGCAATCTGAGGTTCCTGGATGCAAGGGCTGAAAACGCCGTGCCAAACCGAAATCCGTGATCTTCAAATTGCAGTTCGCGTCCACCAGAATATTCTGAGGCTTCAGGTCCCGATGCATGTAGCCTTGACCTCACAAGTCATTGCTGACTGCACGTTCTCAATAATCTTATGTAAATTGAGTATTTTGATTCAATGTTATCTAATTTTGCGTAGCTTTACTTAATGTTGAACTTTAGATTATTTTAGTTTTGAAAGTCCATGAACTATGCAAAATGTTCTGAGTCGGCTAAACACTTGAACTCTAAGCAGCACCAAAAAACACCTCTCTCAAACTCTGGACTCGTCCAGGCTCTCGTCCGAATCAGGCGTTGATTAACCAGACCACATTGATGGTTTGACAATCTGTAACAATAAGATACAAATAGCTGAATCATACTGAACGTCACTGAACTGTACTGAACACTTTGTAAAGCCGGTTGCAACCTAGCAACGGTGGCAATGGACCACTCCTTTAAGAATTTGAAGAAACCTTGGCGAAATTCAGGTCATGGCCCAATGCCCGCAATAGTCAGACTTGCAGAGACTTGCCACAAATCTATAAAAATCTTTCAAGTTTCTCGTGTCTTCATGTGTCTTCATGTGCCTTCATGTGTCTTATGTCTTCGCATGTCTCCAACTTTGCCCTGTCTAAAGGGTATGAACGTCGTAACGTGGGCACTTCAGGTTGATCTTCCGTGGGGCCAAGCCACGCAGGCTTCAGGTACTCGAAAGGTCCTTTCAGCTCCTTCCTGCGTCCAACAGAGCTGATTCTCTGGTCGAGTAGGTAGAGGAAGAAAATTGAAGAAATATGAAAAATTAGTATCTGAGATTATCTGAGTAGAGTATGCGACTAATATGCCAATGCTGACTAATATGTGACTCAGCTTGAGTCGGATGGAGATCCGCTCGAAGGTTGCTGCATTTTGTTGTGGAAATAGTACTACCATGTACTACCTGTAGTTGAACGCAGGGAATTTCAATGAATTTCAAACCAACTTGAAACCTCTAACTTCCTTGATGTCATGTGGCAAGAGGGGTTGGCTCCTCATGTACTCCATCAAGTTGCAAGGCATCAGCTCGAGAACGAGGTGTACCTTGCAAATCTCAAATAAGTTTCCAAGAAGCCAAGTCAGTTCAATTTAGACAAAATCAAAACAAAACCGGCAGAAGAACTCGTGCAACAGATGTGCACCTGTGCTACTCGTTGCCACCCCTTGCCTAGGCCTACATCAGGTCTGGTGGGCTTTCACACCTGTTTCATCTCGGGTCCAGTTCGAAAAAAAAGAAATAACTGCCGATTAACCCTCATTTCCGTTCAATACATATCCTTGTCACGCGTCAGCGTTCTTTTGTTGTGCGCTGGCAAGAAACCTTGATCAGTAGAGGAGGATGGTGATCCATTGATAAGCATTGCAGAATCATGACCAGCAATGCACAGAACGCCGGTTCCAATGAACTCTCCCACTCATCCAGTCTCTGCGGGCAGGGCACACTGTTCGGAAGAGCAAGAACGTCGTGCAGTTGCACAACGTTTGGATGCCTGCATGCCCTGGATCAAATGCTAAAAAGCACATATCTTCAAGAATTAAAGCAAGATCAAAGCAGTTGCTCAGTTGCTGAGTGTCAAATAGAAGCATATGGTTTTGCACTTGCAAAGTTTCAAATTCTGAATGATTCTGAATGGTTTGATCCATTCGCCTGCCATTGCATTTCTAGTGGTGCAGTAGGCTGGGGTCGCTGCGTGAGGGCAGAGATCTCTCGCAGAGAGTAGCTGCTCAGGCCCTCCTTCAGGACCATCGGTTGCCATGCGCCATGCAACGCCATGCATCACATGTAGCGACATTGCAGTGCAGTGCCATTTTCTTTTGCAAATCGCATAAATCGCATAAATCGCAACTCTTCAGCAAATCTCAATCAAACGGAAGCATTGCACAGTAAACATAGCAAACCGCACAGGGCTGACAAGTCTTTGTTGCTTCACTGCTAGGAACATACGTCATTTTTCACCTTGAAGGGTTTTTGCCTGCCATTGAGCCTGGTCCCCAGCAGTTTCATATGATTTGACATTTTGTACATGCAAGAGGTGACAGGTTTGTCCGATCTGAACGTGCAACACTGCTCGTCCTCTGTGTGAAGAGATGAAGTCTTCACTGCCACTACCTTACCAGTGACCTCAGCCCAAGAAAATACACAAGCGATCGCAAGCAATAGATGTATGCAGCGTTTGCAGTGTCACTTCATGTCGCGAGTCCAACGTCCAACCTGTAATGTAGTCTAGCACAAAGTAACGGTGTGTAAATCGGCGTAGGAGGAATATGTATGTGTATGTATACATTGCAAATGATGTACTTCCCGGCTTAGCTGAGATTCTTCGCCGTATCCCCCATTTTATAGGGCAAGTGAGGCAAGTGGCCTTGTCTTTCATCTTTGCGACCTGGCCATAATTGCCTTCAGCAATGGTCTCCATGTGCACATAGCGGTCTCCCAAGCACTCAACTGCTTCATCTTCCACCTCTCAGGACATCATGTCTCACAGACCCCAAAAGCCATGGAACAAATCTCCAAATTTGCTACTGAATTTGCTGTCCGTTCTTCTCTTGTGCCCCAGTACTTTCCAGATCTTTCCAGAGGCATGCAGTGCGAAGCACCAAGCCAATCAAGAAAGTTTCTCATGTTGGTGAATATAGGGGAGAACTCAACATAGAACTCAGCTAATAGCATTAAAAAAAACAATGACGAAATGCGGCAGCGACTCTGTACACACTTAGAATCAATGCGAAATCTATGCACTCTGGCGGCTCAGCCAGGGAGTTCAGTCGTGCCTTGCATGGGAGTTCCCTCATAACGAGCGGTTCTGCCACAAGTGCCATCTGTTCCCGTCACACTGCCCTGGGCTCAAAATTACCCTCAAACTGGCCAAAATGCCTCGAAGCAAAGCGAGTTGCAAAGGAACCCATGAAATATCTCATTATATTATATATATATATTCACGTCACTAGAGACAGCGAATGATGATGCTGGAGAAAAAAAAACAAGACTGGATGCAGAAGCTTGCAATGCGCATGTTGCATTTGAATGACCTTCAACAGCCTTCTCTGTGCCGCTTTTTTGCTACTAGATGCTACTATCGGTTTTGGGGGTCTGGTTTACTCATACATCTCATACTATTGATCCTCCTCAGCAGTCCTTCAAATCACATTTTAGAAGCATGTAGATCACAGGCGCATGTCGATCACATTTCTAGACTGTGTGGATTGGGTTCTATGTCTGCGAAAACTGCAATGATCTTTCAACGCAGATTTGTTTTCGCCTTTTTGCTGTTTTGCTTTTGGGGGCTCAAAAGCTAGGGACATACCCTTACAAACCCAAAAGGAGCAGGGTTATTTTGCAGCCCCATGTCAAATCGAACACCACTGAACAAACCCGGAGCTGGCAAATACTAGTTCATCGGCACGCCACTTCTGTTTCTGACGCTGCTGATCGCCCTCTCCATAAGCGCAGTCGGATTTTTGAGAGAGTTCGAGACACCTTTCCCGCACCTCAAATCGTAAAAATTGTCCGAGACTGACCTGACCCATCTGCTCTGTCGGATTCGTCAACAACTGCAACACAATGACTGTCATGTTGTAGCTCTCGATGCTTAATCACAGTCTTTTGAAAGAGGCGCGTGCGCTGCACAAGCATCTCGCCTACTGCACAACACTTTACATCTCATCATGGCCAGAGGCATCAAGCGGTGTGCTTGATCTTTTGCCAAGACCTGTACCAAATTCTCATGCATCTCTTGGCTCTGTGATCTCTGCCACAGAGTAACAAGATGGACATTGCAACACAGTCGTGCGCCCGAGGCAAAGGGAGAGATGGTCAGAGATGGTTTTATGGCAACCTTATACAATGGATGTAGGCCTATCCGACTACAAGATTGAGACGTTTGAGTGAAAGGAACATGCCTCTCTAGCCACGACAGACTAATTGAGCAGAAACAGGAGACTATCTTTTACAAGAAAAATATGTAAAAAATGAAAATAACTATAAGCAAGTACAGTTAGGAAAGTTAGGAAAGCTGGGAAGCTCTGTGTGGGTGGACTATTCAATATTTCAAGGTCTCCCAATTTTGCTGCTTAGCCACTTTGGCAGCATCACTTTGACAAGTTGAACAGACGCTATACGGGGGAGGCAAACGCACCCGAAGTCCAAACAATCCACCTGTTCTTGGCAACACTTTTCTTTAAGAAAAAATGGTGGTTGTAAGCTTCGGTTTGTTACGGTTTGTTCTTGACTGTACATTGCGGTGCTCTTGGATTCTTGGCTCAAACTGAGTCCATCGGATCAAGTGTAGAACCTTGGGTTCAATGAACTGGACAGTACAAACGGTGCGCAAGCAGAATGAAATCCATGGTGGCAAACATCCTGGGTTCATAAAGCCTTCGCCTTTTGCAAAAAAATGCTTTTACATGTGTACAAGAATGCTTACATGGACTAGACTATGCAATGCATCTGTGTATGTATATTATATATATATATTACTATTATATATAATGTATTCTGTATTAATTAGTTATATATATATATTATATTAATGTTATATATATATATCAATAATACTATTGCAAAAATATGTGTATATATATATATAATAATATCTTTTATATATATAATATATACGTATGTCTGTTTCTGTGTGTGTCTGTGTCTGTGTCTGTGTCTGTCCTGCCTGTCTGTATCAATGCATACATGCAAGGTTGGAGGGGTGGAGGCGTGGATGGATGGAAGGATTGACAGATGAATAAATGCAGGCATCAATGCATACATGGCATGGGTTGGTGTCTGTGTCTGTGATATTATAGGTGTGTACATATCCATGTACGTAAAGTACGTACAGCTTGCACGTATGCCAGCAGTGTATGTGAGCAGTAACCAGAACCTTCTTTCATCCTTTCTACAAGCACTGGCTGATCAGCAACTGATAACAGCTCACGCATTGGATTTTCGTAGTCTCCATGAAATAAAACCACTTGATATATCTTAGTGACTTAGTGTGATCTCTGTGAGCATCAACCGACATGAGCTTGGGGCCTTGCTCATGTGAACTTATGCGTACATGTGTGTGGACATGAGCATATATATATATGAATGTCGTGCAACCTCATAAAATTCAATCTCAATCTGGGTTGCTGCAGTAGCGCACTAGGTTCAGGATGCTCCAATATACTCAAACAAGTTCAGATTTGAGATAGATGTACCAAAATGTTTTGCACCTTTGGGGTGTTCAAGCTATCAAATCTACCAAGGAAGGCCTGACGTTTCAAGTCCCGGCCAAAGGTCCCACAGTCGGAAGGTCGAAGCACTGCAGACAGGGTTCCAGATTTGTCATGGGCTGTACAGTCGACAGTCTTGTCGTCACTGGAACAGTTGTGAACAGTGAACCGACCCTAGAGCATTTGATGGGGTCTGGCATTGTTACTGTGCATCCCCTGGAATATCATATTCAAACCTGCGTTCAAGACATTTCAAGACTTTCGAAGGCTTTCAGAGACTTTTCAGAGACTATGAAATGCTGTGATTTGCCAACCGAACTCCCCACTCTGAAGCAGCTGAGCAGCCAGAGCTCAAATGTCCCCCGAACGTGCCAGCTCGTCGCAAGACGCGACTTACCAGTTTTGCTCGGCTTGGACCATCGAGCCATTTGCTGAGCAGTCCTGGAGAGATGCCAAATTTTCGAATTCAATTTTCTCCGATTTCAATTGATGCCATTTAAGCTGTTCGTAAGAGAAGGAATAGCTCGCTCTTGAAGTAACTAGAGTCCTTGTTGGTATGCATATCAATATATTACCAATCAATACAAGTCCACGCAATTGCACATGTATCAACAGGGCTGCAGTGTTCTGTAATGTATGTTGGCTGTGTATGTGCCAAAAAAAATGTGGGAGGGTTCTACGCAAGCCATCTCCGGCACTGTATCGTAGAGGACTCCTGATGATTATACTAGGTTCTCGTGACTTTGGGGGCCTCAGGTGCTCATTCCTAAAAGAAAAAACGCCTTAGATTAAGTGGTTGTTCCTAGCCCTTCACCATCCACAGATTGCCCCAGTTTGTGCGGCTCATGCACATACTGTCAAGAAACCACAAAAACCAAGAAGCCAAGAAGCCGAGAAGAACAAAAGCCACGAAGCAAAAAGCCAGAAGGGCCAAGAATCCAAAAGCCACAAAAGCCAAGAAACCCGCCAGGAAAGCAAAAGAAGTCGAAAAACAAAACTCCGTAAGTAAATGTGTTAAATATGTGTTAATTTTTGATGTGTTTGGATGTCTAGACATGAGACATTTGTTTCTATATCCTCAAACAGGGTAGGACAAACAAATGATGTGGAAAATGAGCGAGGAAACAATAATAAACAGTTAGGACTACGAGGCAAACGAGGCAAACGAGGCAACCTGCGCAGATTCGAAGTTGTTCGGAGTCCTTCGGTTCCAAAGATTCTCCACCGAAGGTCTGAGTTAAATTGTTCGATGTCTGTGATGCTTTCGAGGATCATCTCTCTGTCCTGGCGCCACTTTCAAAGATGATCAAAGTTCAATTGGGTTGAAAAAATGTTTATACAATATATATTAATATTATATAATATTAAATATTACATAATGTGTGAAAAAATCTGTGAAACCCCCTATCAAGGAGACATATATATATAATATACTTCGCAATGAAAGGAACTGGAAAACTGGGAACTGTTTCTTGTACTCGTTTGCTATCTGCTTAAAGTGTTGGACTATCCGCACTCTTAAGGACATAGGGCTGACATAGGGACTCTTCAAGAGACTAAAGCATTTCACTGAAAAAGAAATGCACTTTATTCTGCAAGCACTTTGGGGTGCACATGAGGTGAGTCAACACGAGAGAAACAAAGCAATCACAACAATCCGAATTGATCGAACTGTTGATAGTTCCAAACATTTATAAACTCTGCTGAACCAATGATACGTTCAGTAAATCAATGTAAATCACGTTAACTGCATGTGCACCAAATGACCGGCCCTGGTGCCTCGGGGCGTGAGGCTTTGCAACAACGCACGTCAATAGAACTGAGGCGCTGATAATTGCTGTCCAGAGTGGCCTCACTGTACAACCTTGGAGATCTTGGAGATCTTGGAGAGTTGGACGGCATCAAAACAAAAAGATACAATAAGCATGAAAAAAATTGAAAAAAGCTAGCCGCTCGCTGCCCATATGCCCAATGGATCTGTCTTTGGCATTCTTTGGCTGTATGCTCGCTGATCACATCTGTTTATGTCTATGTTCCTGTCTGTTGTCTTCCCTTGGTGTCCGCCTTTTCAATGCCTTCACCCGTCGGTCCACGCTTCCCTCAGCTTTCCCCTCCTCTTCAAGCTAAGTTTACTATCCTTCAATTTCTGCTAAGTTTCGCCTTAGGATTATTGATTTCCGAAAACAGAATTTAGGTAGTTGTGACAGCCTTAGAGCTTCCCCGCAACTTCTACCAATGGCTGAAGACTACTCCATGCTCAAGTTTGTTTCCTTGCCTTTCCGAGTGGCCAATGGAATTTGAAGGAGGCTGGTAAACACAAATGTAGATTACACAGGTACATATAATTACACAAACTAAATGCGCAAAAACTCCTAGAAAACAGGTCTGTCTCAACAACCAGGTAGTCGTTCGGAATGTCCGTGCTCAACCTGCTTCGTGCTGAAGATTTGACAATGGGATGAAATTTACACATGTTGATCAGCGTGAATCTGTTAAACGAAAGAAAATAAAGTCCGGTCACAATTTTGTTGGTTTGTTGGTCTTTCGAAAACGGTGGCCATATGTTAAACTGTTATGATTGGACATGAATCCAAAGTTTTGCCTCAGGGAAGGAAGCAGCCAAAAACTAACTTCCTTGTACAGCATTAGCGTCATTAGCGACCAAGACAAAAACACGAATCTATACGAATCTCCTTCAAGGAGCTTGATTTGCTGACGAATCCGAGATCTGCCAGATTCGACAATTTCTGCAATACACCACCTAAGTCTGCAGACTTTCCCGCAAGAATTCTTCTGACAGTTGCATCAGGTGCATCAACTTTCCTCGCCGCCAAGTTGCGCTCTCGTGAAGACATCAAACGCAGTGTCAGCGACCACCAAATGTGAGAATCCATCTTGCTTCCTGTTTAAATGCCGCATCATCGCATCCTGAATCAGACTCAAGTAGTGACTTTCAATCATTGCAAATGTGGTCGAAAGGGACACGACACTTCGCACAACATGACACAACATGACACAACATGACAAAGCAGGTCGGATGACGTTTGAAGAAACGTCCACAACTTGGTTGACTCAAATCATCAATTCAACTGAGAATCAAATTTATTCATTTCACAGAGGGCCGGCTCATTATTGTAGATCTTCCGTTGCTTGCATGGACACAATGGAAAGACCACACCAGTCTTGCTGTCTCTCCGCTTTAAATCCCATTCCTCCAGGGCAAAAGAACATCTCAAAAACATGCGTCTTCCAAGCTCCAAGGACTCCAAGGCTGCAAATTCATGCAAATTCTAAAACACTTTTGGCTGTAGTGCCACACTGTCTACGAGGAAAGAACTTAAGCATCAACAAGTTGAGAGCAGGTTGGCCTCAAACTCTGGAGTTCCTTCAGGTGGAGCTCTTCCAAAATTATCACAAATGCACGCATGCTGATTCACAGAGAATGCACACACCTCAGGGAAAGGTGGCAATGAAGTTGCAATTGATTCAAACTTGGTGTGGGCTGGTCAGCTTTTGGTCCATCAGCACCGGACCAACACCCTTCATGCCAAGGCCCAAACCCAGTAGCTCTTGCTGGAAATGTTTCTCGCCTCAAGAGACACGGAAAAACTCAATGAAGTCTCAGTTCAACATGTTCAACTGCTCGCGTCTGAACCTGTACAGCAACTCCGCTAATCTTGCCACTTCGACGTAGTAAACATACATTATCATGCATTGATATTACTCGCAAAGTTGAGCTCTGTGACCTGCCAGCTACTTCAAACAAAATCCAAGTTCAATGTAACATGCTCTTTCGAAAAAAATCAAACCAGGCCGTTCTATATGAATATGTTTCCCTTTTTGGTCTGCACTCCTGGTAAAACGAAGTTTGGAAGGGAACCTGCCGTTGCAGATTGAACTGCCTTGCTGTGCAACCAACTCGCTACCGCATCAAGACACCACACAACTCACTTGTGCAACTTACTTTGCTATTGTTTTTTTGGGTCATCCCGTTCCAGTGACCTCGTCATGCCTCCACTCCACGAATAAAAAAAACACCAAATGTGTTCTTTGAGGAAGGGTTTGCGCGAACCAGTGCATGTTTTCCCGGTCAAAAGATGTGCTGGCAAAACAACCAATCAACAAGCTGAGCAATGTACCCGTCAGGCACGCAACGAACCAATCAATCCACCTCTCCTCTCCTATAAGTTTCTACCGTCTTTGAAACTTCTGCCATCCAGCCTTTCAAAGCTCTAATTGTACCCACAGGCAATATGCACAGCGGATGAGAACCCCTCCTGTATTGAATTTTCCAGTTCTTGGCATCCATCAGGGTGCAGGAGCATTTCAGCAACGCCTGCGTGGCAGGTTCCCACTGAGTCTTGGAAGATTGCACTGGAGCTGACACCAAACCGGCTGAAACCCATAGCGGCCATAGCAGGTTGACACAAGCTGAAGTTGGTTGACACATAGTTTTGCCACACCTGCGTAGTACTCCTTCTCGAGAGCATCGGCAAATATTCCGGCGACCAGATGGTGGAAAAGGTTGGACCAGTTGTGCGTCACCATGCCTTAAATATCAGTGGAGTCATGATAGAAGTGAAACGGTGTGAAACGTGGCCAAACGAAGAAAGTTGATGCATCTTGATCCTATTGAAACTGTGGAGGGTAAAAAACCTTTGGACACTGGAACCAAGAAGTGTAACAAGTTTTTCTTTTATACTAGAGGTGCAGATTAGCATGGCCTTTTTTGCACAAGGATGACACGCCACAAATCAACCGTGGTTCAAGGCTCAAGTGGCTCGAAAAAAAACCAAGCTGCTGTCGGCAGTACTTAACCCAGCTCAGGTCATGAGCCCAAGGGTTTGAGCGCATGTCGGTGTCGACTTCGAGACGGCGGTCCAATTCGAGGACTATGGATGGTGGACCTACCGATGTGGCGCAACATGAAGATCGAGCCCAAGGTCCTGATCGTCCTGGTCGCGGAGGGGGAACCGGAGGTGGTGGAGAAAATGGTGGACATGGTGGTCTCGAGATTGGGGTCGCTGATCGTCGGTTGGATGCCTTGATGGAGGAGGACCGGAGGGCGATGTCTGTTCCGGTTCAACCTGGAGTGCAACGCTTGGCTTTGGTGATGGTCGAGCACAACGGATCTTCGATGGCTGGCCGAGGAGATGGTGCACAACCTCGACAAGACGCTTTGAGTGGGGTGCCGATTTGTTGAGAGATCCGAGGGCAGGAAACCTTGGACTAGGACAGCTGCAGGATGCTGTGCGGCAGTCTTTTGAAGTCCTTCGTCACGCTCTTGGTCAACAACAGGCTCTATAATAGGACCTCCTCAAGCTCTTGGCCCGCCTCCTCCAGTACATGGACCACTAGCTCCACTTGCACGAGGGCTTGATCATGGAAATCAAGGTGGCAGTGTTCCTGGTGATAGAGGGGAACGATTGCTTTTGCAGACCCCGCTTGATGCTCGAGGTGGACGTCGTGCTGGAGATCGGCATTCGGAAGTTCAAAGAGGCGACACAAGCGCGCGTCGCGAACATAGCGGCTGAGGTGGAGGTCAGGGAATGGTTCGATATGGACGGCATGAAGGTGTTGCTCCTAGAGTTCTAGACCCTTTCAGCTCTCCTGGTCAAAATCCATTCTGGAATGAAGGTGTCCGTAACGCTGCAGTTGGTCGAGGTGACACTGGTAGCAAAGGTGGTGGTGCCTATGCGGAACCTACAGATGTGGACATCGTGAAGATCAAGGCCAAATCCATGCAAGATGCTGAAGAGGCTTTTTCGAAGGAGTTCAGAAGGCTTGGGGTGATGGTGGAAGGTGGGCCAGAATCTTACCATACAGCCTCTAGCCGAAAAGAAACGTCACGTGGGGCAGGACAACGTGGCGCAGTTCCTGATGGTTCAGGTGGAGTGCCTGGTGGTATGGATGGTGGTCGCCGAGGTCCAGATCCCCTGCAGGTCTGAATCATGCCAAGATCAGTTTTGATGGAGCAGGTGGCCAAACAGTTTCTGAGCCACTGCGTCATCTGGAGTTACCAAGTTTGCCACAGGTGGGATCAGAAGGTGCAGCGTTGCAATTTGGGGTTGGTTGACTATGGGCCAATCCGCTTATGTCAGACTTGGGAGCGTCCGCGAGGAATTGGTGGGAACGGTCGCTGATGGTGGCGGGAGAACGCCTTCGTCTCAAGCCAGCCGTGGAGATTGACCCTGGGCACATGCGCCTGGAGCAGAGGGATATCAATGTTGCTGGGTATTCTTCCTGAACCTCTTCGACGTGACATCGATGGGGCCCGCAGTGTGTCTACGGTTTCAATCCTCTACCGCCTCTTTGTGGTGTTCCAGCCTGGTGGAGGAGCAGAACGAACATCGCTGCTGAAGTCCTTGATGGAAGTTCGGGTTGGCACTACAATCCATGATGTGCTGGGGACCATACGCCTTTCTACCGGATCTGCTGATCCTCATGCAGGTGTTGGGGAAGATGTCTGATGCAGTTGGAAAGTTGGGGGGAGCACAGGTCTCCTACAGGCTGGCGTCAGTTCGCCAGGAGCTCCAAGTGGACAAAGAATATGCTGAGTTTTTGCAGGCGGAGGCAGAAGACCTGAGCCTGATGACAAGTGGTCACAACAACTACGCCAGCGACGAGCTCTACAGGGGCTACGGTGACGGCTACGGTGACGGCTGCGGTGAAAGCAGTTGCTCTGGGTAGTGGTGGGGCTGATGATAAGCCAAGAGGTGTATGCCGCTTTTGGGGAACATCTGGAGGATGCAGCAGAGGTGAGGCTTGCACGTATCTTCACAGCTGGGATGGCATCAATAAGGAGAATCGGTGCTATGGATGCAGTGGAGAGGGGCACATGAAAAAAGATTGCCCGCACAAAAAAGACAGCGGATCGAAGCAGAAGGTGGCGAAGATAAAGTACAAGAGTAGGGATTTGCCGGAGAAGGGAAGTGACGCTGTGGGGTCTGTAGTGAAGCCTGAAGATGCAGCACCAACCCCGACACCGGGGAAGCCTTCAATTGTGGAGGACTCCATTCCCAATGGATCTGGGGGGCAGCCTGGACATGCAATTGGCGGCTCCACATCGGCAGAATCTGCTACTACGTTGCTGAATGAGGCCACAGTTTTGCTGAAGTCACTCAAGTCGCTGAAGGCGATGAAGCTCAAACAGATCAATGTTGATGCTACCACAAGCTGGCGCCCAATGGCTCTCTTGGATGGTGGTGCAACTCATGGGTTGAGAATGGCCTACGCATCGGAGATCAACCAGTTGGAGCAGGTGGAGGTGGAATTGGCATCTGGTACGGCGTTTTTGTACCGACATCCAGCTCACAAGACGCTGTTCAGCAAGACGCCAATCGACCCAATTGTGCCTCTGCATCGTCTGGTTCAAATGGGCTATAGGACTGGTCTGCCAGTGGCTGCAAGATCAACCACCCAGTGATGGAGGTGATTCAGTGCTATCTTCGTAACGGCTGTCCGGTGATGGACAGGGATGGCGCTTTGGAAATTTTGAAGGGGATGGAACGCCTGGACAGTGGCGGTGTGGATCTACAAGCTGAAGAGCTACGTTGGTGGAAGGAAACACTTCCCTTCAGTGCCAGACCGGGTCCTGAGGAGGTTTCTTGGCCAAGGAGAAGAATGGGATCCTGACTTGCTGCCGTGGAACAGACGCCAACGAAGAGCTCATGCCCGACGTGGGGTGGCAATCCACCTGTTCAGCGGGTCTAACACAAAGAAGTGGATCCGTCCAGAAGTTGGTGACTATATGAATGGATCTTCATCGACACGTGCTTGGGGAGTCAATTTGATCTCCATCGCCCAGTGGTCTAGTCGTACCTTTGAGGACGAGGATTGGGGATGCGGCTCTATTCCTTAAACAGGTGGCGCTATGGAGAAGAGCGGAAGAGGTTCGAAGGCAGAGAGCTGGTGGTGTAGGTGCCTTGCGTGTCCCTACAGGCTTCCTCCTTGAGTCTCCCCAAGATCCAGCGACCTATTTGGATGAGCCAGAAGCTTCACTATGCCCTTCTTTCTTCACCTTCCCGGAACTGATGTCCTCTACCCCGTAACGGTCGCATTGAAAGCGAAGTTCAGCGTGAAGAGACGTCTCAGAATGTTGGTAAGAGAAAGTGGCCTTGGCTTGGTGAGAGGTTTTGGCCTGGCATCGCTCGCTACGTGGGCCAAGAGCGATTGCAAAGCCAGCTGCTGCGGTCATGGAACTGGTCGAAGCCGACCCTACAAAACCCTCGAAGAGGATGTAGTCGAAGCAGCCGCCTGCCCCTGATATACCCAAGGTGCCAAGTTTGCTGGGCCAGAAGTCCTACGAGAGCGAGTCGGCATTCAAGATGTGCGAGCTGCTCAAGGCATTGTGGGCGAGCTGTTGTGGCTGTCTTGCCGCACGCGTCCTGATTTGAGTTTTGGAGTTTCTTGGGGTCGAATGGTAGCCCGTGCGCCCCGCCGAGTTTGCCGCTATGGGGAGCACATGCTGGGGTACCTCAAATCCACGTTGACATGGCACTTCACTACGGTCTTTGTGAAGGTGGACACGGCGAAGATTCTGAGCTGGCTTTTTCCAGGTTGATGTTGCGGCTGGAAGTGCGCTCTGATGCCTCATTTGGTCCAGCTGGCGGTCGTGGCCATCAAGGCCTCATAGCTATGTATGGAGGATGTCCCATCCAGTGATAATCAAAGCATGAAGCTTTTGGGACTTTGTCAATGTCACCAATGTCAGAGTCTTGAGCTTTTGGGTTACACCATGTCCATGGGTGAGTCGGTGTCTTCCATCCTGGACATCTTGTGGAAAGGCCGACACGTCCCTGGTGCTCAATTGGCTTCGGATCTTTTGACGAAGGCTGTGACGTCAATGCTTTCATGGAAGAAGTTCTACAACTTCATGGGCATGTGCGGCCTGAATGATCTTGGTGCCGCCGAACCTAGTAGTTGTACAGAAAGTAGGATTTCAATCAAGGTCGTTGGAGCAGTTCTCACAGCGATCGCGGCTTTGGGGGTTTTGACAACTGCGCCCAAAGTGGCCAAATTGACCAAGGTAGCTTGTGCAGTTAGCGTAGCCGCATTAGCAGCTTGGTTAGTGAAAAAGCTTGGCCCTGGGGGCATCAAGAAAGTTGTGAAAAGAAGACCCCATAAGAGCCAGGCAAAGGTCCATTGGGTCAACCACGGTGGACCTGCGGGAAGGGGCTCCCAAAAGGCAGGCCATCGAAACAAGAAGCCAGAGGGAAAACGAATCCTGGCCAAAACACCATGGCACAAGGGAACATGAACCTGTGTCAGATCCTGGGTTGAAAGTACATGAACCGACTCCAGTCAACTGTACCCCAGCGGGCTTCCGTCCACGTCTCTGCGCGATCAGGGCCGAACCGGCCTTTGGACCAATGCCATGGACTTCGGTGGAATTTGATCAACCACCGCATGCCGCAAATATGGACCTCTGGATTGAGATGGATTGTGAGTGTCCGCAGAAGTCTTCGGACTCGGAAGTTCCATCCAGTTCATCGGTCCTGTCCTGTGCGGATAGGTGACTTGGAGCCTAGGAGAATCAGTGTGATGTGGTGGACTGGCGACCGTGGTTGGACTAAAGCCATCCAGGAGGATGAGTGAGGAGTGGGAAATGTTGACCCAGATCTCCCAGTACGGGGGCAATGGAGGGGCTGGACTTTTTTCCGGTTGAGGGAGTCACCACAAGTGGGAGCATCTTCATCAGGAATCCCGAGACTTCAACCGGACGTCATCCAGCGGAACCCCCCAGAAGTTGAACAACCATGGACGCCTCCGAAACAAGTGGGGGTATCTTCAAGCAGCCTTCGTAGGGGACAAGTGACTGCGTCAGAGAGAGGACGTTTGGCCATGGAGTCGATCCAAGCCAACAGGCCTACTGGTCCGTTGACATCAAGGGTGTTTGGAGCTTGCTGGAATTCCGAAAGCTGGCTACTTTGGTGCAACGGGATTGGTGCCGAAGGCAGCGTGGGTGGCGGGGCGGCCTACATCGTCCTTTACCAGTTCAAGCTCCTCGATGGCGGGTATGCCGTGGATTCAACACCTTCCACGTTGGAAAGCCCCTACAGGAACTCAGCCTTTCCCAAGGGGAGCACAGTTTTGATGAGGCCGACACCACGGCCAAACAGATGGGCGGATGGACCCACGATTTCCATCAGAGAGGGTGAAACATCTCGGACTGCAATGTTGAGGGCATTGCAGGCTTCTCGCCCACCAATCTTGAGACCATCAACCAGGCCTGTGGATGAGACACCGTTGGCCAGACGCACCAGGTTTCAAACTTCGATGCGTTCCGACGCCTCAGACCAAGATCTATGGGATTTTCTACATGGGGTTTACCCTAATACTCCAGTTCCTGAGATCCCTGGTGACGATGGTGAGGATTACTATGAGGAAGCGGTGGGGTCCGAATCGGAGATCAGCGATGGTAGTTTCTCCCAGGTGACAGCCCTGAAGACAAATCGGCCGATGCGCGGCGACATGTGAAGCTGGTAGAGCTTTTTTGGGCCTTAAAACAGGCCATGGAATTTTCTCGGATTGCCGTGCTGCGGCAAGGGGAAGTGTGGGAGGGAAAAAAACTTTTGACACTGGAACCGAGAAGTGTAACAAGTTTTTCTTTTATACTAGAGGTGCAGATTAGCATGGCCCTTTCTGCACAAGGATGACACGCCACAAATCAACCGTGGCTCAAGGCTCAAGTGGCTAGAAAAAGCCCAAGCTGCTGTCGGCAGCACGCAACCCAGCTCAGAAGCATTGTCAGCATTCCTGAAGAATATCCTTTTGTCAAAAAGGGAACGCATCAGACTAAAATAGATTATCCTAATGCAACAAGGCTGCACTGGGCACGCACTGGTTCCCCTTGTGACCACAAGGGTGCCAAAGCATGACCTTCCAAAGGGATGTGAAATCAGTCTGTGGATCATGTGGATACGGACCAACGCCGGCGCAGAGAGAACCTTGCTTCCAGAGACAAACCAATACTGTAATAAGTATCAAAACCAATAAATGACAATCAAGTCTGCTGGATTCAAGTCAAGAGATGTCAAGAGATGTCAAGAGATGTCAAGAGATGTCAAGAGATGTCAAGAGATGTCTCGGTTAGCCTTCTCCAGTTGAACGATCGTGCGACAATGGTATAATGGCCTTAGAGTCCAACAAAGCTGCTTTGTCATCTTTGTCCGGCCAGTTCAAATGTCATTTCTGATCCAATTAGATGGTGCAGGCCCAGTCAGCTACAGAGCTTGCGAATTGTGACTGATACTACGATGTTACATGGTAATACTATGTGTCCTAGCGGTATCACCCCGTACGGTTCCAAGTTCGACAACGTTTAACAGCGAGCTGCCAATCGCACCACGTCGTTGGTTGTTGAGACTTGTGGATCGAAGCTCGGCATCACCTGCGGAAGTTGCGATCCACATGCTCCACAAACAGTGCAAAGAGATTGACAAAGCAGAAAGCTGATGAAAGCTGACAACATGCCAACATGTGCGAGCACTGAAGACATCTAAAAACAAGTTGCACACTACCTGCTCCAACTTGCGCCAGAAATTGAGGAGAGAGGTCAGCGTCACCCCTCTGTTTGCCAATTCGTGAACCTTGCACGCCACAAGTTCTTGTTGAAGTCTCCGAAAGTAGCAAACATCTCATTCACTATTCTCAACGGTGGATTTCCTATGTACGATGATGTACGATGATGTACGATGATGTACGATGATGTACGATGATGTACGATGATGATCGATGATGTACGATGTACAATCTCATTGCAATCGTTGCTGGTTCAATGACTTTGTTTTGCTCTGCAGCTTACAATGCTGGGCACCTTGTCAGTCCACAAATCTGGATCACTCAATCTGATGGACATCGTTGGTGCCTGCATCTCAAGATGTTGGACGAAGACTAATCCGCCAGAGTACAAACCGCAAAAATATGTGGCATTCAAAAACAATGTTTCGCAATGTTTCACAGTGCAAAGATATGTAAAGGCAAATGTGGCAGAAACTACAACCTGAACTGCTTTCGCAGGTGTTGTTTCGCAGAGACAACTTAGCAATTCATTACCATGCCAGTCATGCCAGTTGCCAAAAAGATCATTATGAGTTCGCGATCCTGACACCAAGCTGTCAAGGCTCCCTGTCTAACTTCTCAATGGTCTTGTCTGATCCGGAAGTGTGACGAGGCCACAGGAGACCTCTCAGAAAGCGGTAGCTAAACAGTCTGAAGCCTCTGTCCAAAAGGTTAGCGTGTGAAGTCACGGCTAGATTTCTACATAGAAACAATTCCTCTCAAGCAAACGTTGTGCAAAGGTTGTGCTCACATTGTATTTGTGTGGAACATGATGAAGCAAGGTGTGCACCATGTGTGCACCATGTTGAACATTTGATGTATCATGGTGGAATGTTCCCACCTGACAGAGCAGCCACGCTGGCGGCCTTGATGAGATGGTTGAAGCGATGTGCAACGACGACCTCGGATTGGTTAGACCGCGCAGGAAAACTGGTGGAAACTCATCACCTGTTGCTCTTGCGTAGGCAGGTAGATAGGCAGATGGGCGAACGAATGAATGAATGCATGCATGCATGCATGCATGCATGCATGGATGGATGGATGGATGTAGATATACATAGACATACATAGATATACATAGATATACATACATATACATAGATATACATATATATATATATACATAGCTATACATAGATATACATAGATACACATAGATATACATAGACATACATAGATATACATAGATACACAATGATACACATAGGTTATCCATAGATATCCATAGATACACATAGATATACAGACGTTGGTATACATACATAGATATGCAGTATAGATTGAGAATGATAAGAACACAGGGGGAGAGAGAGAGAGAGAGCTAGATGCAAAATGACACAAATAAAATCAAGTAAGCATAGACCGGAAAAAATGATGCAAAGTATGACTTCGTTGCTTCTCCGAAGTTACTGGGATCAGCAGCACCTGGTCAGCAACGTGTTGGTCTTCCGCCCAGCTGAGAACTTTGTACGGCAACCACCAAAGAGTTGTGCAGCTGAAGGTGATGAGTGCACCTGAGACAACATCTTGCAAGGCTATCGGGAAACTAAAACTTCAATCAAACGTAGTCAAACTAGAACTGAAACTTTCACATCCAAACTATGCAAGACGACGGTTGTCATCAGAAATAGTGAGAAAATCAACCCGAACAACCCATCAGGCCCATCAGAGTCTACACCAAGGCACATGCCAAGATTTCCAGTCTCACCACGTCCAAGGCCCAACGGGCTTCTGCTTCTGGAGCCCCTTGCACCACGTGAAGCTCTTTGTGCAGCAGCCAGAAACTTCGAGCCAAACCTGGAAGATATCGCGCCCAAGACTTTGAATCCATTTGACACGGTTTGAGCAATATCTTTTGGGCGGGGCTACAATACATGGAGGTCTACGCCAAGGATGCCTACGTCGGTGACTTTGAATCTGAGCGCCTCGCCGGAAAGGAAACCCACTAGCGAGCAGACGGTGCAGCAACGTTTCTCGCATTGGTATCTCAAAGCTGCATACGCAAATGGCCTAGTAAAGTGTTGATACTACGCAGCCTGCCTACTTAGACCTACGCAAAGCAGCACTTTTGACTTATGCGGTGTTTTAGTGAGTTCCCCTTGCCGTACCGGCATATACTACTGGTAATAAACAACCGCTGCTTATTTGAACATACCTTGAACGTGCCTTGAACGTACCGTGAACGTACCTTGAACGTACCGTGAATGTACCTTGAACGTACCGTGAACGTACCTTGAACGTACCGTGAACGTACCGTGAACGTACCGTGAACGTACTTAAACAACTGAACTTCAACACTTTGCATTGTCATCTTGTTTTGACTTCAATGTCTTTGCATCCAGTGATCATCTGAATGACTTTGAATCATGGCTGGGAAATTCAACATTCTCCGAGGGGCATAAAGCTATTCGGACACAGAGAAACATCCATAGCATCCTGAGCTCGCTCAGATTTGCCCAGTGTCACCTGTTAGGCACCAAGAAACTCGTGCTACGATATTCTAGGCACTTGTCAAACTCTGGCAAGAAATCGTCAAGAAAACGTCGAGACCATAACGCTTGATGCATTTGCAAGGCACAAGAAGATTGATGCAAAAACCATCTGGATCGCTAGCGATACGTTCTTGACACCAAGGAAAGTCTCAGTCATAATCCTGCACAAGAGATGTGTGTTCATTTCGATGATGGATCTATTGCTGCACGGTTTTGACGGTTAGTGCTGCAAATCAATTCAATGGGAAGCACTTGGAGATCCTCAAATGGAAGCAGATTGCCGCTGTACGAATGATTGGTCCTCAGGCTGCATGACTTTCTGGACGAAAGAAGAGAAAACCATGGAAAAACTTTTTAAAAGACTGTGCAAAACACTGATGATCAAGGCACCAGAGTTTGACAGGGTGTATGATGGCCTATCCGCCAAAGCCGTGATCCGATCTGTCATCAGCCAGGCTATCCACACGAAGTCAATTCCTCAGATTCAACAGATCCTCGAATCCAAAAGGACCAAGAGAATCCAAAGACATCAATGGCTTCAATGGCTCAATGCAATGCCTCGTGCAAACATGTACAAACAATATGCCTATGCCGCACTTAGTCCTGCACCCTCCAAATGCCATGCTGCATGTTGCAGGAGTGGGTGATACCTTGGAGCCATGTCAGCAGGCACCACCATGTGGAGACAGAACAACATAGAAAAACTGAAAAACGTTTAAGAAAAAAAACATACAGTATCAACTCATGCTCACTGCTGTAAGGCACTCCTTCGGGAAGAAAACCAGAGCTGCTAGCAGCGTCACCAGTAGCCAGCTTCCGAAGACGGCCCAAACGGCATGCCGGACGTAGTTGGAAGGAGGGTGCTGAATCTTGAAGCAAAGAGCAGCAATTACCTAGGAGGTCTTGGAGTCACAGGTTTTCACATATAGGTTTGTAAATATGGATACTGCTTGATTCTCTGCATGTCTGACCCTATTGATATTACTGTGATTGACTGATGACTGAATTGGGTCCGTGTGGTAAAGTCTGACTTGTGATTGAAAGCAACGCAGTAGAATTTTCAGTGTTTCGGATCAGGACAGCATGAGAAAGGACCGGTGACCAGTGATACTCACGCCTATCTGAATGCCATCAATCAGCTGCATTCTATCCACGTTTTCTTAAATGATCACACCGCATTTGCAAAGGCTAAGGGCGATCCACTCTCATCTTCCCATCGGCACCAAGTCACAGTAACGCCCGCACATGAGATGGCATCCACCCAGCGCAAGATGGACCGACTCGGCACCTCTGCAGTTTCTACTAGTTTCTATGTGTCAAATCTTTATTGTGCTATGCGTCTATGCATTTTCTATTCAAATTCTGTTTCCAGTGGAAATATCTGACAGAAATGGTTTGAAGCTTGATCCACTCTGCGGCCTCGAGGAAGCTATACCAGGGAAAGACAGGGAAAAAGGGGAAGATGGCCACGCAACAGCCGACTACGAACACCGTCGCAACTCCAAGGTAACCTTAGCAGCTACAGCACAGGGAAAATGGTTTCTGATAATTCTTGGTTCCTACATGCATCGGTGCGGCTGAGATCTCACCTACACAAGACTCTGACACTTCAGCTTGTCCCGAAGCACCAGTTCCGTATCCAGCCGCTCGCTATGCTATCCCGCTGGGCATTGAGGCGTGAACAATTATACAAAGTTCATGTTTAGTCCTACACCCTGCAAGACAATGGGTTCCACAGAAACACGTGCTTAGGGTAAGCACAATGAGAGCGGCTTTTGATTATCGCATGGAGAAGAACAGTAAGCACAGCCTTTGGTTTCTTTGCTGTCGAGCTTTTGCCGGTTCCTTTTTTAAATCCATTAATATAAATGCAAAGACTCTGCCACTCAAAAGTTCAAACACAATTCTCGGTTAAGCCTATATTATCAGCCTAAAAGCATCGCTACACAACATGGGTAATACTGGAAACGAGTTTTCCAGGGAATGCAGTGGCAGATATTTGTGCGTCAGTACATTTCTGTTATTTGAATCATTTATTGGCTGCATACGGCTGCATTCCAGATTGCTATTGTACGGTAATTGTACGTTTCAGGCCTGGGACCTCCCGACATGACATGCTTGTGGCTTTGAAGATTTCAATTTGAATAACTCATACCTTTGTGATAAATAAATCAATGAAGGCAAAGCCTCAAAGCGGTAAATGGCCACTCTGGGGAATGTGAAACTTTGAGGATCTTAACCAGTCTGAACCCATAAGCATAGTCATAGAAGCTCATAGACGAAGCAGTACGATATGAAGAGTGCCAAGACACGCCAGTGACGCCCGGGTGCATCTGCAGTTCGGCTGTTGCGACCATGCAATGCGCCTGTTGGTCAAGGCAATGCAACCGTCACTTTGCCCCACATTTCAAACAACTGCTTGGAAAATCTTGGAACATCTTGGAACATCTACCAGGAATCCACCACACGTGTCATGAGGACAAGGTCCTGACAGCATGTGGAAGGAAGGAAGGAAGGAAGTAAGGAAGGAAGGAAGGATCGGAACGAAGATAAAATTATCCTAGATGGAACAATGTTCAGTTTCTTTTCCATCATGTCCATTGCAAAGGAAGTTTCCGGCATCAAGAATAAGTGCTCCAGACAAAAACATACGCTCGAAGTGTTTTACTAGAGCTCTAAACTCAAGAAATGCAGTCTATTGCAATCTATTGCAGTCTTGTGGCATAAGGAGACATGGGCAAATTTTGTGGCGATGGTGCACAGACTCTCTCTGCATGCTTCAGGCAAGGCTCCTTCAAGTTCCTTCATTCCTTCCTTTGTTTCTTCATTGCTTCCGTCCGTTCTCCGCCGTTTTTTTAACGAATTATTGTATTGGATACAAGAAATCGAATTTGAAAATCATTAACATGCAGCTGACATCAGCTGACTACAGCTGACTACACTTTGCTATCTACACCTGACACCTGCAGCGGCCAAGCAAGAATCCATAGCCAAGGCTGCTTGGGGGGAATGTTTGGCCATTTATATAACTGAAAAAGAACTCGTCAAGGCCTCTCCCAAATTGGCTTGGTAAGGGGTAGCTGCGGGTAGCACTTAGCTCTACTCAAATTGGCCATTGTGACCTCACACGCAGTTCCAAGAGATAAGAGAGAAATACATAGTGTAAGAATCCTATGCCAGTCCGTGCGCCTGCATCCAACTACAGTGACAGGATCTAGCGAGCAGTTGGTGCAGTTGATACTTGTAGTAGTACTTTGACCAAAAAGAACTCTTTTGATATTGGCAGAAAGGAAATTGGAGAAGACTGACCCACCAACCTGGGAAAAAGAGACTCAACCACAAACGTTTCGTCCTGGCCTGGCAAGAGACCCAGCAAAGTGCCATAGAGTGCCAAGCTACCTTGGACTAAGTGCAAACTACTTTACACAAATTTCAAAACGCTGTGCTCACGCCGGCTAACCGCCGGCGTAAACAACAACAAGCATCCTATGGCAGTACTGGACAGCCCTGAACAGCACAAATAATGCCAGCTTGAAAAATGCAGAACGCCGTACTAACCAGCCAGGCCATTAACTGGAAATGCCATTAGAAAAGCTATCAGGACAAGTCAAGCCAAAGAAGACATTGCCCGAACCTCACCTGAGAAAAAAAAAGACAACAAAAAGCAAATGATATTAGTGTTGCAAACTCAAGGCCATGATTTTCATCATTCAAAGGTTTCGAACGGGGCGTCAGGAAAATGCCACGGTGCAGTTCCTGTCCAGCCAGTGCAAGGCCTCAAGAACAGATGGAACTGTTTCCCATATGTTACAAACATCTTACAACTCTAGAAGTGGAAAGTCTTGAACACAAAAGCTGCCGCGTTTGTTGCAACGCTTGCCACACTTTGTCACACTCAGTTTGGGATTGTTTTAGGTCCACTCTCTCCTCTCGCAGCCAGATTTTCCACACTGGGCAACCAAGCCCAAGAGCATGTGACTATGCAGGCCAAGCTGATGTAAAGGATCAGCAATCCAAGGAATATGCTCCGTGACTTTGGCGCCTGGCGATGCCAAACTACAAGACGACAACGCCAAAGTGGTACACGACGAAACGCAAAATGTGTTTTGCATGGGAAAAAGTGTGTCAGAGCCAGCAAGAAATCCAAGCATTGCTCTCAACCAGAAACTTCTTGCCTTGTCCTCCACTGGCATGCAGCACGCATTGCATTCAAGCATCGCCCCAAACTAAAATGCCATGGCGAAAGATGGCGAGAGATTGCAAGCCCCAAGGCAAGCCCCAAGAATTTGAAGTCGTTTTGACAAGGTCTCTGGACGTGATCGTGATGCGCTTCAAACGAAGCAAATGAATCACAAGTACATGACATAGAAGAGCTCGGCCTGAGAGGTGTATGTGACGATCCATGGTAGTCCATGGTGATCCATGTTGGACTACTTGTCTTAAGTTCTGGGATGTCGTGCGAGGGTTCGTTGTTGTGACTCATTGTGCCTCTCATGAAAATTGGCAGGAACATTGAAAAACAACCCAGCCTTGAGAAACGGCGAATGTTTCAAGTGTCGAGTAGTTGTTGGCCAATCTGGTAACCAGAAATGTTGCTCAAAACATCTGGAAGACAGTCAGTACATCCCAACGACTTCAATTTTTTTCGACTCAGCATTTCGAGTCGGCGAAATCGACACTGTTGCGGCTTACAGTAAATTGTGTCGGAATCTTTGCAATTCCCTGCACGAAGTGTCAACTATGACGTCATGAAGGAGCAACATGGCGAAATGATGCCTCACATTAAAGCTTTGTTCGTGATATCCTATTCCATCGACAATTCCCTTGGTCAATGCGTAAGACGCAACGAATCTCTTACTATTGTGGTCTTATGTATGATATATGTTTTAAAAATATTCAGTCATGTGTGTGTGTGTGTGTCAGTGTGGTCACATGCTGAGCATGTGTGTACAAGGTACATAGATTGTGTGCTATATATCATATACAGCAGTACTTCGCGGAAACCATGGGAATCAGGAATGGTTCCCGTTACAAACTATCATTCATGGTGATGTCGTGATAAGCCATTCTCATTCACCCAAATACTGTACATGCACAGGCTGTTGCACCGATATACATATATGACATATATGATCATATATGTACTGGGATTTGTATACACATATGTGTAGACTGTAGACTATAGACTATACACGTAGATGTATACATAGAAGAGACGGGGAGATATTTATATATATATATATGTTAGATGTGTGCTTACCCTCCAGCAAAGAAACAATTATATATAGTAGATATGCAAAATCTCATGTATGGATCATTTCCTACGGAAACTATGAATTCCTACGGAAACTATGACTTTTCCGTATCTTTGTCCATTTAATTTAATGGAGGACAATTGTGAACGGACAGGCACCAATGATATGCGCAAAGCTCCTTCGAGCAGAAGGCCTTCGGGTCGGCGAAAGGCTTGGCCAATGCACCGGTGGCTAGTGACTCACTGAGTGACTCACTGACGAATGGCCTGACTAATAGGGACCGGAATTCAGGAAGCCCGTTTTCTCACCTTCAAAGCCCATTCGCTGCTGCATCTTTGCCTTCTTCTTTGTCCCTGCGCACTGATTCCAAACTTCACCCTGAAACTTCACACACAAGGCTTGAAAGAACATGATTGACTGTACCAATCTATATATTTAACCAAGCACAAGAAAGAGTAGGGAATATAGGAAAAGTGAGAAGTGAGAAGTGCAAAACCAACATTTGAGCAAACCAATGGGATTATGTTGAAAATTGAGCGGGTGTCTTGGCCATTCTTGGCCTCTGTTTTGAAGATTCTCTTTTCTTTGTGCTTGCTGCTCTTCCACCTGCATCAAACGACACAACTACAAGTTGGAACATGTTGCACCTTGAAGACTTCTGGACAGATTCACAACTTTACCCTGCTTCAAAACGTCAGTCTGTTCCGCTGATTTATCAGTCAGAACATGTGAGAGAAAAGCCAGCGGAAGCCTGACGAGCAACGCCACAAACAACGTCGAAGGAGAAGAAAGGAAAAGTATAGGAAAGGCTCTTGTGCTTGAAACACTGCTGTGTGCACTTGTCATGTGTATAATCCGGACCTTCCGTTTGTCATTTTCTTTCTTTGCATCCCATCTTTCCTGACGGACAAAACTTCAAACAAGGGGCCTCCTTCCTTCAAATCAAGGACTAAAATGACTAAAGGATGATATCTACTTCGGATCCTTTACCTAGCGTCTACTCCTGCAGGAGCATTCCAAGACTTGCTTTTCCAAGAATATGGCACAGCAAAGTGACTCGACGCTGCGTTGATCAAAGTGCACGGAGTACAGTAGAGTATTGCATGGGCTACAAATCTCTACAGCACTTTCTTGCAATATGTTCCTACATGTTCCTACTACATGTTCCCACAGCATGTTCCTGCCTGACCCTTCTTCTTCTTCATCTCCATGGACTTCTGCACTTTACGGAGTTTGCTCACATCATCGTGCACCTCAGCAGGTCTACGAGGTGCAAAATTGCAACTTCTCGTCACTCTTCAAATTCTTCAAATTCTTCAAGAGTTTCCAGGGCGAATTGGCAATTGCAATACCGGCCTTCTCACCACGAGCTCTCTGCAAGGCCTTGCTGTAAGCAAGTTCCTGCCCAAGCTCCAGAAGTCAACACCAAATACGTGAAGGAGTAAACATGGGTCGTAGGTGAACCAGAAAAGCATGCACCAAACTCATCAAACTATACATTTGTTTGACTATTTTGACTTTCTGCAGGTGGTTTCATTTCTGATGTACACGTTCAAGTTTCATCAGTTGGTCTCAATCGGTCTTGGTTGACAGGTCGCGTCTCGTCTCTGCACTTCTCCACACCTTGCGAACATCTTCACCTTTGCCCTGAGACTCCGCCTCCTTTAGCTTCAAAGCCTCTGCCTGCTGCAACCAGCTGCAACCAGCTGCAACTGTGTTGCAGCGACACGACTAGAGGCTACTAATGGATACTAATGGCAAGTCTTCCAAGTTTGCACCTGCTTCATCAAATGTCAAGTTTAGGCCTAGGCCTTAAAAAATGGTTGCACTATGCAGACTATGCATAGCTTCCTGTTGTACCATGGCTTTGGACAGGTTGGAGGGTTGACTGTTGGGTATGTTTGGGTGAGGTGAAATCAATGTAGGTTCGCGCAACAAATTCAATGCCGTCAAACGAGTGTCAAATGAGAGCTTTTTGAACCAAAGACCAAAGATATTGGCAGCAAGGATGGAATGACTCAAAGAAATGCTAATTTACAAATGACTCTTGTAGTCTGTTCATGTCTGTTGTACAGATTTGTGCAGGATGGTCGTATATGGCAGTATCACATGGTGCCGCCGTATGCCTCTTGCTTGCGGAGATCTGATTGCAGCTTCCGCACCTGGCAGCTGAAATCGGACTGGAAGGACCCGAAGGACCGGAGGGGAGAAAGCGTTGCCGAAAGAGGAGCACTGCCAAAGAATTTTACAAATTGAAAGGCCTAAGCTGACAACGATGGCTTACTTTTCTTCCAAAACAATTTCCATCAATTTCCTCTATCTGGCTGACAAGTCCTGGGCAGAGAAAGTGTCGCAGCCTTTTGAAATCCTCGATACAACCAGACATTCCCAGACTATGCCGACCGTGTGTCACCAACGTGCCTTCTGGCCACGCAGGCCAACGCCTGCCTCGAAAGGCAGCTGCCCAGCGGTTGCCTACCACGATCCGCGCTGGGCAGCCGGTCGCGGGTCAAAAAAAGTTGACACAATGAACTGACATGGCACGTGTCAACATAACTTTCAAGACAGTTACATCTCCACGTGAGTAATGCTGCCAAGCTGGAAAGAGTAGGTGCAGCCAAAGCAATCAAATCTCACCTCGAAGCTCAATCGTCCAGCCTGGAGAGCTGTTTTTCACGGAAGATATAAGAGGTTTAATCAGTGTAAATCAGTTTAACATGATCTGACACTGCAGTGAAAGCAACAAAGCGGGAAGTCTCCTGCGCCATGTCCCAACATATCCCGATGTCCCCATATCTCTCGCGAATATCACGGATCTCAGACTCTCAGTCTTGTTGCTTCATGCTGAGACTGCTGGCTTCAGGCTCACCATCCTCCTCCAACTTCCGCCGCTTCCCCTGCGGCTCAAAGCATGTGCTTTATTCTGTTGCAGAAATCTCTGGAATCCCATGAAAATTCAAAGGACACAAGGAACACATAGAAAAATAATGAAAAATAGTACACAGATGTACACAGTACACATAGAAAAATAATGAAAATTACAAGATGTATCAAGATGTCAAGGTGACACAAATTGACACAAGATGTGAAACGAGCTCCAGTTGCTCTCCGATGCCTCGAGGCGACTCGCATTCCTTGCGAAAGGGAGTGCTCAGGTGCTACACGGTGTGCCGAGACCAAGACCCAACGAATGCCTGAATTCTTTGAATTTTCTTTGAATTCTTTGGATTCTTTCGTATTTTTTATGTATTTTCATGTATTTTCCCCATGCAAAAACCATTGCAAAAACCGTTGCAAATCTGAATCCGACTTGATCAGTCGATGGCCTGGAAGCTGGTCGCTCAGGTTTCTCAGGTTGCTCGGATCGCTCGGGTCGCTCTGTCCCTTCCTTCTCCCGCGTGGCCCGGATCTCTGCAGCTTTGGCCTCATCTGATTTCATCTTCCAAACTCGTCTTTCATCTGATTTCATCTGATTTCATCTTACGATCCTATCACAATCCTATCACAACTAAGTGACACTTGCTGAGACTCACAAAGACTCAAAGGACAGGAATGTAAAGCAATGTAAAGCAAGAATCAAGCAGGTAAAAGAATGTGCCTTGTCCAAATAAGACTGGCGCGCACGGCGCCTTAGCAATGCAAGTGGCTTACCCCAATGAGTGACATGTCACGGTGACACAACGTGACATGCTGCGACTCCACTCTGGGTGCAAAGGCTCTTCTTTCAGCTCTTCAATACGGCGATGAAGTTTGTTCACCAGCTCGCCGCCTTGGCCACATCGTCTGCATCACACGAAAAGGATGCCAAAAAATATGAAAAAAAAGAGTTCCAAATCAAGGCCAGCCAGGTCCTGTCGTTCTCCAACTTCGAAGCCATGAAATCATTCGAAACTATTTCCGAAACACCCGAAACCAGTCCAAGACGCGTCCAGCAGGTTCTGGTTCTGAAGAAGGGGAGCAACTCCTGGCATCAGAAAATTGACATTGACAGATACATCTTTAAGTTCACTGAGGTCACTCGTGTTCACGTTCACTTGTGTTCACCACATTTCACAACGTTTATTTGTTGGACTTCTCTCACAAGCTAAGCTAATTAAGCTATTTCTCTGCAACATCGTGGGATGCATTCATTGGGGCAAGGCAAGAGCAAGCGCGGGCCTCTTCTTCTTTTTCTTTTTCTTGTCTTCTTCATCATCTGCAATTGGATTGCCCAAACATCCACCAAGTTCGTTCACACAAAATTTGACTTGCTCAAGCTGAGCGCAAAGTAGAAAGCCCTTACTCCGGAGCATTTTCGTTGGACATCTTTGGACGCAAGTCACATCAAGTGAGGGTCAAAATCAGAGGCCCTGGACGCTGCCGCGGCTCCATGCAGCCTTCGCCTCTCGACTTGACTCTCAGCATCTCTGTGGTGCTCATGGCCTACACGGGACTGAACTGAGCACGTGTGCACAGTATGCACCATGCTGCACATGGCTGCATGATATGGCTGCAGCGGCTGTCGCCACACATGGCTACATGACACTGCATAGTGTTGCATCTCGGCAATCATCTCTGCGACCATCGTGCAGAAGAAAGCCACATCCGTATTTTACAAATCTTTATACTTTACATATACATATATATATATCTATCCATATATATATATTATATTGTATTATCATATACCGTTTTTATACATCATGCAAACAGTCGTTGAGCCGAACCTGGAATGGGTCCAGGTGGCTCCACTTGCCTTTTCCCTGCGCCCAGCTTGCAATAAACCAAGTCAGGAGGTTGTGAGTTAGTGAAAACTGCCTCGGAAGATTCTTTCAATAGTGAGTTGTAATATGTTGTAATATTGTGCAATGTCAATCTTTTGCAGGCAATGTCAGTTCCACGCTGCACAGCTGTCCAATTCTGTCCATGTCATTCAGAACCCTTCCTGCGTACCTCTTTCTGCGGGTTCTACTGTCTGAGTCTAAGCTGAGGATAACCCTGACAAAGCGCCTTTGTTTGGGCTGCGACCTCTTCATTGCTCAAATAGAAACGTGAAGGGATCAAGTCCTCCGAGCATGATCCAAGGCATCCAAGGCCTTTGAACTTGAAACCAAAGCTCGGGTGAAAGCTGAACGACAAAGGTACAAATTGAAAAGGCCTGGGAAAAATAGTGTGAAAGCAATGCAGCTTCTAGTAAGCTCACAGTAAGCATTCGTAATATTCTTCACTTTCGACGCAAGGACTGTTTGACGAAGAAACATAAAGAACAAAATCAGTCCAAGTAGTAGTTGATGCGCGTGCATCGCCGTCTGGTCTCTGCAAGGTCGTCTGGACCTGACCAGGCTTGGAAGACTCGGGTCATTCTCCGTGCGTTACCGTTGAATAAAACAAGCATTGAGCAGGCCACCAGCGCCATCTTCTACTTTCTTTGGCCTCGCTGCAACTGCAATGTTTGGCAATTGAATGTACAAAAGATATATAATTATATATATACGTATATATGACATATAGATACAATATACAATATGTACTTGCACTATATTGCAATTAATTGCAATCTCAAGTCTCCCTTCATCCTTTTTTGATCCTTTCCCTAGAACAAACACAATGTCTCAGTGTTGAAGAATTCAAGTCATGTCTTGGAATTGCTCAGGTTGCTGCGGCGACATGAAAGCGAAGACAAGCGGAGCAAAGTTTCTCAACCCAAGGAATTGATTGGGAAGTTCAGTGTCTCTGCTGCCTCCCATCACTATCTCTTCATTAATTTCATTAATTATTTAATCTCTATTCTGTGGGATAAGCAATTACAAAATCGAAATGACGACTGAGGAAATCGTTCAAGTGGGACAAGTGAAACACTCTTCGTTTCTCCCACAAAACCAAGCAAAGCTCTTGCAAAATGTGATATGTGGCAGTCGTGTTTGTCTGGATAGGCGGCTAGGCGGCTAGGCGTGTTGTGTTTGCAAAGCCCGAGGCTGCTGGTCTTCTGAGCGAAAGCTGCAGGCAGGTCCGCGAGGGCTTCTCCAGGTGTTGAGGTGCTTCCGAGAGAAAAACAAAAAGTGAGTCACCGTGAATGACCTGCCATGTACGTCCACATGAAATCTTTCCAGCAACTGGCTGGGGACCAGCGTTTGCAACAAAGAAACATCAAATCAATCATTCATCAGCAGTTTGTCAGGTTTTTTTCGTTGCACAAGAGCTTAGTCCTGCAGCGCCGCAGGGTCCTCAGCCATGGAAGACCCACTCAGGTACTCGTGTTGCACGGATATATTTTTGTATTATTTAAATTTGTTTAATATCTTTTGTATCTTTTGTGGTTTTCAAGTTTTGAGGTCTCAATGATATCCTAGGGTGAACTGCACGAACGTATGATGCTTTTCGTTTTGTATTGTTTGTTTTCTGATGATTTATGTTTAATTAATGTATAGCTTGTGTTCGCAAGAGTCAGAAGAGGCTCGACAATCTTAACATATCTTAACATATCTTAACATATCTTAACATCTGAGTTCACGTGTCGAAGAGTTCACATATCAATGTCCTGCTTCTGGAGCTCTTCCAAGTGCTGTTCCTTCAGCTCAGCTCCACCTCCAAAGACCACAGCTGTGGAGCCATGGAGACCTGCCAAGGCGGTGAGCCAAAGATCTGTAAATTCGACGTAAAACGATGTAAAACGACGAAACGATGTAAAACGGCGTTAAAACGGTCAAAGGATGTAAGACTTCAGTAGGACTCTGATGGGACATGTGGTTCAGGATGCCACCAAAACGGTCAAAAACGGTGCGCACCTACTGGTGCCTTTGCAGGCTCTTCCTGAATGAAGTCTGGCACAGTCTTCACCTCGCAATTGCACTGCAGAGTATTCATTCCAGAGCTGCATCAAGAATTCATCAAGACTTCGACAAAGGCACGATACATTAGACATGATGTGTGTGTGTGTGTCCATGGCGTCATGTCACCAACCGGCCTGATGCGCTTTGCCAATGGCACCTTCTGCCACTACCTGCGCCGCCAACTTGCCTGCAAGTACTGCACCTTCCATACTCCCAAGAAACTTCTGGCTCGTCCAGTCCCCAGCCAGAGTGAAGTTCGAGATCGGCGTGGCCTGGGCATATCACTCTGGTCAAGGCAGCAAAGCGATGCAAAGCAGCCCACCAATGGACAAGTGGATCAAAAAAGATCAAAGTAGGGTGGCTCTCTGTTTTCTCTGTTTTCTTGCCAACGAGTGGTTGACTCCCTAAACATCTCAAGAAAACAAGTGGGCCTGGGATGGACGGAATTTGTTCCGCCCTGGCACCGCTGCGTAGACACTCCGCGGCACCTCAGGCAAAGATGGTCCAATGCTGGAAGTGCAGTTTCAGTGCACTGCAAGCACCTTGCATGTTTGAAGCGCATCTAGTTGGCATATGTATGTCATTTTATGTCATTCGAGTTCAGTTGCTTCATTCCCTTTCCACTGAACTTCTGGTTCTTCACAGACATTGCTTCTTTCCATTGTGCTGTACCCTGGCCTTGTTTCTTCTCTGTTTTATGTTTTTGGGCTTTGGGTTTACCCCCTGTTTTTTTTTGAATTGTCGTTCTTTCGCATGTCTTCAGGCTTTTTGCTTGTTTTGCCTATATGTTACCATTTTCTTGACTCTTTAAATGCAGCGTGTTTTGTTTGCCCGTTTTCATTCTTCGCATTTTCTGCGCAGTTGGTGTTTGGTGTTTGGCTTGCATTGTAGTGGGATGCCGTAAGTTTGGGGAGCCCTCATTTTTGGGCGTGCCATAATATCATATAATATCATATTTCATATAATATCAATGTATGCCAAAAGCAGCAACTGAAAAGTAAGACCGTTCCTGGAATTCACAAGTGTGCAGAAGAAGCACTGCGCAAAGCTGGACAAAACATTGTGCATCCTGCCTTCACAACCCGGGACTTTCTCAAGCGTGCACCATCCGGCAGATTCTCGCCAATCTCCGTGGGGAAAAGTCGTTCAAGTTCTTTCATTGTCGCCTGGCCCAAAGGTATGAAGGGTCCCAGGGTACTGTGTCTGCATCAAAGCTCGGTGAAACAGTGAAACATGTGAAACATGTGAAACATGTGTTTCCCTTCAAGCACAATGTCTTCAGCTACTTGAAGGACAGAGGCTTGAGCTTCGCGCCTCAACAATCTCCTCATCACTCTTGGCAATCCAGTTCACACTGCTACCAGCAATGGCCGCACAAGGTGCAAAGACCAGCTCCAACATTGAACGTTCACTATCGTGGTATTCCTTGCAACAAGTACTCATGTCTGCATACACCGAGAGCAGCGGACTACGACTGAAGCAAAGAGCATCGATGTTCTTCAGCTTCCGGTCAAACCACAAGTGAATGTTGATCACAGGAATACCCTCCAAGTTATCAAGCTGCCGGAAAAATGGCATCGTTGACCATGCTGCTGGGATGAGCCGTTTGAACACGTCGACCGGCAAAGCTGACACATATTCATCTGCCTGAAGAATCTCACCTCCACGCAGTCGGAGATGCCTCACAGCTGTCGTTTCATTCGTTTCCAACACGATTTCTTCAACAATAGCTCCCAATCGCACCTCACCACCTCTCGCTTCGATATGTTCCTTCATGGGTTTGCACAAGCGATCCGGTTGATTCCCATCCAAGAAGGCAGTTTGACTGCCATCCGTCTCGTTGATGAAACGATTCATGGCCGTTAACACAACAGTCATGGAGAGTTTGTCTGGGTCAATGAAGTCAAGCGCTTTTGCCATGGGTATGAAGACTTCTTCGATGATACGCTCAGGCATTCCATACTTCCGGCAGAATTCGGTCACGGAAGACTCGTCTTGAGCATCAATAAAGCTCTGTCCTTCAATAAGCATGGGCAGTAAAGGAGGACCAGTCTGAAGCTTCCTCAGCTAAGAAGGTTCTGATTCCAACCGGACCATACCGGACCTATCCGAACCTATAATGACCTATTATCTGTTGAAAATACTTTCGCCACAAGGCTGCATTTCTGAAACCATCAGCTTGTATCGAAGCCCTTTGACCTTACACTGGGACATCTTTCAGAAAATGCGGTGTGCTAAAAGATGCTAAAGGTACGTCAAAGGGCAAGAATCACACAGCCGCACCCACTACTAGCCAACATACAACAACACCAAGAAAACAAAAATATCAAAAATTGATGCAGTGTTGCTGTGTGCATCCAAAGATCTCTACTGGAGATAGCATCCTCTGATTCAACAGAATGGCTGCAGCCATATTTAGCGGCGCTGGCCAACCGGGAAATTCAAAAGTGGTGAACTCACCAGGCAATTCTTGCATGGCAAAGGTCATCTGGTGGCGTTTCCACTGCAGTCGGTCCTATGCGCACACTCCAGGCCCTACAAATGATACATGTCCAGTGCATATCCGAACATGTCTTCCTACATAACCTACATATCCTAACATTAGCCAACTCAACACGACAAACCGAAAAGGCAAAAGGTCTGGATAATCTGGATGTATTGTTTATGTAGTGGACTCACTCTGACTCGCCTGACTTGATCTGACTGCGTTCTCTTTCTGTCTCTCCCATCCTCAATCTCGAGTTCGGAAAAGAGGTTCATCATGTTGGGATAAGCTCCGAAAAAAATATGAAGGCCGGTCTCTATCCAGTCACCATCTTCATCTTGCCACGCAGAAACCTGCAGGCAACCGCGCAAAGATATATCAAAGACCTGCCAATCACGTCTATCTTAGATCTTGATGCTGTATATTTACATATATATACGTACATTCTATACTATTCTATCATTTTCAATATACACACAGTACGTATGTACAAGAAAAAAAACTGTTTATAACGCATGGATGGACAAATGGATGAATAGGTGGATGAATAGGTGGATGGATGGATGGATGGATGGATGGATGGATGGAGAACTACGAAGGCCGTGAGTTTCACAATTAGGTAGGTTGGTAGATAGCGCACATTGATAGTACACAACCTGTGGATCCCTATGGTATCATACTTCTGTATTGTGTACAAAAACTATGCTTCCTCTATGACACGCTCAGGCTGCATATATGTAACATGTACATCTGAATGCAAAAATGTCAATGGCATTCGAGGGCCCTCCCTCTTTGCACATCACACGGCTTGTCTCCATGTCGCCCGATGTCGCCCGTCTCCAGCCTTGCCACCGAGCACATCTCTGGCTTCCAGAACCACCTTGACAGATCCGGCTCAGGTGGCACAACAGTGCGCTGGTGCACAACAGTGCACAACAGTGCACAACAGTGCACAACAGTGCACAACTATCAAATTGTGAACCTGTCACCAATACTGGAGTAACTCCTGCCAATGCCTGTTACAACTTCACAACTCCGGTCCAAAACCTTCACCTTTTACGAAGATACACGAGGATGTAGATGCAATGGTGCAGCAAGATAAGAAACGTACCATCTGAGGTCCGCACAGCTTTGTGTCCGGCGTCGGAGAGGTATTTGCCACAGGCTAAGCCAGACAGACCGCCTCCAATCACCACGACGGTCTTTGCTTTGGCCTGTGAAACACATAACAAAATGAAAAAAAAATGTCTTCGATATCCCAAGTGGCTTGACACTTTTTGAAAGGGGACATCCAGGATCCAGTGAAGCTTTTTCAGCAGATTGTCTAGTCAGTCTGCCAGTCTGTCGTCAGAGCCTGGCCATTCAGAGCCTTGAGTTTTTCCGACAGCGCTTTGGCTTCGACGTAGTTGGCCGTTTCCTCAATGCCCTTGGGCTTCGGGAAGTCCTGCACATTGAAATCATTGAACAATGAAAAACATTCGAATGCCGACATCAAATTCTATGAAGATCGCAAGGAACTACCCGTCCTCTGGGACAACCCATTCGCCAGTGCCAGGGTTGACAGTCCTGAATGCAAAATCGTCGAGGAAAAGAACGGTGTCAGGAAGAATTTCGAGTGTCGCTAAATTCCACCGCGATCATGTAGGATACAGGATGCACAGGATACATATTGATTTACTGAGGAGTCCTTCCTGACAATTTCAGTATCACAAAGAGATCATTTTCCTGACAATTTCCGAAGTGATTTGCTTTCGATATTTCTTTCTTCACTTCATTTTTCGCTCTGCGGTTCGGCCTGGTTGGAGAAGCCAGAGCAGTACATGAGCTGCGGAGCTTCCTACTCCGACGTGAGCCTGGCATAGTGGATGGTCGAGTATGTTTCACACGCAAAACGCAAAACATATCAAGGAATTAATAGGAAATAAATGGAAACAATTGAAATGAATGGAATACAGTATCGAGTCATTATTGGGCAAACCTCTTTCACTAATTCACAGCAAAATGAAAGCTAAAGTCATGCTGCATCACTCTCATCTCTTCAGTCCGAAGAATTGCCACACGGGCGACACATTTTGTCTAGCTGTGTCGAGCTCGCCTGCCAGCGTCATAGCAACTACTGGCCCCACTGACAGTGCCGATGCTCTTCGTTCTTTCCGTGATCGCTCTGGTTCTCGTGGCTCTGGGTGAACGAGAACCCGACGAACATTCGTGCAGGTTGGACACTGGCTTTGCAGTCCGAGTGTGCCAGGCCACTGCCATGGCAGATCCATTTCAAAATATTTCAAAATATGTCAAAAGGTAAAAAATGTATTGAAATGTATTGACGACTAGAAGCCAACCGTTACTTTCGGCGACTAAAGACTACAGATGTTAAGACTTCAGTCCCTGCGTTGTCCATGTTATTGAACTTCTTGATCCAAGCGATCTCGACCCTCGAATGACAAAATTACTTTTCGGGTGTATAGAATATCCTACTCAGTGCTGAGGTCACGTGTACTGTTTTTGCTTCTGGAAATTACTCTTCTGCTGTCCCATGTCACAAGTTGCTCTCATCTCATTGGGCCAGGCTCTCTCTTCCCAAGGGCAACATCAACAATTCATGTCAGCCAAAGCACTACTGCAAAAGACATGAAACCAACATCAGCACTTCGAGAAGCCGACATGTTCGCCAAAGGCAGAAGAGCGTTTTCAAGTTTCACTATATGTGCTAGTTGCGTTTTCTCATATGCCATATGCCCACAAGAGATGAGCATCTCAAGAAGACACCCTTCTCAGAGGTTCAGGGTATGAGCTCCGAGGAAAATTCAAGTTTTGGCCCGGGTCCATGGGCTGGAAGTTTTGTTCTTGGTTCAAAAAGGGTGATGAAACAAAATCGAAAAAGTTCTGCATCTATTTTCAAAAAAAGGCCTTGTCAGGAACACCTACCTACCAGCAAATGCAAGTGATTGCCGATTGCAAGTCTGATGTCATGCTGAGGCTACATTTGGTGGTGTCCAACAGTCTGCAAGCTAGGTATGCCACAATCCAGTGATGTTGTTGCTTCAGTATAGATTATAAACTCGCAAAGAGTGCAATCACCACGGCTTCTGCAGTTTGCAAGAGCTCGCTTTGACTGAAACAGGGTCCAAACATGCCAAAAGTAACTACCTGGAGTCTGTTTCTGAAGGTTTTTGATTACACAACAAATAGATTCATGTAGTACAAATATGTACAAATTCGGAGTCGACAGCTTTCTCCTTTACGCATCTTTACGCTGTGTTGCTTGATGTTGCCCCAGATATTGGATCACTTTATGCGCTAAAGAAATTGCTGATGGGATAGACTCGGATGGATAAGGATTCTAGGTGATTGTTCAACAATCACCAAATGTGTGAGAATACTGCGATGTACTGCGGATAACTGGGCTCGCTGGCGCTCACTGCTTCGCAGCGTGCCCCGTTTTGCGGCACACCGACTGCACCATGGAAGACAGGCTACGGCAATAGCCACCTTGCTCACGAATAATCTCTTCAACTTTGGCCAAGGCCACCTTGCCTTGTTCCGGCGTCATGCTCAACAAAGTAGTCCGAGCTCTTTCATCAATGGTCATTTCCACCATGCTCTCCAAGTGGCAAAGATATTGCTCCACCTCTTCGATCTCAGCAGAATACCTCGAAGCTTCCCAGGTGTCGTTGGCACCCCATTCTTCTGTGTCTTTCATGTCCTTTGTGTCGCTGTTGTCGTTTTCCTTCTCCACATCTTTGGATTCTTTGGGCTCGTAAAGCTTCTTGTAGAGATCCTGCAAGAGAGACTCCAATGACACAGCAGTGGTTCCAGTTCCTGAGCCGGTTGCACCAGTTGCGGCAGCATTTGAGTAGAGCCCATACTGGTTCGTGCCGTCGTACAAAGCAGTTGGACCATCCTCCTGGAAACGTCGAACCAGCTGGTCCACCTCTGAGTGTGGCACTGCATACATCTCAAGGGTCTGTTGAAAGGCAGTCACTTCAATCTGCCTCATTCGCCGCTCAACCTCGCAGAGATGCATCAGCCGCTGATTTTCAGCTTGCAGTTTGGCCATCTTCTGCGCAATTTCTTGCAGAGACTGCGAGCTCTCCCCACCCTCGGTCTTAGACGTTCCCTGGCCCGTGCTTGCTGCAGTGGCTGTCATTGAACTGTCACCAGCCACACCTGCCATGCCTTGAAACGGGACAAAGAAAGCCACATTGCCATAGTATTGATCGCTGGTGAAGTCTGACTCACCACCCCAGTTCCAGTGCTCTTGCCAGTCTTGTTGCGTGCCAACATAGCCTGAGGTGTCCAAACAGCTAGTAGCTGGGCAATGTCTGACTAAGATCATGTCAATGAAATTTGAGCTGAACTTGAGAAACCATGCATCCATCTCAGGCAATTATGATGAATGTTAGAATGTTTTTTTTGCAATCCCTTCTTGGCCTGAGTTGTCATAGCCTGTGTATGTTTCCTCTTTGGAACCAGCTGATTCCATTGCTTCAGCCATCTCTATGATTGAAATGTCCTGTGTTTCCTCACCTTCCTTGCAATAAACGTAAAACCCGTCAAGTGCCAACTATCTTTTGAAAGCTTGGTCACTGTGTTAGTGATGTTTGACAAGTTCTTGGATGTCTGAACTTATAAAGTTCTTGCATGTGTGAGCTTGACAAGTCTGTGAAGGTAGACATCCTTTCATGAGTCAAGATCGAAGCACTCTGGATGCGGCGCAGACAGAAAACGTTGCTTTGCGGACAGCATAGCTTCCATAGACTGTCTAAAATCAGATCCAAGCGGAATCAAGCTGAATCAATCAGTTGCTTGAGGGTCTTTCTGTGTGATTTCTATCCAATGCCTCAGCAAAGCTTCTGTCTGTCTGAAACAAAATTGGATGATAATTCCATTGAGATGGAAAATGTATGACAATGTCATGTCCAAGACCAGACATTGAATAGATCACAAAACGACATCGAGAAGCAAGTTGAGTCTACAAGACTAGAAAGTCTGTTGCCGAGACCAAAAGTGGGATAGTCTGGCTTTTTTGTGAGTGGTGAAACAAACTGAAGGAATGGACCAGAGGCAGTCAATGTGATACTACATGCATCTGTCAAATCTCCCCCAGCCACCACCACAGTTTTTTTTCTCGAGCCCGTATCTAACGTATCCGGAGCCTAGTTGTGGAGTTGCGCGTAAGAAAAAGCACTGCAGTCACAAAAAAACCTTTGAATCGGCAATATGATTTGCTCAAGCCGAGCGTGCCCTCCCACCTTTTGGCACAGAAGCCCTATTCCAGCTTCAGTGCTCCGTGAAACTAGAGTGAGACTTCTAAGGCATTTGAAGCAGGGACTCAATTCCTTGATAATTCTTGATATTCCTTGTCTTTTCATGTCTGTTCATGTCTTTTCATGTCTTTTCTGCGAGGGATGCACTTCTAGAGCCCCTTTCTTCAATGCTAGCGACAAACCGCTAGCACAAACCCTATTTCATGCGCTGCCACAAATTCAGAATACCGTGCCTCACCAAATATTCACGGGGCTGACGGACTGTGATCTGCTCCGATAGTGAATCCAGTGAGCGTTGGAAGAAAGGTCGAAGGAGCAACCATGGGTTGTTTTGGGGTGCAAAATGAACATGTTGCATAGTCTGCATAGTAGCTAAATACTTGTGAAGCAAGGGAAATCCACCCTGTGCTGATGTTCTGCAGCCTGTTTTCAACTGCGTACTGGACTCGTTTGCATTGACTCTACCAAAGCATCCAAAGCAAACAGGAGATGCAGGAAGGCTATTCATTGGATTTTATTGGTGGCTTTCCTCCAGCCTGTGCATCTGAGACAAGCTGGGGTTCCAACTAAGAAGTTGCTTGACCTGACAACTTGTTGCTTCCAAACAGTGCAAGCTATCCGCTCCATCTGCTCAACAAATACAGCAACACGAATCTTTAGGAAACTGATGGAAACTCATGGAACGTCAATATGGAATGTCGATGAATGTCGCCTATCAAGAGGATTCAAGAGGAATTCCAGGTATACATTTGGTCCTGTCCTTGTGTTTCGCTGCCATTCTGCATCACTGCCTGGCATTCAGGGCATTGTCCCCCGTTGCACTACATCCTAATCTGTTTCGAGTTTGTTTGCAAAGCAGTTTAATTTGGTTTGCGATCTGAAGAGCAACTGTTCCTATATACTCAAAACATCTTAAAACCACCCAAAGCCAAGACTTGCCTGCTGGATGCAACAAGCAATTCGCTCGCAACAAGCATTGGCAGCTTCCTCCCAAGCCTGAAAACTCAATACAAGACACGAATTCTCACAACTGAAAACAAAAACGACCACATTGGCCCCAACGAATCCACAAGCCGATCAAGCCGACGTTCAATATCTTCCAGTTTGTCCCACAAATTCACCACAGTTCATCCTGATTCCTATGACGTCCGGTGATTCCAAGATATTCCAAGAGGATCCAAAAGATCCAAAAGGATTCGAAGCATTTCGAAGCATTTCGTGTCGCTTTCGAGCCTTCATTGATCCCGAAGAGCTTCTTCGGTTGGCGTAACCTGCATCTGCCACATCTGTGGACTCAGGACGAAACTTGGATCGTTCGGAAGTCTGCCCAGCCTCCCTCGCAGCGCTTGCGGGCCAAAGCCAACAAACGTCGGCGGAAGGGCCCAGTCACAACCTTTCAAGCAAACACTCCAAACCATGCAGTCAGCAATTTCCAGACGGTTGAAAGGCAATTAATCAAAATCGTCGAAAAGGGGGGTCAGCGATCAACAGGGTCAAAATGGTCAATCACCGAAACACACCGCTCAGCCAGCTCAGCCTGACAAAGCAACTGAGTGTCGATGAGAGAGGCCAGCTTCAGGGCCTTGCACTGCAGTTCTAGAATAATGTCAAGTTATTTCGACTCCTCGATGTAGGTGTTGCAGTTTTTCCCGATGTTGGCACGTTTGTGCATTCTGCCCGCTACAGGGCATGCTGGGTTGCATACTGTGTTGCATACTTATAATTTATGATACTTTCGTACTTCAAGATCTCAAAGATTTTTGAAGCGAAAGATTGGCACAGTGTTGATTGATATCCTTTATGCATGCCATAGGACCACTGACCACCCATACCTGCGCACTGATCCCACGGACCTGTGTGCGTGAGTCCACTGGCATGGCAAGCTCCTTCAGAGAGCTGGAAACTTGGACAAAGTTGGACAAAGTATCCATCGACACAAGCGGATACGGGTGGACACAAGTCGACGCGGAGCAGCCCAACTTTGAGTCACATGGCGTGGCATGGAACCGCGGCGGTCCTTGCCATGTTCCAGGGCCAAAGCGAAAGACATAACCCGCTCCAGAATCCGGGCCTGGCGTCACATGTCTTGCCACAACTCCCTGAAAGTCAACATATGGTGACCAACGACTGCAAAGCTAATGTAAGCAAGGTCGGGAGTACAGGAGCATTTGCCAAATTTCCAGCAAGCTTCCCTGCCCTCGGGTGAATTGAAAATAGAATTTTGATCGGCTTCAATCAGTTGGCAGTTTGGCTTGATTCATATGATTCACTGACCATTTACAAACGTATTGACCGTATTGACTTCAGACTCAAATGCTCTTGGGCACAGGCTCTGCTAAAGCAAAATCCAGGAGCTGTGCCACCAAATCGAAGATGACACCCTTCTGAGACACGGAGATCTCGGCACAGAAAGTTGAGAACACACAGGGATTGTGGCGATTGCGATTGCAACTCCCTGTTACATTGCAATCAATGCAATCATTGCACCACAATGACCATTCACATGATTCTACGTGCACATGCCCAATGTCCCTCTGTCGCTGAGACCTTTATGTTGCCATCCGCAATTTGATCAAACAATAGTATCACGTATAGGAACCAGTGCCTCATTTTGAATACCTACAACTTTCTTCGCGAAGAAAAACATCAGCAGGTCAACTTCATTTCAACTCAAAGAGTCTCACAGCTTCTCTTTTCAAGTTTGCAAGTTCTGCTGCCAGTCGTCTTTGTTCTGTTTCAAGACATGCGACCTCAGGAATCAGGGCTCCTTCGCTGCGCTCTAGCAAAGCAAAGAGGCGCGCCTGGCCAAAACATCAAGTCTTTAAGATTCTGAAGAGTTTCAGACTCTTCCAGACTCTTCCATGATCCTTAAACACTATTCTATGTCCTTTCAACAAGCCAATGTAAAATGTGTTTAACAATGATCCCGCCTGCGTACGAAGTGCTTCCTCGTTGAGGCTCGCTAAGAAGCGCAAGTTCTTTACTCGCAGTGACACATGGCGCTCCTGCATAGAGAGAAGAGTGGAGAGTCAATTGTGAGGAGTGAATGAGATCAAGTGACTTGAAGTGAGTGACTGGTTTCTGCAAATTCTGCACCTTCACTCGCTTTGCGGCAGACTTGAGCTGATCTCTTGGTGTCTGGAGCGCCAAGGGCGTAATTGGCCTGGACCGGGGAGTCCTGCGAAGTACGACATTTGCAGAACTAAATCAACACGGCTGAGATGTGGCTATTTGAAATCCAACGTACGTCTGAGATTAACAGAAAGCAGAAAAGTGTGTGACATTGTGTGACTGGTTCATACTTCTTGGCAGAACGTGTTCCGTTCTCTGAAGTTCTCAAAGTTGGACAAAGGGATGAAGGAACTATCGAGAGATGCAAACTGAAGACACTGCAAAATTGGTTTGCTCGGAAATGCTGAATGCACATGGTTCAAGTCTTTTGTGCCGTACCTGGTATGGCCATGTATGGCCCGATATGGCATGATCAACAGTCAAAATGACAATGAAATAATTCTCTGAGATTCTCTGTGATTGTGAAGATTGTAAAAGCAAAACAATAGTTACATAGCACTAGTCTGTGCTTCAACTGATCCTTGGCACTTCTTCCGGCTTCTTTGCATCCTTGGTTTCCTTCTGCCCAGTACCTGGTAGAAGATACGGGCTCAGAAGTAAGTTGCACTGGCTTTTCTTACGCCTACCATGTGTCCAGCAAAATCCGAAAACCCAAATTGAATCGACCAGCGATTCAACGTCTTTTCTCTCACAAGCGCTTTCTTCCCATGCCGCCTTTATTACTTTGGTCAACCATTGTGATATCGGTTAAGATCTCACAGTTCCGAAAGCATCGCACTCGACCTCTTCGCTGTGCCAAGTGATCTCGGCAGAAGCTCCTGCCCTGCTTTGGACGGCTCGCGACCAGCTTGGCAGCAAGTCGCCTAAGTCGCCTAAGTCGCCTGCGATTTTTCAACTGCTTTCAGCTGCCTGGAGATCAGCATTGAGCATCCTCTGTCACCAGAATGTTTCATCAGTGGACATCATTTGACGATCTTGCATTCACTACTGATCACTGACATCTGCTGGCTGGGACAAATTTGCATTTGTCAACTCCTCAGACTATTCAGACTTGTGTCAAATTCCAATCTGCGGGGATGTTGCTCCACCTGTTGAGCCGTTGAAATCCACCGCACATCTGTTGCAGCTCGATGCGCTCGAAGCCAAGAAAGCGAAGCCGCTAAGCCGAGCTAAGCCGGAGATGTCTCCAGAGCGTCCAAAGGAGTCCAAGTTGCAACGAGCAAAATCTGTGTCGAGTCCGGTAGCTTTGAAATTTGCTCTGGGGATATGGGCAACAACTCCGAGGCCACAAAGGCTGAAACACAAAGGCCATTCGATTGAAGCTGTGAGATCGTGATCCTGAACAAATTTCTACACCCTGAACTTCCTGAACCAAATGAATTGCTTTGGCTTTATCATTTTCGAGACATAGCTAGGCTGGGAAAAAAGTCATGGAAAAGTACAAAACAGGTATTTCTTATGAAAGCAAGCGGCAGCTGTGCCCGGACAGCACGAAGCGCATTTAGCAGCAATGCTCTGCCCTGAGGCTTTTTTAAGCGTCTTGCAAGGACAGCAGGCAATGCTTCAGGCGCACCGCAACAGGAAAGCAACACGTCAGAAGCCACGATGATGTCGAACTGCTCCAGTCCTCACAACAGTCAAATCATCTGGATTCCGAAGAGAAATGTAGCTCAACACCCTTTGTATGTCACTGGAAAATCTACACATTCAACCCTGGTTCCGGCTCAAGGGATATATAGCATCTTTTCTCGGCAAACCATACCAGCTTTCAGTCCTTCATCAACGTTCCAGTCTAGAACTTCAAATGTCAAAGCCTCCTTGTGACCATGATGCTCCTGACAGGATACTGATTGGACTCAAGAAGGATATACTATACGAGCAAAAAAGTGAAATCTCGAGTTTCAAGAAAAACACCAAAGGTTCCAAAAGGTTCCAAAAGGTTCCAAAAGGTTCCAAAAGGTTCCAAAAGGTTCCAAAAGGTTCCAAAAGGTTCCAAAAGGTTCCAAAAGGTTCCAATGTTTCCCAAGGTCTTGTCTTTATCTCTTGTCAATGTTCAAGGTCTCCTTCAACGCCTCGACTAAGCGTTGCTCACCATCTGTGAGCCGCACTTCAGAGCCGCAGGCATGGCAACTGAGCCCTGCCAGAGCCACCCCGGCACCTCAAGAAATGGCGGAGGGGGTTGGGGCTTCCGGAAGCGCGTTTTGAAATACTTCCTAGTATATGCTAGTATAAGGAACGGCACCCCATCGGCACTCTGCAAAAAGGCTTTCAAGTTTTGCTAAATGTGAATTCACAGGTTCTTCTCTGGTTGACTGCAACCAAAACTCCAAGCTCTAGCACGCTCTTTCCCCGAACAGAGGGAATAGGATGGAAAGGCTGCAGGTCGTCTGAAAAAGTTGCATCAATGAGTAGCCGCGAAAGAGTTTGTGCTACTGGCCAAACTCCATAGCCGAAAAGCAAATCACTCTCAGGATCCTCATCCAACTCCCAATACTCCACCTGGCACTGGGGAGCAGTGTGTGGTTGAGCTTCAAACATTGCCAAAGTTGTATGTGAATATGTCAGATGTTTATGTTTATTTGTTGTTATAGAAGATTATCTTGACTTATACTTTGATATACTTTGGGGGGCCCAGGAGCAGCCTCCTGCGCTCAACATTTGTGAATCTTTGGCAACAAACTAATGGGATCTAATCGGTAAGAACGTGTCACTTATCATCCAGAGAGTTGGCTGCTGGAGAATTTGGTCGTACCTCCACCGATCTGTAGCAGAAACAGCGGTGGCCACCACGGAAGGCTGTCTCTGGTTCTGCCAGTTGGTCCAAGAGCTTTGCAGCAGCATCTGCCACGTGTGCATCACCTTACATTGGGACACGGCATAACAGGCCGCATAACACAGCCAACATGGCAACACTAGCTCACAAAGGATTTGACAGATGTTATATATCTTTCGGCATGTTTTTTCACTTCGTTTCATACTCATCTATTCATACCATTTCATACTTCTCAACATCTGATATGACTGCAGCGATTGGCGATTGCAATCAATCTTATGTGACATTGGTGCCAAAGGGCCGCTGCAGCAAATCGGACACAAGAGGTGCTGTTGCCGCCGCAGCTGGGGTGCTACCTCTGGCAGCTTTGACTGCAGTGACTGCAGCGCTTGCAGCGGATTCGTCTTCAGCAGAAGCACATCCAGGTCGATGTCAACGATGTCGTCGATGTTGGAGTCCGGAAGGTCAGACACAGCCACTGGAATTTGCATGGCTAGGGCTCCAAAAGAATGGCTGTTTGCACAGTCTTAACACTGAATAAACTGGTATGTGTTACCGTGTTACCCATATTGATCCGGAATGAATGGGGTTGCTTTGGAACTGGCTGCTGACACTGTTGACCTTGAAATGCAGCAACGCACAAGATATGTCCTTTTTGTTCAAGTGACACTCACTGCTGCTTCCCTGCGCACTTGGCTTCTCCGTCGGCCTTTCTGCGTCCTGAGAGGCCCAGAATTGAATCCAAGGCAAGAGCAACAGAAGTAAGGCGATGCAATAATATGCAATAATGTATAATATTAATATTACGTAATATTACGTGTTTGTGCGTATAAACAATCATTCGTATTTCATAGGCAGTTTTATGATTGTTTTATGTATATTCAGACATAGGTTCAAATTGCAACTACAGTAGACCAGAAACCCTGAACCCAGTCGTGTTTACCGTCAGTTGATTGTGAAAGTCACTGAAGATCTGTTAGCATGGCTGGAGACTCTCCAAGCCATCCAAGCTAAGGCAAAGGAACTCATTCTTTCTGATTTTTAAATCTGTTGATCCTTTTTGATACCTTTTTGTATCCTTTTTTGTATCCTTTTGTTACTTTTTTTTGTTGTGGTTGTTACATGTTGTTACACTTTTCTTTCTTGACTTCAGCTCCCGACGGCTGCAGGCATTGGCTCATCCTCCGGGCATTGCTGGCGTTTCCGTAGGCGCTCGCGCTCCTCAGAGTTCTACTGAGAGTCACTTCAGCTGTAAGGAAAGAATGAAAGAAGTGAGGAGACAATAATTCAATAAGAACTCATAAGAACTCCAAGAATACTCAAAGGCATCGAAAGCTTTCGAAAGCGACGTAACTCGAAAATGGAGAAACGATGAGAAACGGCGCCTTGCGCGCTTCGGCATCCAGCATCATCAAGCCCTTGTGGAGGTCCAAGGTCTGCGGATGTGCACCGAAAATGCATTGAAATTGTCAATGAAAAGGAATTGGTTTTGAATGATTCTGATAGTGATTCTGACTGATTTTGATTGATTTTGTCAATGGTTGCTCGATGTTTTTTGAGACTTTCTGCGGGCCTTCCTCGCACAGGAAATGGCTTCTTCAGCTGTGCGACGTGCAACCGAGGAGCTGCGGGCAAGGCCTCTCTGACTGCTTGTTCGGAAACCATATATACGTAAACGACATGAAACGATTTTCACTGATCACACTTGCATATCATGACATAGTAGGACATGCGAGTACTGTGCATCACAGTCCGAAACCCGTTGTCTCATGTGACAACTTGTTTGTATCTTGTTTGTATTGAATCTGCAGAGGCTAGGTGACTCGATCCTTTGGCCCAGGCTCTCCGTCAAGAGTCGGGTACCAAGGCGCTGAAGATTGTTGCCCTACGTAACGCTGCAGATTGGAGGTCACTGAAGTTATTCTGAAGGTATTATGCATAAATTATGCACATTTCTGCACCTGCTGTGATTTGACAGCTCAAGCTTCCTAAGCAAGTCACATCATTGGCATCAGGGGCAGCTTTCTCCACCTTCTTCAGCGTGGCCTCAGATCACGCAATTAGAAAAGTCAGAAATCCACACGGCTTGCATCAGAGTGCTCAGGTGTTTCTTCGTTCGATGCAAAGAACACGATTTACCATCACTACTTCAATCGCTTTCCTTCACATCAAGGGTTTATCGGTTTATCTAGTTTATCTATGTTTTTCTATTTTCGTGCCTCTGTCGCTTCACTGATCCTGCGCAATTGAGGTTCGGAAGCGACCCGACTTTGCGACTTTCCAGCTCTCTTCTCTTTGTACAGCCACAGAGTCCTCTCCAACAGCTCCGCCGAGGTAGCGCATGCATTGCCTCCATTGATTCAGTCTGCAATGTGGACGGCTGTTGGTATGGCTGCATTGAGGGTTTGATAGCATTGATAGTTTTATTTGCCAACCACAGGCCAAGTACAAAATTACAATTTGGGGAGTTGGGAGTCATCCTTGGTTTAAAAAAACGGTTTGATTTCAACATTAATCTGTCTGCAGATCTACGATAGCCGTCGGTCTTGATTGAAAAAATCAAAAGTCCAAGTTCTGTCGCATAGCTTTTAAGGAATCAGCTCCCGTCTGCCTGCATCTTCCACAATGGCACAACGATCGCGGAGAGCCATCTGATCGAGTATGGTATCATATGGTATCTATCTTTTCCGAATTAACATCAGTGGCGAAAGCACATGAACAGAACCACATTGAGGAATCCAAACACGAACCTTGAAGTGCATCACTGCATAACTCTTCTGGAACTGAGAATCAACTCCAGTGCTCAAGGTGTCCGCAATGTCATTGTTGTCACTCAAGAAGGCCTCTGCGAAATTTCTGCTTCGGAAAGATGCGTTGCAGAAGTTGCACCTGCCCTTATGGATCTTCCCTTCCTACATCTTCTTACTAAATCATCTGAATCTGCCGTTTAAAGTTTAAAGTGTCTCAAAACCTGACCATTTTCACCCCGTTTCAGAGACAACCCTGCTGGGACCCAGCTAGCCCAGCTAGCCCGGCCCCCGGCCAGCCCAGGCCCCAAGTGATGGAGCCACCTCTGCACATCGTACAGTGGCAACGGTGGCTCTACCGAGGGAACGCAGCTGCTGCCCGAGACCTGACAGCCAAATTTTGGGTTTAAAAAGTGTTTGAAAAAACATACAAAAACCATGTAGAAACAAACTACATACTTGACATATCTTTACATATCTCTACAAATTCTATACATCTTTATATACATACTCAGGCGAAACATGACGAAAGAAAACATGCTGCACCTCGCAACTCCACAGCGCTCTGACCTCAATGACCCAAAGAGGAGCCACCACTTGGCAGCAGCATGTTGAAATGTTGGCAAAGGAGATACGTAGCGAATGTAGCGATACTTGAAACATCTTGAAACTTGAAATACACCCAGATTAGCCCAGATTCCATCAGAATCCATTGAATTCTATTGAATTCCATGAGTTTGTCTTGACTGTTTGGGTTTCATCATCTCAGGCACAGCTGTGATTCACAGGAGGTCTAGGCCACAGGCGGGTCAGTTCCCGCAGACCGCGCAAAGATCGACGCTTGCCCTGAGGAAAGAATTGCACAAGTTACACGAGTCATACAGTAGTCATACTATCTATGTATTTGATTGTATTTGTGCAAATATGTATAAATGATCATAATCATAATAAATGTATTTGTGGGTCAAAATTGGGTATCCCTAAACTGGATGGTTTACTGCTAGCTGCTAAATACGACCAGAGGGGTGAAGCAAATTGATTGGAGATGTGACTTGTCATGACTTGTCAATGCAATCAGCTTGCACTGCCGGGCCTCCGAATCCTCCCAGGCACGCATGGCCCGATGTGCACCGACAGCCACACTATCCGCCGCTTCCTGTGCCTACATTGGTCTGCCATGATTCATGACTCAGCGCATCTGCGCAAAGAACTACGGTGGCTCACCCCCCTTCATTGGCTGCATAGGCTGTACATCCACTATTGGCAAAAGGCTCAGCTGCGCAATGTGACTGAAAAATTCAAGATGCACTGCACTATGCTTGCGGAAGCAAAGCAGCGCAAACCAACGGACCAATGGCAGACGGTGGCGGACAATGGCCTGCATGCCATAGCCATAGGACTCATTCAGCAGGGCTGAGACCACCTGCAGAGCAGAACATCATCAAGCCTTGATGATGGCAACTCCTTTAAGCAACTGCTTTGCGCCACACGGAGCCACATCATGCAATGCTCTCAGGGTGATTATGCCAATTATGCCAATTTGATCCTTCAAAGCTCCAAAAACCTAAAACGCACAAAAGCCAAAGGCAGAGGACACTTCCAAAGCCAAAATTGGAAAAGAACCTCGGAGCTTTCTTTAGTGAAGCATGTATGCAAATCACTAGATCTGCGAGCTACTATGAAAACAATAGAGTGAGTTGCTAGCTGATTGTTAGAGCTCCGGTCCACTGAGCTTGTCTTTGTATGGAGGTCTCTTTTCCAGTCATCACGGTGCCCAGCACCTCTTTTGGAGCCTCATCTCTGACTTCCTGGGGAGTTGAAAAGCAGTTGAAAAGCCTTACTCTATGTGTTGAGACGTGTTGAGACGTGTTGAGACGTGTTGAGACGTGTTGAGACGTGTTGAGACGTGTTGAGACGTGTTGAGACGTGTTGAGACGTGTTGAGACGTGTTGAGACTGCTTCACCGCATAGTACAAGCACTTAGACAGAGCCAAAGTCACCGAAGAGTCCATGAAGAGCTTTGAAAACGGCAACTCGTCCCTGACTCGTCCCTGACTCGTCCTGACTCGTCCCTGACTCGTCCCTGACTCGTCCCTGACTGGTCCCTGAGGGACCGCACTTCCTCTGGAACAGCTGGCCCGCCAAGTTGCCTGCCGTCTTCCAAACATCACTGTCATCATCTGTCATCACTGGACTGTTTTGAAGCAATTGACCCTTCGGAAAATAAGTTTTAAACATTTGAGATGACTTTTGGGATTCTTCAGAGTGTATTCTTGTCCATCTTGGCTCTGGCTCAGCAGTCATTACTTTATATTGCTTTTACTAGAGTGAAATTGAATGATTTGAAAAAAGCAAAATTGCAAAATCTTCTTACAACTCAAATTTCAGAGTCTTGTGACTGCTGCTGTTTCTGTGGAGCTGTCAGGACATGACTCGTAAGGAGACACTTCTACGTGTCCTACACAATCTACACATTTTGATCATTTTGCATTATGTAGTCATTATGTAGTCATTATGTGTTGAATTATGTGATATTATGTGCCTCTTCTTGAGGATGGAGGTGTAGGCATGCTGAATCGCTTGGAAGCGTTTCTTGTTGCCAATTCCAGCCTCGCCAAGAGGCCGGAGTCAAAGTGAATCGTTCTGGTCTCAATTGGGTCTTAGATGGTCTTAGATGGTCTTAGATGGTCTTGGATGGTCTTAGATGGTCTTAGAGTCTAGCTTCTTGATGCTTCTTGATGCTTCTTGATGCTTCTTGATGCTTCTTGATGCTTCTTGGTTTCCTCTTTGTTCTGATGTTGAAATATGTTCAAATAATTCAAAATATATCACGTGACTAGAACATACTGTAACTGAATAATTGTTACTAAGAGAATGATCTTGCAATCCGGCCTAGAATCGGTTTGGTCTTCGTGCTTTCGATGTACCTATCCGTGTGGCCTTGTCAGGATGTTCCCTCCTCGCCAAATTCCGGTAGGCCTTCTTCACCTGACCCCAAGGGGTCGAAGAACAGCAAAGCATTGGCAAAACATGGCAAAACTGCAAAACCAATCTTGAAATTGGCATTTTCGTCTTGAAATTTTCTCGAAACTTCCTTTCTATGCGCTTCCATGCACCGTGTGAATCAACTCTGAACAACATTTGAGAGCCTCCTCTTCACTTGCAGATGGGCCGCTTAGCCCTAGTATGTAGTAGGAGTCTCGTTCCTGAAAAACATCTTGCATCAACTTGCACACTCTAAAGGGCCCAAGAGTACGACGCGGTGCCTGGACCGTGTGCGTGTCACCGTGTGTGTCACCGTGTGTGTCACCGTGTGTGTCACCGTGTGTGTCACTGTGCCACGCATCTTGAAGCTTTCAGTTGCCCTTGGCACGGGCCTCCGCCAGCTTTGTGACTTGCTTCAGCTCATCCCGCTGCCGTACGAGTCGCATTACATACCTTATGCTTCCAACAAATTTCAAATTTCAAGCTGTGGTTCATTAGTGGTTGGGCCCTGGTAGTGGTCCCACCCTCTTCAAAGCCCATCGTGGTGGTCCCTAGCTGATGTTCCCCTTCCACTGCCACTTGTCCTAACTTGTCCTCACTTGTCCTCACTTGTCCTCACTTGTCCTAACTTGTCCCTTTTCGTCTCATTCACTTTTGCCCCTGACTGCATCCTGAGCACTCTTCAATGAGCCGATTCTGAGCTCTCAGTGTCTCTAACGACATCTGCTGCGATTCTGCCTGCACTCAGACTCGAACAAATCCAGCAAATCCAGTCAAAAGGATTCAAGTCTTCGGAGAATACCATACCGAATCATACCTGTCAATAAGATTCAACACACATCCAACATCATCCAACACAGCTTCAGACACTTTCAGATACTTTCAGCTGAAGATGCTGAAGCGTCTTGCAGATTAGCCTCGAGCTCAATTTCCTGCTTGCCGAGCCTGAAGAAAGCTGGTCACCGCTAGTCCAACTCATGGAATTCACTGCACGGGTATCATATGTAGCAAGCACTGACTAGGTAGAGTATGGTACTATGGTACCGGTACAGTGATCTGCTTCAAACTCTCTTCCAAACTGAATGCCTCTCGAGAGGTGCCAAGACATGTGAGCATGTGAGCTTGAGGAGTGAGCTCTTTCAGCACGCCACCATCGCCAAACGCCTGATGCAACAGCCCAGTTGCAGCCAGGTGATGCACATCCGTTGCTGGATGATATGTAAGCTATGTGAGGGTCACGCATCGCTAAGTCTAAGTCATTTTCAGTATGAATCAGTCCCAAGACTATGCCAAAGGTAATATGCCTTTCTCTCACGGGAAGCCAAATCCTATTCCCTCAGGGGAAGCGAGACAAATCACGGAAGTAAATCAGCGCGTATCAAGGCCTTGTCAGTGGAGGGACGCTGGGGTCGCTCCTAGCTGAGTTTCAAGCGTCGGTGAACCCATTGTTCGCTCTTGTGATATCAAATGATATCAAGATATATTCAAATGATATCAAGATATCAAGATATGTCAAGTATTTATAGGGAGCAATTCTACTTTCAGCCTACTTTCTCATCTCTTGACCCACTGACGGCCGTCCTTGGAAGGTGGAGCTCCTGGGAATAGGACTAAAAGGCGTCAAACCATCAAAGCAATTAATGCCAAGTCAACGCAGCCCTGTGTCATGTGCATGTGACACATGAGGCAAGAGTTATCAGCAACCAAAACTCAGAGCCGGCAGATATCATGTTCTCAGAACAAAGTCGCCGAGTCAACATGAAAAGGGTCTGAAATTCTACGTTTAACATACTGAGACATACTGTAATGCAGAGTAAATATGTTCACAGCATTAGGAAGTCTCTTGCTGTCTGCCTGTATGCATGTGCTTTCAGACTGAAGCAAAGAGGCCGCCTTTTTGCGAAGATTTCCTGGTTCATAGACTTACTCAGGCAAGGCAAGAGATAAAATCGTGGCAGGATCGGGTCAGGGTGACCTTCGGACACTGAACTGTGATGAACTGTGCAAGTCTCTGATTTACGCAAGTTACTTCATGTTACTTCCACATTGCGCCGGTGTTGCTTTCACTGCTTCATCGCTGTATGTCCTACCTTCCGGCAAACAGACTGAACCATCGATGAGAGATTGCGGCAAACTCCACCCTGTTCATGGATGATGTCCTCTACTTTGCTCAGGGCCGCCTTTCCATGTTCATGCGGCAAGCTCAGCAGGGTCTGCTTCGCGCGTTCATCTATGGTACATCCCACCATTCCTTGCAACTGGCATAGGTGTTGCTCTAACTCTTCTTCCGTCTTCTCCTCTGGTGGTTCCATCAACTCTTCCACTTTGCGATCAGGTTCATCAAGACTGTGAATCTTGATATGTGGGAACGTTTCCTTGAGCAAAGTCTCGACTGATGTGGTGTTGCCGTTTGTGCCGTTTGCAACAGGACCTGTCAGACCTGTTACTTCTGTATTTCCCACCGACATTTCACTTGGACCTGTGACCAAGTTGGACTGGTAGCCATCTGGGGACAAACTTTCCACCTGGTCCTGGAGACGTCGAGCAAATTCTTCGGCCTCTGCCTTGGGCACGGCATACATTTCAAAAACCTGGTTGTAGGCGGTGACTTCGATTTGCCTCAATTGACACTCTGTCTCATAGAGCTGGGTTAGCCGTTCATTTTCTGCTTGGAGTGCGGCCATCTTGGCTTCCATCTCATGCAACTCAGCATTGGGTTCATCGGTGTTCATCGAGACGCCATTCACCATGCCACCCATGCCTCCCATGCCACTCCCCATGCCACCCATGCCACACGAACCAGGGAAGGGAACGAAGAAAGCCATGGCTTGACCATTGCCACAAAACTGCTCTCCATTCAACGGCTCTCCAGGTGTAAATTCTGTCGCATCGGCACTCCAGTTCCAAGACTGTGTCTGTTCTTGCCATGCTTGGGGATGGACACCCATGTAGCCTCAAAGCAAAATCAAAAAGGCAGGTCAACTGCATCGCTTATCAATGAAACATGTTTCAGCAAAGCAACATGGCTCACTTTGTTCACTTTGTTGTGAAATGCTATGCTGTGAAATGCAACAAACACATGACCAGGTCATCACCCAGTCATACTGCAGCAATGCCAGTGCTAATGCCGTACTATCCTATCCGGTCCTATCCGGTCCTATCTGTCCTATCCCTAAGCAAGTCGAGCCAAGTCGAGGATCCTCCTGGCGAGCCAGGTTCTGGAGTGTCACATCCGCTGTAGGAGGCTGCGCGACCATCCGTCATGGCTTCAGCGGCTTCGCTCATTTTCTCAAAAATGTTTCAAAAAAGGAATCCAGGAGCAACCAGGAGCAACCGTGCAGGATCATGCAGGCACCCAAGTATTGATGTGGCCCGAAAGAGTAAGGAGCAAACTAAGAACTTTCTGGATCTGTTCATTTCTGCCACGTGTTGTATCATATAAGCTCTCATGACCGAGCATGAAATCAAAACTTGGGCCTGAGCAATAACACCAAGACATGCATCACAAGATTGTACAGTGTCAACCGCTCTTTCTGCTTTGCTGTGCACCTTCGCAATCACAATTAAAACATATTAAAACATATTAAAACCAACTGATGCACTTGTACCTCATCTTCACATGCCAACTTCATATGACTTGATATCCTAGCCATCATAGCCATCACAGCCAATCACTAGGTTCTTTGCGGTCCTGCAATGCCCGGCCAACCTTCAACGTGAAGCCTTGCCAGCTCTAGCCAAACCTGGCAGTCTTCGATGCAAGCTGAGATATTTGCCAAAACATAGAAAAATTGTGGAAAATTGTGAAAAATTGTGAAAAATTGTGAAAAATGGCAAGAAAAGAAGCAAATCCAGTCCCTGCCAGGGACTTCTTCCCCAACGAGCCCATCTGCCCACTCTTTTTAGGACTCGTTTCACGGAGGCTCGTCAGTTCGCCAACGAAGGCCGCAGCTGGGACACTGCGCGGCCAAGCGCGCCTTAGGCTCAGATTCGACTCATTCGACTTGAATCAGTTGAAGAAAGTTGAAGAATGTTGAAGATCAAAAAGATCGAAATGAGATCGAAATGAGATCGAAATGACTCAAAACGCTCAAAGGTGAAGGATCTCCTGACTCGTGACCCTTCTAAGATCTCAGCATGGTCAGTTCCGCCCAGCGAAGCCGTCTTTCCAAGTTTGTGATGACCTCCGACCTGAGATGGTCATGAAACAGAAGCTTCAAGCCCTTGAAGCCTTCGAAGCCCTTGAATGTTTGAAATGTTTGAAAGCCGATCTTGTCCGATCTCCGAGTAAATGCCACGTGACATGAGGAATGCGATCATATCGCACGCCCCAGCTGCTGCAGCCCTGCCCAAACTTCACCAAAGCTGATGCCATTTCGAAGCTTTGCAGAGGAGTTTATCGCTGCGTCCGCAGCAATCTGATTCCAAGTGAGTGTAGGATAGTTTAGGACTTTAGGGTGGCTATTCATGTTCATGGAAGGCATACTTTTTTGTCTTTCTATACCTTGTTTTTTTGCTAAGAAACTTCACGAGCACAACCAGCTGGTGCCTGACACTGGATCTTCTCGCTGAAGAAAGGAAAGGCGCTAGCAGCTTTGGCCGAGTTCGCCTCTTTGGCTGCCCGTTCCGCAGCATCTGCCTGGGCCAACTGGGCCAACTGGGCCATCCGACAAGATCCCACGAGCCAACCCCGAGCCAACCACGAGCAAAGAGCAAAAGGTGCCGATCCGTCAGTTGTCGTTGGGTCTTGCTGCGTTTTGCTGCGTTTTGCTGCGTTTTGCTGCGTTTTGCTGCGTTTTGCTGCGTTTTGCTGCGTTTCTGGGTTCAATGCCTGATGCTGGGCTAGGCGCTCCCTCTGCTCTTCAGGTAAGAGCTCCTGAGCTTGATGACATCACGCCAAATGCAACCTGTGTGAAAATGACACATCCAATATCATCAAAGCCTCCAAAGAAAGACACGGAATGGCAAAAAAAACACAAAACAACGCAAACTCACATGGATTTCATGAATACCCTGCCAAGGTCTTGTCTGCACGTGGTGGACTTGAACCACTATGGAGTGACGCTTAGGTGATTCCTCGTGGGCACAGAAAAAGTGCCAGTATCTAACCGTGTGTCAGGAGGCATGTCTTGTCTCAGTTGAGCATCACCACTTTCTTCAGCACGAAGAAATGAACGTGGGGAAAGCCTCAGTTCTCTTTCTTCAGCTGTCAATTTTATTTCGCTCCCTGTCTTGCGATGTGTTGCTGAATTCTTGGCTATGAATATTGGGATTTGTTGCAGCCATTTTTATTTAGGCCAAACTGCAAGAAGTGCTTTGCAAAACATGCAGCAAGTGCCTAGGTGGACCGCAGGGAAAAATCATTAACCTTTGATAAACCTCCGAGATTGCTTTGGAAAAATCGGCAGTCGGTGACTCTTTCAGAGGCCACTGCTGCCCCTCCATCAATGACTCCACCATGCTTCTGTTGGCCTCCAATAATTTCAACATGAGGGCAACTCAAGCTGTGTGTGTCTCCTTCGAAACAGCCCCTGGAAACGCTTCGACCCTGATCCGCCAACACGTATTCAGCTTTGTTTTCCATGATTAACCAAGTCACCTAATTTTGGAATCCTGGCGTTCAGAAACTTGTTCCAGTTTCAGAGGAAGCAACACGTCCAACCAACACGTACACAAGCTGCGAATAAAATGTACTGAAGACTCAAGACTGAGCTCGAGTAAGAGAACCCTTTCCGTCAAGATTCAGACCCAGCTTTGCCTGTAGACGCATACCTTGCAGTACCCGCCGCAAGCGAGCACCTGAACCGCATTTGCAGAAGGAAGGACATCAAAGGAGTCAAATTCAGACATTCGGACTCTTGACTGCAATTCATTCAGAAGCTCTTGAAAACTGAATGCAAAGTTCCCTGCAGATCCGAGGATAACCAAGGCCCAAACGGTAGCCACGTTCAGCCTACCCAAGCTCATCAAAATCATCCAGGATGTGACAACAAAATGATTTGGTCTCAATATGTTCTACCTTGTTTGTTCATCCAAGATCTTATAGATCTTATGCATTGCTTACACATTGATTATTATATTGATATAATTGTATACATATATATATATTGATGATATAAAGTAAACGTAAGTAAACCATGTTTTCCACAGCTCAGGTGCCTTGACAGCCCTGGTGGCACTTTGGCCTGGCAGGTGCACCCAAATTTACCAAAGCTGCAATCAAAGAATACCTTGAAACATACCTATCAGACCTATCATAAACTGCCATATACATGATATGACATGATATGATAAGATATGAAACTATCACGTACTATCATAAACTATCCATATCTTGACAAAACCATACAAAACCATTGAGAACTGATGTCCATCTCTGGCTAGACGCAACATCCAAGTGATTCTCCGCCCGGAGATGTGAATATTACGAGAAGGACGTTCGTCTGTCTCCCTGGGCAGCCAACCGGTGATGGGATGCACTCCGACCAACTCCTCCGGCCACAATGTGGAGCAGAATCTAATCTTTACACCACTTTTACTTCATGTCAAACACAATGTGTGCCGTCCATGAAACTGTGTGAGCTCCAAATTCTCTGACTTGTACTATAAGTCTGTCCGAAGCAAGGTCGTTCAGAATGGAATTACATCGAAACTTGTTCGCTGTGTTTTCCGATCTCTTTGACACTCTTTCTCCTCCTGCAAAAGGGCCTCAAGTTGCCATGCGACAAACTCTGCTGCCCAAGGGTGACCTCAATGAAGGTAGAGCATGTCCAAAGGAAACGTCCAATGCAAGTGTGGAAAAAGTGAGATGTTGGGAGGAAAGCAAAAACGAGCTAAACAACATGAGATGTTTCGAAATGTTTCAACTTAATTTTCCAGAACATCTCATACTGCGCCAAGGAGCTATTTGGACCAACGGCCTCATCAGCCAACTTGATTCTTTCAAGTCGCATGCAGAAAATCTGAAATCTGATAAAGTCAAGTATAAAGTTCAAATGTAAATAGTTTCAACATGTTTCAAGTCTTCAGAGAGTACATTCAATACATTCCTCAAGAAAGAGATCAAAAGTGTTTCCTGTGATGTGTGCCCTCTAACCTGAGCCTTTTCTTGGGATTGCATCATTGGTTTTGCAGTGGCACAGAAAAAGGGGCAGAGCACCATAGCACAACGGGCCCATTCAAACATCAGTTTTCAAAGTGTTCAACGTGACGAAGAACGAGCCTTAGCCTGAACGTGTCATCCCGTGGTCACCGACTCGGACCGACTCAGCCCACCTTCAGAGCTTCCATGAGCAAATGCAAGGCCTGGCAGTCGGACATGTTGTGTGGCGCAATGCTTAAGATCAATAGATTATTGTTCGGCCCATGTGTGCATGTGTATGTATACACATACTGTATAGATATATATATATATAATATATATATATAACGAGATATACATAATACATATATCATAATGTGTGTGTGTGTGCGCTCTCTATCTCTCCCTCTCTCCCTCACTGTGTTTCTGTGCGCATTGATCTCCGACAGTCGCACCACATTCTTCTACGTCTGTGTGGTTCATCAAACATTTCTCAGCTCTATTCTGAACCCTCTCAATCATCCTAAGGGATCTCAAGGTATCACTGTGCCGAAAACTATTCAGCCGAGCCTTTATGCGGGCCTTGGCGGACCACAGGAGGCACTGAAGGACTGAGTGCTTACTTCACCCAAGATATGATGACAAAAACCTACAAAACGTGCTTTGTCATAGAAGGCGAAACAAATGTGCGTGCTCTGACTGCTTCAAACTTCTGCACTGTGCTTTTTCCGCATACAGGTCGATCGCTTAGGCTTAGTCAAGCTTACATTGAAAGGTCTTTCAACATCATCCGATAAGGATGGAAGCCGATCCTTGCAAGTGAAATGCTCGAAAAGTCCAATCTGACCATCTTGCCTGGACTTGGCTCTGACATGCTCTGACGTTCCTATGCTTTCAGGGCTGAAAGAGGTCCGCTTCATTGCAACAATACACTTCTGGGATAACTCGCCAAGAACATGCCAAGACAGTCTTCGAATTTCAAACAATAGTGACAGTTGCTGAGGCTTATTATGCACCAAGTTTCCCCTATTCTGATTCTGCATCTGATCAGAAAAGGTCCATGATGAAGTCGCCAGCATCTTCTGCAGCTCCTGCGATCCACTCGCCTGCATCCTCTGCGGCACCTGCAACTGCCTCTCCGACATCCTCTGCTGCGCCTGCCATGGGGATCAATCAAACGAAACACACTGAATGCTGAACCACAGAATCCGAGTTCTCAAATACCTTCAAGCAACACCCATACTTTCATGACTCACATCCGAAATGTACTGCCCTCCAAATTTGACAAGATTTCTGTTCTCCCTTTTCCAGTCTGCGCCTGAAATTGCCTCTCCTGCGTCAGCTGCGACATCACCAAGTTCTGCCATGGTGGCATCCCAACCCTCTTCTGCAATGTGCTCACCAAGGACAGCACCTGCAACTGCAAGACCGCCCACTGCCACTACCCCAGCTGTTCCAGCAGCCACCTTCGCTCCAGTACTCCAACCACCTTTTTTTTTCTCTTCTTCTGTTGCAGGAGCAGCAGGAGTTGGTGCTGCGGGTGTGGGCCCAGATGGTGTTGGTGCATCGGGCACTGGAGTGGGCAAATCTTCATCCTTGGGAATTGGGACCAACATGGCCGCACCAACCTTGGCCTTGGCTGGCACATTCACGGCAATAAACTGGCCCTTCTTGGCAGGGTGCGGCACATGGATGCATGTGCCTGGTGATCCAGGAGGCACCTTGATGCAAAAGGTTGGGCCAGCTTCCACAATGGGTTTCTCTGGTTGTTTCCACTTGTATGGGGCACGAATCTCACGAGACTTGCCGGTGCGCATGTTCTTCTGGCTCATGCTCGCGAAATCCACTTGGTACGCCTGGCCTCTCAGTTTGTACTTGGCATGAGGGAAACCTGCAAGGTATGCTCGTTTCAAGATCTTGTCCTCATTGCCTTCGTAGTTCTGACAGGGCGTCAAAAGAATTGGAGAAATCATGAAAAATCCAGGGATTTGGTTCAATTTCTGTGAAAGCATTGTGACTCATGATTTCCGTTTGGCCGTTTGGGATGTCCTTCCAATTCCCGGAGAGTTTCACCTGGAAATGATCAGCTGGCATCTTGGAGTCCTGCACCAAACGGATGGTGGAACAACACAGGGGCAGCAAAATGGGAGTTGCAAACAATGTATCAATATTCAGCAAAAGCAAGATTTTCACCCTGGTCTACGATGTCGAGACAAAGCGCTCCTCCTCTTCAACTGAAAGATACGGGGCTACACTGTTCGAGCCACAAATGTTCTTACTCTGGCCATGCATAAAACATGAGTTTTGACTTGCTCAAGAAATTGCACTTGGGGACTTTTGTCTTGAAAGAGTGAAGTCTTTAGTTTTTCTTCTAAATCTGTGACATTTCACAGTTGTGATCTGAGATGCCTGCCACGTCGCTAGCATCTCTGTCGCAGTGCACATCGCCCATTGCACCGATGGAAGATCCCGTTCCATCATATTCAGTCAATGCACAAACACCTTCCAACCAGTGCCCAGTCAAACAAACTTAGTTTGCACTAGTTGAAAGGTGCGCTTTTGGGTTCACCTCTACACTGCAATTTCATCTACTTTATGTACTCGGTTTCTTTGGCAACTAGCTGTGCATGTGTATATATATTATAGCATATATTAGATATACACATCATGGTGTGTATCATATAATGTATCATGTTCTATCTAATACTCTACATAATACTATATATCATATTATATGATTAAATTGAAAATGTCATTATTGACCATCCTTGACCGACTATCAGGTTTCATTTACCCGATCTATCTACTCCGAGGTCAATGGACCGCTTGAGCCATGCTCGTTCCGTTGCCAAAGGACCAAATCTCTGACAGGTGGAACGAGTGGAACATGAAACGAGGTGGAACGATGTGGAACGGCGAGACCTGCAACTTGGTGCATTCGTCTTGGCTGCCTGCCAGGCCTCAGATCGCAGTGCGGAAGCACGGAAGCCTTCCATGCGTTCCATGCGTTCCATGCGTTCCAGGCGTTCCAGGCGTTCCAGGCGTTCCACGGGGCCTTGCCAGGCTCCTAAGTCTCGTAAGTCTAAGTCTAACACCGAGCGTACCACAACTGCGAAATTGCGCCTGTCAGTTGTTTCATGGAACAAGCTGAACAAGGATCAAACAAGGATCAAACAATGAATCATGAACAATCCAAACGTGTCATCACTGAGGATCACCATTCAGGTCCTCCCATCGATATGGCAAAAAAAGACCGTCTGCCTTCAGAAGCAGCCGCCTCAATGCAAGGTTCACCTGGAAGCGATGAAAAATGAAGAAAAACACTTTTGGGACAAACACCTAAAAACTGTTCATAAAACACTTTACTTACTTTCCTTTTGGTTCATTCGTTACTTTTGAGATGTTAAAACTTTTCAGAAAAAGAAGTTGTAACGGAGCAACTCCTCCAATCGGACGTGATGCCTGCTCTGGGGAAATGTCTGTGAGCCGCTCCAGTCGAGGGTCACCTACATGTGGCCACTATGCCACTTCGGTTGCACAGAACTTCGACTCTGAGCCTACTCTACTTTTCAAGAGGCAACCAAAATCCAACAAATACATTGTTCTATGTAATAGTAAACATAATATATATATATATAATTTATATATATTTATATAATCATGACAGTTGCTATATCATATGAATCAAATGTTGATAAAGTCATGATGCGTCTCTGTTTGTCTCTATTTGTATATATATATATATACACATACTATTTGTAATATTTTTTTAAATAATTGTATATAACATCTTTACATATCTATACATATCTATGCAGATCTATGCAGATCTAAATAGATCTATGCAGCATGTGTCAATAAATTAAGACATAACTTAGAGATACTTAGAGTCTCTCCGATGCTAAGCTGCTAAGCATTCGGCCGATCTCCAGGATGCACTGCTCCAGGGCCTCTTCGAGGACCTCCACGACACAGGGACATCATTTCGGGAGGTCACAGGCCCAAGGCTTCACAGGTCGGCTTCATGAGGGGAAAAATGCAATGCCATGAAAATGATATAGAAAATACAAAAAGAATTTGAAAATTTTGAAATTAGAAAGATAAAAAAAGGACGTGTAAAGCCTGTAGAGATCAAATGCGAAAGGCTTCTGCGTGTCCAAAAGAGAAAGGATGCGTACTGGTTTTCTCGTTTTCTCAAGATTGGCCTAGCAGCACTCCCTTTCATCCAACCTGCTGCGGGTGCTTGGAGAACACTGCCTGCCCACAAGCTGGTCAGAGTTTGCGTTTCGAGATCTGACAGTCTGACAGTAGTAAGAAAAGTCAACTTGTGACAATTGACATCAACTGATTCAATGACATTCGAAGCACTGCATCAATAAACCAAGCCCTTGAAGCATGAAAAATGAAGTAGATACAGCAAGTCACGATGGAAAGTGCCGCAGAACTCCCAGTGCTCCCAGTGCCCCGCCTGAAAAAGCCAGCTCCCTAACCCTTGCGGGTTGAGAAGGCCACCCTGAATGTTGGTGGCCATGGACTGGACTACTCTTCTTATCACTTCTCATTTCTCTCGTAATGTTTCCTTCTGAAATCGAAATTGGATGAAATCGGATTGTAGTATGCTCATACAGTGAATCGTACATGATCATAGTGGATCATTTGAGTTGGAATCATCTTGCTGGTGTCATGTCATGGCATTTTGGCTGTACCTTCAAAGAGAGAGCATAACATGGGCAGCCTCTGCAAAAAGCCCTGAGAGGACATTCAGCACAGCACCACCCCTGAGGTCTGGCCTTAGCTTCGTCAGCAAAGCATTGTCCGACCACTGAACCATGACTAAATCCAAGAGCCCCCGACAGCATGGAAGTTTCAGAAGTTGGTGGCACTGCTGTTTCAGCACAACCTCCGCTGATTGATTCGCAAGCTGCTTCGCAAAATGTTCAAAAACCTCCACTTCCGGTGGGTCAAACTTGCGTTGGTTTGGGCATAATTCCGGACATGAGTCCATTCACAAGAATCTACACATCAGTCCGCCTTGAGAGATCAAGTAAATGACATCGTTACAAAGTTGCTTTTACACTCCAAAAACTGATGAAAGTAGCCCTTCTGAACTGCACAGGATTTGTATGGATTTGTAACGTACATACCAGACAAACCATCACTGCCTTGTTCTAAGACCAGCATGCAATGTCTTCCTCCTAGTTGACCTGCACAGAGCAAATGTCCGAAGTGCTGGAAAAAGGCAGAACATTTCTATTTTCTTTTCAACATTCGAAACAAATCAAAACAGTATCCGCTCCGTTGAAGTTTAGATAGACAGTGATCTGATAGACAGTTGCAACTTGTGCCAATTGGATTTGCAACGAAGAGTACACGTTCGCTTGCCTGCAACCCACTGTCGAATCGCCTGTCTGGAAGCATCTGACCTGCCAGAAAATGTGCAAAAGTTTAGACCATCAAAGGCGGTCTTGTCTGTGGAGCAAGGACCCGAGAGCATTCCGTTGGCAAAACTAAATGAGGAAATTGAGGAAACATCACATTTTTTGAATCTTTCAAACTGAGTTCCTTGCTGGCAACGCAGATCAGTAGATTTGGAATACAGTGAATACAGGTTCAACAAAAGTCTTGGAGCCCCTGCAAGGTACTCCATTCCATCTCGGCATCTTGAGCCTGCAGCCAAATCAAAGCACAAATTAACGCAAGACACCTGTGGTTCATAGCCACAAGAGGACCATTTTTTCTGTGGCAACCTACATGTTCTACAATCCGAAATTCGGTTTGGAACCACACATGTTTAATGTATGCTAGAGGGTTTATTGCGCTGCTCTTAGGTGAATCAGGGTTTCCATTTGTCCACACGGTATGGTACATGCACCTGGTCTGGTCATTACCAAGTAAATTTGCAAATCAGTGTCTGGAGTTCCCCTCCTGTGCTGAGTTGCGAAGCTGCAAAGCACGGGGGAGCCTAGCAAATTTCAGTTAATTCAAACATCAAAACATCAAGTTCACCTTAGATTTGCTAAGTCTGAATACATTTCACTTCGGTTTGGTTTTGAATTTGTTTTCGAAATTGCAAAAAAATCAGTGTGTGATGAAGTCTCCAATTTGCAAAGCACTCGCTCTCCAGTTTCAAATAATTTCTGCCAGCATGGCGGATCACGCCGCTCTGAGCGCAGGTTTGCCTCCATGACAACCAAGGCATAAGCATGAACTTTGTAGAAACAAATTGGGAAGAAAATCGACCAAATCGGAGTGTCTGGGAAAGCGTTGGGGAAGAAAGCGAAACATGTTCTTCAACACAACAAAATAGGTTGCGAGATTTTATGATGCACAAGAAGAAACGATCAATACAATCCATAGTTCTCGCTTTGATCCTGCAATTCTACATAATTGCAGCATGCTCTTGGATCCAAAGATTGCATGAATGATGATGTCCTTGAATATCTTAGAACTCTAGTCTATCAGAATGTTAGAACATCAAGATTTGGAAAATCCACCCCAAGCCTGTGGAAGGTCTGGTCTCAACCACTGTTGCATGACCTGCACCATGTCTGGTAATGCACCATGTCCATCCATATCCATTCACGTCCCCCAACGACTGTTATCACATGTGATGCGATTGTCATGTGATTGCGATGTGATTCACAAACATTTCAGGGGTCGCAATTGGAGCGCCTCTGCGCGACCCTTGGGTTGGACAGAGCCAAGACCTCAGGGACACATCTGGGCATCTGGACATCTCTTGCCTGCTGCATGCTGCATGTTTCCACGCTGCATCATGGTTGATAGGAAGAAATCTACCAAGGTCTTCCAAGCGTCGCTTTCTTTCTGAATTGGCATGTCAAGGTTGTCGGGGGGGTTGCCTTGGACAAAGGCGCGTCTTTGCTCTTCCTAGGGGTCTGGGACGTCGTTGTAATGGAGAACCAGGACTGTGGGCTTCTGACTTGACCGTAAAATGGAAATGGACGGTGACGCCCAGCACCCATCTTTCCGCCGTTACATTGGTGCAGATAGTTGGTCACCATATCCGTACCAGAAGGCGGCGGTGCCACTGGAGACTTTGCTGTCCTTGCAAATAACCACGTTGAAAAGGGGCGGCTCTCTGGGGATTGCCGCTGCTGAAGGTCGTCACTACATCCTTGATCCGCTGATCCAACTGGACTGGGTCTAGCTCCGCTGCAGGTGTGCCGATCATGGCTGCAGCGCCAATCAGGCGCGCCTATCTTGGAAAGAGCTGGTATTCTCACACCTCTCAGACCTATCCTGATCTGAACCTGGGGTAGAAGATGCCATAAGAAACATGGGCAGCGCCAAGACCTCAACTGCCAGACGCCTATACTTTTGTTTTTTATCTGCTGTCGTTGCTGGATTTGCTTTGAAGTCTCAGGCAAATAAAGCAGCATGTGCTACAAGACCTGAGAATAGGTGAAATTAGGAAAATCGCAACACCCAGCACGTGGGTGTAGGGTTCTGATCTAGGTGCATAATTTCACAAATTGCTCTGGTAATTCTGGAGTGAAAAATTGAATCTGCAAAGAGGCCTGGTCTCTGGTCATGCTCGTCTTGTGGTTCGGTGTACAGAACCTGGGCTGGAATTGAGATAATTGAGGAATTTGACCAAGACTCTGCAAGAGTCAGCGAGGGCAGCGGGAAAAACTTGAAGAAAAGACAAGACTCAGCTGACTCAGCTTCAAGCTAAATCATCAACCATGGTTGGCAGGCTCAAGTCCCGCTGCAACGAACCTGTACGTTTTGCTGGCTTCAATAAATCAGCTTCAATTCATTTTAATTCGATTCAATTTACAGCATGATGAGGTCGGAAAGAGTGAGGCTCGGCCCTTCAGTTCCGCATGGAAAGAAAGGTGATAGCCTTCACTGCCACTCACTTTGCTCGCTCTCCGCTGACCTGAAGCGTCCGAACATGTCTTTCCCGCATCCTACAGGCTCCTACAGGTCTATTTCAAAGCTGCAACCAGTTGCTGAGTTCGAAGCTGTTATTTGGAGCTTGTGAGAGCTTGCTTTGGAGAAGGGACTCCACCTAGCAAAAAAGCAAAGGAAAGAAATGTATGTGCCACTCTGGCTGCAATCACTTGGGCTGAATTTGCATGGGAAAGCAAAGACCGTCATCAAAGTCCAATGACTGGGTTAAGCCCTGCGCTGTTTGCACAAGAGAAGCCTGAAACTGTCCCGGTGATACCTGCACATGATGCACACCGGTACCCGTCAAAGTTGGGTTTCCGAAGAATGGGATGGTTTGACACTGAAATTTCCGCAAGAACTGCAGTGCCATGTTTCTTAATATTTTGACCCATACCACACATGGCCCTACCTCAGTGCAAGCGCCATGATTTTGATGTCACAAAAAAGTTGCCAAAGCAGATTGTGCAACTCACCTTGTAGCCCAAGTCTTCAATTCCAGCTCCTCCAAATCTGTCCATCTCTTAAAGGTGAGTAGAAGGAGTAGAAGGAGTAGAAGGCTCCAAGAAATGTCATGACACGGCCTGGTCCAAAGGAGCTTGGAGGTCCCTGGGGCACCGGTGATCCACCTCGACAGAGCTTGACAGAGCTTGACAGCACCGAGAAGGCTAAAGCACAGTTGTCAGGACCGGTCAAGCCTAGGATGTTCCTCGTGTAGGCTGTCCGGCCTAGGTCACGAACAACAGGAACAGCAGGAACAACCCAAAAATAAATCTGATTCTACTAATTCTATCTAATTCTACCTGATTCTATATCTCTACATGCAATAGTGAATGAAGAAAGAAAACTGAGACAGGATGACATCATAAGGTGCCAGCCAGGCAAGTTGTGGGGCGGCACTGGGCCATTCCCTCGCGGATGCATGGTTCAAGTTACAAGCTTTGTTGGACTCAGACCTGCCCCTCCCCTTGCTGAAGCAAGAGTAACTCCATCTAGCTACCGCTAGCTTTCGTGGCAAAGCAAGAAGTGTTTAGCATCTTCTCACATCCGCACAGAATTATATAACACATCTCCCAATTGCCAGCCTCTGTCAAAGGAAGAACAGTCGATCGAAGAAGCTGCACAGGTAAAGATCATGAAGCATACGCACACAAACATTTGGAGAAAAGTCAAAACCGAAATGATTGGTTGCACAATATGAAACAGCTAAAACTGTGCCGGAGCAAGACTCTGGTTGCCCAGGCTCGTGCGTTCTGTTCCTCTCTGAAGTTTTCAATGAGGTTGTCCAAAACTGACTTCTTCTGTCCCCATTTCTCCCCTGTGGAAGCCACAATTCAAGGGAGCTCGCCTGCTCGTTGCGGTGGGCCTCCATTGTGATTCCGAGAACTTAAAATAAACAACAGATGATCGAATGACATCAAAATCACTATCTGTCATGAACTCTCGTGTGCCGCAGGACCCAACTGTGCCCAACTGTGCCCAACTGGACCTCTCCCAACGTCACCGGTTGGCTCCCGAGGAAGAGAGCTGCCGCGCTGGGATGAGGGACACCTCGAGGCAAGTGTCGGTATCTGGTTTTTTCAAAACGCGTACTGCGCGTACTGTTGAAATCTCCTTGAAATCTCTTGAAACTCTGGAGAATTGCTTCACCTCTGATAGCATTGCAGATTGATCCTCTGACTTGGTCATAATTCGATTCGAGGAAACGGTCCGAAGAACCGAGAAAACCCTCTGCCACAGAAGGGGAGAACCGTCGCAATCAAAGTGCACAAGCAACATACTACTACTACTACTCCTACTACTACTCCTACTACTACTCCTACTACTACTACTACTCCTACTACTACTCCTACTACTACTCCTACTACTACTCCTACTACTACTCCTACTACTACTCCTACTACTACTCCTACTACTACTCCTACTACTACTCCTACTACTACTCCTACTACTACTCCTACTACGACTCCTACTACTACTCCTACTACTACTCCTACTACTCCTACTACTCCTACTACTCCTACTACTCCTACTACTCCTACTACTCCTACTACTCCTCCTACTCCTCCTACTCCTGCTCCTACTCCTACTAGTACTACTACTACTACTACTCCTCCTCCTCCTACTACTACTACTACTCCTACTCCTACTCCTACTCCTACTCCTACTCCTACTCCTGCTGCTACTACTACTAGGACGACTACTACTACGACTACGACTACGACTACCACTAGCACTAGCACTAGCACTACCACTACCACTACCACTCCAAAGACCTAGTTGCACTTTGGGCCCAATATGGAATCTAAGACATTCTAAATGGAATCTAAGACTTGGATATCAAAGGCAAATCAAGGGCAGTGCTCACCGGGCGGTTCGCCTGGGGGCAGATGAGGAGCGAGACGCTGCTGGAATTCCTGTCACGGGCATTGAAGGTTCTTTAAACTACTTTAAACTACTTTAAACTACTTTAAACTACTTTAAACTCTGTGTTCCAAGACTTTCGGGATCTACAGGGATCATCAGGGGATCCTCAAGGGCCACTTTTGGTTTCACAGACCCAACTACTCTTTCTCTGCCTCTAGCGCTCTGCGGCCGGCTCGGGGAATTCTCTATGGTCCTGGACTCCTCGCAGGCAGGCTTCAGAAGCATCAGCTAAATTCAGCTATATTTATAATATATCCAAATGCTTCAAATGCTGCGAAGCCGAAGCAACGTACAATGCATTCGAATTCAATGTCTGCCACCAACTGCAGCCTTGAGCTGAGTCAAGCATATGCGAGCCCCTTTTCTTCGCTTCACTGGTCCGACTATTGGTCCATATCCCTTTTTCTTCTTTGGTTCATAAGTTGACAACAGCCTCTCAGTCTAATCACTCTAATCCTAACACTCAGGCGACTCAAGCCCACTGCCGTGATACATGACCCATTTTGCGGCAAACAGACTGCACCATGGAGGACAAGTTGTGGCAAAATCCTCCCTGTTCTTGAATAATGTCTTCGACCTTGCGCAAAGCCAGCTTTCCCTGTGTTGGTGACATCCTCAACAAGCTGCCTTTGGCTCGATCATCAATCTCCATTCCTGCCAAGCTCTGCAAATGAGACAAATGCTGCTGCAGCTCCTCCTCTTCTTCCGGAGTAACTGGTAGGGAAGCTTCGTTGGCTTCCCAATCCCGAGATCTGCCTTGTTCTTCCTCACGGTTCTCACGTTCTTCATGATCCTCAGGCTCGTAGAGTTTCTTGTAAAGATCTTGCAACAAACTTTCCAACGAAGTGGCCGAGCCATTCGTTCCAGGCGATCCTGCTGTGGTACTAGCATTCGACGCAGACACAAAGGGTGTGGTGGTCTCTCCATAATGCATCTGCATGGCAGTAGGACTATCTTCTTGAAAGCGTCGGACTAACTGTTCCACTTCTGAACGTGGTACAGCATACATTTCAAGGATTTGCTGCTTCGCACTCACTTCAATCTGCCTCATGTGCCGCTCATTCTCACAGAGCTGCATAAGCCTTTGATTTTCTGCTTGCAGTTTTGCCATTTTAGCTTCCATCTCATGCAAGTCAGCCTTTGTTGTAGTCGCTTGGGGAGCCTCTACGTTCTCCTGGTTGGTGTTGGTGTTGGTGTTGGTATTGGTCATGGGCACGCCACCAACCATGCCGGGGAAGGGAACGAAGAAAGCGACATTGCCACAAAATTGCTCTCCTGTTGTATATTCTGTTGAATCCGTGCCCCAGTTCCACTGTTCTTGCCACTGCGGGTAGACTCCCATGTAGCCTTGGCAAACAAAATCATAGGGACTACTTGCAAACTCCAAATGCAAACTCCGACGCAGCAAGCACACGGTTTGAGACACTAATCACTAATCATTAATCATTAATCTTTATACTTCACAAATGCTGCACAAACATGCATGAACTTTGAAGTTTTCGGAGTTTGCAAGCCGAGCTGCTTGAGTTGTCGTAGCCTGTATAGGCCTCTTGCATTGCCCCTGTTGATGCCATGGCTTCTGCACGTCGGACTGTCTCGAAGTGACTGGCCAAACAATTTTGTGTGCCCCCAGTGACAATGTTGAGTCAATTCTGAGGGGAAGTCATCCGTGACATCTGAAGCTAAGTGGAACAGCGTTACTGCAGTGTTTCTGTGACCCATTCGTGATTCACAGGGACACGGGGCAAGTCCCTCCTGAAAAACATCGGCAGAGTCGGCACACATAATTCACATACATCTCAATAAAAACAAGAAAAACATAAACAGAACAAATCTCGCTCCACGGCACAGTGCAGCAACTCAGGTCTATGAGGCTCCCGGTCCCTGAGTCCCTACAGGCCCTACAGTTTGCTTCTGTCTCCTTTCTGGGAACAGGCGGAGGACGCTCGCACACCTGAAGTGCTCATTCCATCTCCAGTGAACAACTCTACAGACTTCATGCTGGCAGTGCCAACAGCTTGACCTGTCACTCAATTCTCGGCCTGGTCCATAAAGCGAGGCCACAATCGACCGCCTCCTGAATGATTACACACCGGCCCAAAGTCATCAGGAAAAATGTTTGAAACATCTTGCCTTGCATGTTAGCTTTGTTAGAGCTTACTTCGATGCTGATGGACTGATAGACCACTAGTTTTGCCTGTCATTAACACAGAAACGGAGAGCACAAATCACGAGGATGCCACCGTAGATTGCTGCTGAATGCTGTTGCTGGCTCCTCAAAACAAAGTCCATCCAAATCCACTGCAAATAAACCGTTCTTTGTCCTATGGTCCGCGAATACTACCAATCTGTATTCATGACTGCGGTTTTGAAGTTGCATCAAAACAATGCAAATCAACGCTATTTGATGGGTTTGATATGGTTTGACGTCAATGATATTCTGTGGATCCAAAGTTGCACTGAGCACCCTCGCGGTTTGTCACGCAAAGCAATGCGACCGATGGCAGAGAGGCGGGCTCCTGGACAGAGATTACAAAGGCATTGATCGCATCAGGTTCTATATCAAAATATACATGTCATGTCATGTCATGTCATGTAATGCATGTAATATGTCATGTCATGTCATGTCATGTCATGTAATGTAATGTATGTACTGCAACGCAAAGCAACGCAATGCAATAAAAGGTATGTGTGTAATTTACGTATGGTATGTGTGTGTGTGTGCATGCATACATGTAATGTAATGTAACGTAACGTAACGTAATGTAATGCATGTCATGTAATGTAATGTAATGTCATGTCATATCATGTAATGTAATGTAATGTAATGCAACGCAATGCAACGCAATGCAACGCAATGCAAAGTATGTGTGTAATTTACGTATGGTATGTGTGTGCCTGCATACATGTACTGTAATGTAGTGTAACGTAACGTAACGTAACGCATGTAATGTAATGTAATGTCATGTCATGTCATATCATGTAATGTAATGTAATGTATGTAATGCAACGCAATGCAATCCAATGCAAAGTATGTGTGTAATTTACGTATGCTATGTGTGCGTCCCTGCATACATGAAATGTAATGTAATGTAACACAACGCAATGCAACGCAATGCAATGCGAAGTATGTGTGTAATTTATGTATGGTATGTGTGTGCATGCATACATGTAATGTTGTGTAATGTAACGTAACGTAATGTAATGCATGTAATGTAATGTGATGTGATGTCATTTGACGCAATGTAATGTCATGCAGTGTAATTAACGTATGTAGTGTAATGTAATGCAATTTAATGTAATGTAATATAAGGTACGGTTAGGAAAGGTAATGTAATGTAAATGTAATGTAATGTGATGTCATGTCATATCATGTAATGTAATGTAATGTATGTAATGCAACGCAATGCAACGCAATGCAATGTAACGCAATGCAATCCAATGCAAAGTATGTGTGCGATTTACGTATGGTATGTGTGCGTGCCTGCAAACATGAATGTAATGTAATGTAACGTGACGTAATGTAATGTAATGTCATGTCATATCATGTAATGTCATGTAATGTAAATGTAAATGTAATGTAATGTAATGAAATTTATGTATGTAATGCAATGTCATTTCAAGTCAAGTCATGTAATGTAATTAATGTATGTAATGGGATGTAATGTAATGTAATGTAATGTAAATTACTGTAATGTGATGTGATGTAATGTAGCGCAATGTTACGTAATGTAGTGTAATTAATGTATGTAATGTAGGGCAATGTAATGCAATTTAATGTGCTGTAATGTAAGGTAGGGTAAGGTAATGTAATGTAATGTAAATGTAACGTAATGTAATGTAGCGCAATGTAATGCAATGTACTCAATGCAATTCAATGCAACGCAATGCAATGCAATGCAATGTAGTGTAATGCATGCATGCATGCATTACACTACATTGCATGTATGCATGCATGCATGTATGTGTAAGTATGCAATGTATGGTAATGAATAGTACTGTATCGTATTGCATGGCACTGTGTGGTATTGTAAGGTATTGTATGCTATGGTAATGAAACGGTATCGTAATGGAATGGTATGGTAATGCAATGGTATGGTATGGTATGGTATGTTAACACAATGCAACTGCAATGTAACGCAATGCAATGTAACGCATTGCAATGCAATGCAAAGTATGCGTGTAATTTACGTATGGTATGTGTGTGCCTGCATACATGTAATGTAATCTAATGTAACGTAACGTAACGTAATGTAATGTAATTACTGTAATGCAACAAATAGCAATGTAATGTGATGTAATGTAACGTATCTTTCTGGAACACGCTGGCGGATGAATCGTTGACATCTGACATGAATCCACTGCAGAATCAAGTGCAACTGAATGATGTTCAGGCTTTGGGTTTGGCCATGTTGACCAGGAAAAAACAGGAGGAGATCGAAGACGTCAAGGTGATCCACAGGATTGAGAGCAGATGCAATCGCCAGGGCAGTCAGTGGGTGGGGCGAGTTGTAACTGCTCTCAAGGAAAGACATGACATGAACTGACATCTGAAAGTTGACATTGCACTGTTGATACATCTTCCACATAGGACTGTCTACCAAGGGGATGACCACCACGGGGTAGTCTTCCAGAATGAGGACATTGAAAAGTGACATGCATGAAGTGAACATTGAACTTACCTTGAACCACACCAGCTGTTTTGCGTCCAAAACTTTCTGCGAATGATAATTCACTGCCAAGCTTGACCGTTTCACTATCTTTCTGGAACACGCTGGCGGATGAATCGTTGACATCTGACATGTATCCACTGCAGAATCAAGTGCAACTGAATGATGTTCAGGCTATGGGTTTGGCCATGCTGACCAGGAAAAAACATGAGGAGGTCGAAGACGTCAAGGTGATCCACAGGATTGAGAGCAGATGCAATCGCCAGGGCGGTCAGTGGGTGGGGCGAGTTGCAACTGCTCTCAAGAAAAGACATGACATGAACTGACATCTAAAAGTTGACATTGCACTGTTGATACATCTTCCACATAGGACTGTCTACCAAGGGGATGACCACCACGGGGTAGTCTTCCAGAATGAGGACATTGAAAAGTGACATGCATGAAGTGAACATTGAACTTACCTTGAACCACACCAGCTGTTTTGCGTCCAAAACTTTCTGCGAATGATAATTCACTGCCAAGCTTGACCATTTCACTATCTTTCTGGAACACGCTGGCGGATGAATCATTGACATCTGACATGTATCCACTGCAGAATCAAGTGCGACTGAATGATGAAAGGCCAAGCACTGAATGCACACACTGTTACCGCTGGGCAAGACACGAGGCCTGTTGTTCTCCCTCAGTTGCAGATAAGGCCTGGTGCCTTGACCAGCAGTTTTCAACATCGATCTGATCATGCAACGCACCAAGCTTCAAAACACGCTTCAAATCTAACCTCGATGGTCCATCCGACAAGTTGGAATCGGCTGGAACTGGTGCATACCACTGCGATCAGAATGCCACGGCCAACCACATTGGTTGTGTTGCAAGAAATCAATGCGCGCAGCACATTGTTGTCCGTGTAGAACACAGCGGAGCCACCTATAATGTCACCCCAAGTCAGAAATGCACAGAACAAAGCGAAAAACTCACATTCAAAAATTGCTGTCTTCCGGTCCATCGGGTTCAACTTCTTCAACATTGAAGGAGACAGACGTTGTGAAATAAATCTCGAAAGGTTTGCCGCCAGGCCCAAACAACACTGCACCAACGCCAGAAAAAAAGAAAAACTATCCTCATGCAGTGTTTTCGTAGCAAGCATCCGTCTGCACATACCATACATCACCACTGGACCGTCTAAGCTCACGGGGCCGTCCATCCAGCAACAAGTGCCTGCGCACTGTCAGGGCCAGGCCAGGCAGGCCTTGTCATCCAATGACGATGAAGAGCTGTAGTAGGCATGGGTTGTCACTCCAGCCAACGCACTCTTCACTGTACGTCCGAAGATGTTTCCAGATGCGAACTGTAGTCGTCCGCGCAGTCGAAGTGCCTCAGACTTCAACAACTTTTTCGGCTGCAACACTTCATTAAGAAAATTGATCAGTTCTTCTCGGCGGTTCTCTGTGTTTCCAACTATGACCAAACCAGGACCCATTGAAGAAACATTTATACTGACACCCAACGCTTGAAAGACCTGTCGAAAGTCAGGAGCCTTATCTCCGGATTCAGCAAAAAGCCAGCCCAACCATTTAAAGAACATTTGCATTCATGACTGCACTGCGGAAGCTTCTGAAGTGGTGGCTACTGACACGAAATCGTCAAAGTGGTTGGTTGTAAGCACCATGAACTCCTTGACAAGAATGTACCGCAGGCTGTGGCTTATTCGAACGAAAGCATGGACAGATCTCACAACGCCAAACGGCAGCGCTCGTATTCTGAACGTGTAAAAGCTCATAGGTGCCAGGTTTCTGGGTGACGATGTAGGCAAACTTCTGGGAGCTAGGCTTGACAGCGCATTGCCTGTATGCCCTGACAAGGTCAAAAGTGCGGCCCAGCCTTTGCTCAGAACATGGCAGCTGGGACATGACTTGCACACACATTGCAGCAAAGACATCCAGAGTATGCGGCTTCGGGCCCTCACACGTCTGCACTGTAATCATCTATGCATCTCACCTCTGCTCCTTGCTGTATCCCAAAGCGCCTGCTCAAAGGAACATCATGCGGTATTTCAGAAATGGGGATAAGCCCCACCAACGCTCCTGCAGGGTCTTCGTCCAAACTTGTTCAACAACTCTCCAGCACCACTGCCTTGGAACTGCTCATGCAAGGATCCACGCTCCATCTCAGCTACGCTACACAGCTCCTTGATGCTGATAACGGTGGGTTGGAATTTGGAAGGCCACAGACCAGCTTGTTCAACGCAGCCTACCAAATCAGTTCCTTGTTTGAACTCCTCGACAACCTTCATGTCAGGGTATGCCACTGCACGAAGCATGTCCACAACAAAATGTTCTTCTGGCCTTTCACCTTGACCACCTCACTGTCCATCTCTGATTTGAGCACCTTCTCATCAAGCTGCAAGTCAACAAGGCGTCTCAGCCAAAATCCCAACCGCGACGCGCAGTAGGACATGCGCTGCTGGGCACTCATGGAGTTGTAGCGCACAATTCCCTCCTTCAAAACAAAGGCAAGCCAGACTGTAATGTTGCAGGGTGCCCAAACTTGACCATTTGGGTCACAAAATCCTCTTCACTCCAAGGCACACCCCATAACTGCGTCTCGCATCTGCCAGTCTTATGCACCGCAGGGTCAGAGCACTTTGCAACAACTCTGTCGATCTCATCTTGCTCTAAATGCTGACCAGAAGCAAACACTCCCCCTTGTAGGCATCTTTCGGGCAGCATCGCCGGGGAAATCTGCAGTAATTTGGGCCAAATGCTCTCAACACCACATACTGCTTCAAACATGCGGCCACCCGTCCAGTCCAGCGAAAATTTCGATCACCAAACAGTCATGCAATGCCGCACCG